TAAAGCATTTCTTTTTTTATCCATTCGGTTTTTTCTTTAGAAGTCCCATCTTCTTGGTGCATTATCATCATTATTGACATGCAAGCACACACACACACACCTGTTTAGAATGTTGCTCACAGCCAAAAAAAAAACTTTTTTTGAATATTTAAACTTTTTTTCTCTAATCTTTTGTCCTTTGTTTTCATTTTACACAATAGATTTCTTTTTTTTCTATGTGTGTGTTTGTATATAATGAATGGAAAAACTAGTCTTGTTTAGCTAATCCTAGTTTAGATTTTTTTATTTCAGTTCCCAGTTTTTTTTTTGTTGTTCTGGTTTCGGTCTGGTTATTCATCTTAATGATGATAATAATTTTTTTGACAAAATGACCTACCAAACAAACAAACAAAATAAGAAGAAAAAGAATGAAAAAGGATCCTAATAATAATGAGATCAAAAATTTTTTTATTGTTTGGAATTTAAAATTGAGAAGACATTAAAGCAAAAAAAAAAAAATTCAAAAACATTTCTTTTTTTGGAAATAAAGTAAATGATGATGATAATCACATGATACGTATGAAAGACAGGCATGCATATATTAAACTTTAACGAAGAATGGTAATCGATGACCAGTAATCATTATCATAGTTGAAGGCGTAGAGATTCGTGCACATGTGCTTGTGATAAGAATTTCAAAACATCGGAATGTCAAATAATTGATTAATATCCTAATTGAAATTAAAAAAAAAATTTCAAAGATCAAGTCGATCATAATTAATCATTCTAAGACGGGGTTTTTTCTATTTTTCCGATTAACGAAACCGACAGACCAATATAAACGCCATCATTGGTGAACACATTTAAAAGTAATCACTTAAATGGATTACATTATTTATGAAAAGGACACTGGGAATCCGTTTCCATTTTATTCTTGTACATCAAGAATAAATTTTCATTCTTTTTTTTCATTCCATTTTTTCGGTTTGTTCATTGAAAAAAAATAAATTCGATAGACTACAACGAAAAAGAAACACCAAAAGACAGTTAGGTACATTTAACTTTTGATGTAGCAAATGTACCAGGTCACGTACTTTAATTATAAGATGAAAGATACGAACACACACACACACACATCATATAAGATGCCAGACATAGGTATTCGGATTCAATCCAACAACAACAAAAAAGATTCGAATCATTCAAACAAACAAAAATGGAAAACAAGTTGGTTATAACAACAACAAAAAACTGTAAATTGGGCGGTTACATCAACCGTGGAAACGACCGCCCATTGAATACATCCGTACATACTTATAACCAAGGTGTTTGTGTACATATGAGTGGTGGTACAGAACACGCCCGATACGTACTATCACTACATATCATTCGGTGATGGAATAAAGTATACAATGCTCAGAAAAATAAAATTCAATGGAAAATGGCAGACAAATTGGCGCCTTCCAAATACCGGTATATATACAAGCTATTGGCGTGAAGCGTGCGTGGTTCAAATTCTCCAAAACCAAACAGATACCATTATTATTTTATTCGTCTTTATACCGGTTTTCATTTTCAACAACACAAATACACACACACACACACATACACAACATAGACATTTTGACACGAGGCATCTGTACATGTATTTGTAATTTATGTGACATTTTTTTTCTGCGAAAGTTTCGTAAAAATATCAAATGTGACAAGGATGTCTTGTCACATCTAGACATTTAGTTTACAATGGAAAAAAAGTCATAATTTTGATTGTCAAGAAAAGAAAATTCAACCCTCAACGGGATACCCTTAAAGCTTTGGCTGCAAATAGTTGCTAATAAATACGAGTTTTGTTTGACTTGTAATTGAAACCACGGTAAGAAAAAAATCGTCATCAACATTGACATCAATTAGCAAGGCCATTATTTTGGATTTTTTTTTTTCATGTTATATATGTTCATGACCATAACGCCTCGAATGTTATGATCACATAAACATAAACGACAATTTTTTTTTCTTTCTTTCTTTTAATCTTCAATTAAAATGAATTTAAACTTAATTAAACATTGATTTAGATGAACTTTGGCTAAATAAAGGTGAACACTTTACGCAAATCTCAGATTAAATTTCGTCTTTATTGGAATGGAAAAAAAGTAATGTAATACTTGTAATATAAATTGTAGCTTTTTTAGAGTTATTTCAATCAAAATTTGATTGAAAAGAAATGCAATATGAAAAAAAATTCGGGAAAAAGGAAACTTTTTTTTCATGCAAAAAACGGTTCCAGACACTTGAAACTCAGTTTTTTCACTCTTTTTCTACTGTGATTCTCTTTCATTTTTTTTCTTCGATGAATTGTCATTGACATATCAGAATGATATATCAATTGACTAGACAGATTTTTTTTAAATAGAAATTTCAATGGGTAGCAACATTAAATGGTTTCATTTACACGTTCATTTGTTCAAAATGGTATTCAAAAAAAATTTTTTGTTGCTATTGATCAACCATATAATAATGATAATTATCATAAACATTGTATATACTAGAAAAATTACTACACTGTATTATTTTGCACTCCTTTTTCACATAAATGACAACTGTCGAATTGACAGACTGAAAAAAATTTGAATGAATAACCCAAAATGAATCTAATTGAACACATGTAGTGGTGAAATGAGTTTGTCAAAGTGTGAAAATAAATATGAAAAAAAAATGAAATTTAAATTGACAATTACTGCCACACACACACACACATACACACGCCTACTATTACTGGTTACTGGATTTTTCATATTTTTTGATCAATAAAAAAAACATGACCGGATCATATATTTGATAATGAGTTTCCTTTTTCTAAACAGAACAAAAAAACGTAACACCTTTTAATATATCAATTTAACATTTAACTGAAATCATTGTTAGAAATAAATTTTTTTTTTTATTGAAAAATATAATTTCACACGTACAATATACAACAACAACAATAAAAAAAAAATTTACCCACCATAGTTATCACTTGACACTTGAAAGTATTTTGACCTTTTCACTTTGGTGAGTTTCAAATTAACAATCAATCCATCCAAAAAAAAAAAAAAAAAAAATAAATGTAATCAAATAATAAATAAGAATTTCATTTCATTCAAATGATCAATGATTTATGAAGTGGAAAAAAAATCGAATCCAATACCAATAATACACACACACACACACACATACAGATATGGAAGCTCTTTCTCATTTGTCTTATGATATATATGCCTTTATCGTGATAATTAGAGATTAATATTAATATTTTTGTGTACATTATGATTTACATTGATTGATGTCTAATAATAAAAAAAAATTTGAAAAGTTTTGACCATCATCACAATAATCGACAGGTAACAAACAGAGAAAAAAAATTAAATGTAAATTAATTGACATATTGAAACTGACACCATCACCATATTGATCATCATATTGATTTCAAGTTAAGGGTCTGTCAAATTTGTTTATGCATATGATCGTAGCAATTTTCTCCTGCTGTTGCTGCTGTTATCGTCATTTCTTTTTTTTTTGGCAATCAAGGTTATAATGGCCATGATTACATTTTTTTTTTTTTTTTGCTCCTTACTGATTGTCTTGTCCTGTCAATTCAGGCGATCAAATGCACAGAAAGAAAAATTGTAATGAAAATAGCATCCAGCAGAGACATATTAATGACAACAGCAGAAGCTAAATACGAATTTCATTTCATTTTATTATTATTTCAATTTTTTGTTTTTCGTTGAACGTTACCTTTATAATCATACAAGAGAGAAGAAGAAAAAAAAACATCAAAAATGATGTAGACCACAATATATTTGATGTGGAATGAATGTGCTTGGCTTGTTTGACTTTATCATCATCATCATATATACATTATTAAAAATGGCATGTAAACTTGTGCAATTTTTTTTTCAAACGTCTTTTCTTTTTGATTTGAATTTTAATAATAATAACAATAATAATAATAATAATTATAAGAGGGACAGGTCAAGCACGAGCAATATGAAACCAATCAGATATGTATGAACAGACAATAGGCAAAGAAAATATCAGTCAAACAAAACGAAGAAAAAACTTGACAAACATTTAACGATAGAGGGATCTGCAAAGAGAGAGAAAGAAATGTGACTAGACATGGCGAGTAAAATAATGCGAGTTATTACGTTTAAAAGAAAATTTACGGGAAAACAAAACAAATGATGATTATTGTGAAACGATAAAAAACAACATAAACACAAGAAAAATCTACTATATTCGATTAGTTTCAATCGATTTGTTTAAAAAAAAAAAATATCTTCCATATATCCACCAACATGATTAACACTTTTTTTTGTGTGTGTGGCTTGACTTCTGAATGTTTTTTATTTCTTCATAAAAGAATCTAAATAAACCTGAAAACAGATGAATGGGTCATCATCATTCGTTGATAGAAGACTTGATATGCAATCTTATTTTTTAACAAAAAAAAACAAAATGAACCAAAACAAGTAAAATAGAAATAAAAAAACACCTGTACAAGTTCTAACGTATATACGTTATATACAAATCCAAGACCTAGATGTTAAAGAGTCAATAAATGTCAACGGTAAATAATGACTTTGATTTTATTGCCATTCAAACTATACGCCATCATCATCGAATCATCTTTAAACCAAAAAAAATTTAGCAGAAAAAAACGAATACTCAAAACCAGAAAATTTGTTGTTGTTCGTTAAAAAAAAAAAAGTGAAGAAAATGGAGTAAAAAAAACTGAAATAAAATTCGCAATGAATCAAATTGTTGAACATAAATTTCGTAGAGAAGCCCACAAATGATCGGTGAAAGAAAATCATCATCATCATCATCAAGAATATAAAAATTCAAAATACATACACGCAAATATAACATGACTTATTATTACTGATGAACAAAAAAAAATATTTATATGAATGAAACATAAAAACTTTGAAATGAAATCACGAACATTAATGAAGTGAACAAAAATATACACTTACGACAATACATGATGATCACCGTTATGTAATAGTCGATTATGATTGATTCCGTTTTCGACATTGATTTTTTCTGATTGAATTTGATAATTCTTTTGTTGTTGTTGTTGTCGCTGTTGCTTCTGCTGATGTTGATGATTCTGATGCAAATGTTGGCTATTCTTTTCGTCTTTTTCGTTATCTTCACGGTCTTCTTCCTTGATGTCAAACATTGAAGATGTAGCCATTCAAAAATGTCTTTGATTATCTTTTTTTTTTAGTAGGAATTTTATCTCATTGATTGATATTTTTATATTTTGATTTCTTTCACTCGAATAAAAATAATGAAAAGAAAAAACGATGAAGACAAGAATAGAGATGGTATCATTATCATGTTAGTATTAAAATTAGATGATCAAGAGATTGTCTCTGATGACCCATCTCTGCCCGATACAATACAAATAAGAAAAACACAACATATACAGTTCGAAGAAATATCATAAAAACATCATCATCATACACATAGTACACTCAAACTGATTTTATAATTAAACTGATATTGAAGAATTGATGATCTTGAATTCCACAGGTATACAAACAAATTTTCAAATTCAAACAATATTAGATGAATCAATCAGATGAATTTATTAATAGATTGATTATTCATTGAAATTTTCTGGACATCAGTTAGAAAATCGAATAATAAAGAAAAAAAAACAAAATTGAGTGATATACGAACACAGGTAAAGATTGATTCAGATGATTAAAATAAATAAACAAACAAACAAACAAACAAACAAACACACACACAAACAAATCAATAAACCAATGGACGTTTGATTCAAATGTGAGATGAGATGAAATGAATTTCGAAGACAAACTTAAAAATGAAAATCCTGATGCTATGCTAGAACTATGTGACCACATCATTCGACGATTATTCGTATGTTTGAATAAGAAACGATTCAATGATCTTCAAGACAGGCAATGGCCAAAAAGCCAGGCAGCCAAAAAAAAAAAAAAGAGAGAGAAGCCAGCCAGGCAGCCTTTTTGATTTCAAAAGCCATGCCCGTTTATATTTTCATTCTATGTTGAAATTGTTGTTTGGTCGTGTTTTTCTTCTTCTTTTCTTTGTTTCTGCTGCTGATTTCATTTCATTTATTTATTTATTTCGAATGGCAAAAAATCTTCGATTTAGTTTTCTGTCAATTTAATTTGAATGCAGCAATAGAACGACAACAACAGAAGCATCAACATTCAAATGACGTCTTTTGGCTATGCACATTGTAGAATAATCGAATGTCAAAACGACGGCTACAACGACGACGATGCATCTATCAAATAGAAATGCGCGCGTTTATCATATTCTTAGTGTATGCGCGTCTTTTTCATGGAAAATGATAAAAAAATCTTCAAATAATAAAAAATTGATCGATAAACAAATGATAATATTAGGTTAAAAGAAAATTGTCGTCTTGTGTCAATGTTTTTTAAATTGGTGATTTTTTTCCCATTACAATACAAGAAAAGGATTCGTCGTCAAACGAATTTTATTGAAGACAAAATAACCAATGAGACAATTCATGAATTGGTGTTTATACTACACGGATCCATGTGTGTGGCTTTTTTATTTTTATAAAAAACACACACACACACACACACACATTTGGATGACAAACAAATTCTCATTGACTTTTTGTTTTGGATCGTTGTGTTCGATTCGTTCACCAACAGTAGCAGATGAGATATTGATTCAATTTCTATTCAACGAGAATACATACACACTCATACAAACACATGTACTAAAACACAAACATTCAATTAAAATGGCAAGCGTAAAAGCACAATCACTGTTTCACAATAGTAAACAATTCACAAGTTCCATGTATCTCTGATGTGGTGGTGATGTTTTTAGCAACACACAAAAAAAAATCTAAAATTTATTGGATATTCAAAGAATCAATGAAAGTGTGTTGCAAGTAAATTGAAGATAAAAAAGAGGCGCACTCATTCATTTATTGTTTGGAACGCAAAAAACGAAACAAATTTTCTGCTATCAATGTGAATGCAGAACCAGAAAAAAAATCCAGAACCAGAAAGAAAAACTAGTACCAATAAGCCCAAACGAAAGATAGCATTACGTCGTATGTATCAGCAGAATTCGATGGATGGGTACCAAAATCTAATAGGGTAGTATAAAAAAAAAATCTCGAATTTGGTGGATGTTGATAGTTGAATACATTTTGCGATGCGGTAGAATTCGACTTTCTATCTAATGATGATGATGCTGTAATGGTGGTTGTGTTGACGGCGACGGCGTTTTTCTCTTCTCATTGGACCGGCAATGTATTGGACAAATATTTACATTGTGCCATCGAGATTCTTGTGAACATCACACACATAGCCATATAGTTAGTTTTTACTGAAATGCATTGTACGTATATTAATAGATGAATAGAAAACGCATTAAGAATAATTGAATTTCCACAAACACAGAAGAGAAAGAGAAACGTCAATAATGTGAGACTGAAGAATCTGATAACTATTGTGTGTATAGGTTTGCATTAACACACTTACAGTGAAAACAAAATTTTTTACTGGTATAGGGTCTTCATCATCATTGTCGGTCGACGTCTAGTCTTTTTTCAATGTATGTTTGTCGACAAATAATAATATGATGAACAAACAATTTTTTATACGACTCAACTTTAGATACAACGCATTTTTTTCCAAAGCACACATTCGCTTTATTTTTTTTTTGCCAATCATTGGTTCAAGTTCTGGAATTTATTTATTTTTTCTTCCACCAAATGACCATTCAGATTTTGATGGCACAATGATGCTATGAAATCAATTTACTAATTGACCGTATAATACTTAACAAGGCCAACTGATTAATTAACTCGATGTTTGATGAGAGAAGAGAAGAAAGAAAGAATTTCGACGAAAGGAAAATTTGAATCACATCTAATGTTAATAATAATCGATGTGTGAATTCGATTCGATACGATCATTCATTTGTTTGTTTGAATCGTGTGTCGTATGTAACCTGAATGTTGTTGATAATTGTAAAAATAAATCAGTTTTCCAAACAAGGATCAGCCAAAAAAAAATCTATGAAATTTATAGATGAATTAACTATAGTTAAATTTAGTGAATGAACTGCTTCTTAGTTTTCATTCAGGATTCATATTAATTGAATAAGCTTTAATATGGATTGTAGGATTTTTCCATTTGCGATCAAAGAACTGGTTCGATAATCAATTGTATATGATGATGAAAATAATAAATTGTGTATCGATCATCCATAATTTAATGGCGTTAATCTCATTTTCGTATCCTCAAAAATCTAAATCGATGATGATGATATAAAAGAGCTAAAAGTAAATATAACGTAAAAAATATCACTTATTGTTGGCTTGAATCAATCCAAATTGATTATTATCATCATCTGGTCATCATAAATGTCCAAAACTGTTTTTCAAATCAATATTTCGATCAATCAAACAATAATAGACAAATATTTTCAATGTGGACGAAATTTGCATTAGCATTTTGATTTCAATCCGTATATGAAATAACATCTGACATATGGAATGTCGATCACCGTCCCTATCATGTTTATGAATGTATGCATGATGGTCACCTGTGCCCACCATCATATATATTTGCATGATATGACACGCACACAATAGGAGGGCATTTCAAATGTCAATCGCTGAACATCTTCATAGACATTGGATGAAAGAATGAGCAGAGACAATTCTTGCTTACTATTAGTCCAGCAAAATGACTGTTAATTTGATATGTGATGACTTTTTTCGCTGAATCTTTAAATCATTGTTATGATAATTTATTCATTTTGGTGTGATACAAAGACCGTGGATGTTTTTTTGTTTTCTGTGAGACCCCAGATGACGACCATGATAATAATGATGATGATGGAATTGACATTTTGACTGACAAAATCGATCATGTCACATGTGTTTGCAAAAAAAATTCCAATTTAGCAGACAGCGACCAACTGAGAATCTATTCATTTCAATTTTGATTCGTATATGCATAACAAAATCAAACCAAAAAATCAAATTCGAAAATTCAAAAATCAAATTGATTCCAATCAATTAATCGAAATAACTAGAAAAGTCTAATTTACTCATCGAAACTTTAAAATATGAAACTCATAAATGTGATTAAACCAAAATAAACACGCGAACAAATTCATTTTGGTTTAATTATCAAAATAAATGGTGAGCATGACATGATCAATTGAATGAAAAAATTTTTTAGCTTGTTTTATACAAATGACATGATGTTGGAAATTCGATATTCATCGTATAATTGCAAAAGAAATGATCACGATCTATGACGGTCTATTTCGATTGAAATGATGGTCATAAATGTGTTATACAATTTAAACATACGATGGACAAAACTGACATATTTCGCAAATCTTCTCACAAAGTTTCTCATCTTATTGTTACTAGTGAATTTAAATCAATTGTGTTCAATCAAATTGGTCTTGAAAGATTTCTTGCTGCTAATTATTAATTTGCAGAATATTTTGATAAATAAAGTTGATTGATAGAATTTCTAAGCTTAGTGCAAGATAATCAAACAGAACGAAACGAATAAACTTTTTACCGAAGGGCTAATTATTCTTTCAAAATGAGAAAAAATAAATGGGAAAAAAATATGAAATGTGAGAACAAATAAACACGTGTCATCATCAACATAAACACACACACACACGTCGGACAACAGAATAGGAAAAAACAGCTTCCCTTTTTTATAGTTTGAAAGATGAAATATCCAAAAAATTATTATTATTATTATGGAACTCTATATTTACATGTCAAAATATTATTTGTTCCACAGTATACTATGTCAAGTAATTTGCATCAAGAGACATGTGCCTTGGATTAAACATCATCTCATATTAAATCCAGAATCTATCGAAACCTTGTTATCGGATGGTGTCGGTATTGATGTGTGTGTGTGTGTGTGTTTGTGTTTGTATGTTATATAATAGTTACAACTATAGACTAGCATTGCTGTTGATCATCATCATGTTTAAAACTAACTGATTTTCATCATCATTTTCTATGAATGTTTCTGATATGAACAACACACACATATACAAATATACAACCAGAGATCGTGATGATTTTTTGTATATAAAAGACCAAAAAGAAAAAAAAATATAAATCCACTACAACAATATTGAATGGGCAATCATAATATATGATGATAAAAATAATAAAAATAAAATTTTCATTTTTATCATCACCATATATAAATATATATCAAAAGTTTTTTATGTTTAAAATAAAGTGCGTGCAATGTTTGTAGAACAACAATCTAATGCAAGAATGAATGAATGAATGGAAATAAAAAAAAAGGAAATCAACCTACATCATTTTTTTGTGTGCGTGAGAAAAAATCATTGTAAACTATACACAATGATGATGACTAGGACAATGTGTTAAACAATGAATGTGAATGTTAATGCCCCTATATATATGAATTACCAATCAATTTACACTTATCATTCATTAACCACGATGATCCATTCATACATACATCAACATAAAGAGACAATCAAATCATATTGATGATGATGAGAACAAAGTTTCTGTCAACTAAATCTCATATTACATTTTCGAGTCAAATTACGGTTTTTATTTATAAAATTCGATAAAGTTTTTTTTAATTGTAAAACATTTTTATTTATTAGGATGAAAAATTTGAGTACGAATTATTATTATAATATGGTGTATGATTAAATTCTTTCGTGAATGTCTTTTGCTTATGATTTTGAATCAAAACAGCCCAGGTATATGTAACAAATCGTGATACGACTTTGACTAGATGTAGAAATTTCTGTATATATACTTTTTCGACCAAAATCCAATCGATTCAACAAGCCAGAAGTAACACGTTTCATTGTATCACACAATTTTTATCTGCTGCAGCATCAATGACAGGTAAGGATCGTTGTGTTTGATTTTCGACAAATTCATCTTCTTCGATTCTGTGTGTTAGTTTAAAAAAAGGAGAAAAAAAACCAATTAAAAATTTTTATTAAACAATGCAAGAATGTAAAAAGTATTTCAGAATCATAATTTCATTTGGTTTTGTCATTCAATCTTTTTATATTAACCATAAACAAATATATGACATTAACATGTTAGAAATCAAGGAAATTACGATAGATGAAAATTTGTTTAATTTTATACGGATGTCAATGTGTTTCTCTCTCTCTCTCTCTCCCATTCTCTTTCTGATGTGCCGGTGTCTTTGGGTTAAATGGCCAAAATCACACATACACATGGATACATCGAATGACCAGAAAAAGCCGAAGTGATAGTTACCACGTTCATAGTTTGTTTGAATGGTATATATGTTCAATGGTTGCCAAAAAGAAAAAAAAATCAACAACCTCACAGCGTGTGTCTTTTTTCAAAGAAAGAAGAAAAAAATAAATGTTCAAAAAAAAATCATTGCATACCAAAACATCAAACAACGATAACCAAGAAAAACAATTCAACACTATGATTCTTGTAATAATGATGCTGATGCTGAGTATGCTCAATATGACCATCATCATCATCATCGAAATCATCGGTTTTTTTTTTTTCGTTATTGTTGCAGAATGGTTGGTATAAGTGAAAAATTGCTTTTTAAGATATGATTTTTGAAAAAAATACTGATCAATTGAAATCGAATGATAAAAGACAAATGTGATTGAGATATGAGTTTACCACAAACAAAAACATACTGAGATAAATGTGAATTTTTTTCCTATCAACAAAAAAAAACAGCAATATTGAATGTGCGCGTTCAATTCGTGAATGATCACATCATGTCTCATTAGGAAAAGAAATAAAAAATCATTTGCCCATCCAGTCAGTCAAACAAGGATGCTATTGGTCATCATCATCATCATCATCATCATCATCATTTCATGTATAATCACAAATAAATGATTGATATGGACAGCGCCCGCAATATATTTACCGCCACCAATGATAAATACCGATAGCGCGCGCGATCAATTGAAGCTAGTGATGCGGCAATACCATGATACTGATCAAGATTACTTTTGAATGTTAGTCAGAAAAAGTAAGATAAGCGCCCATGGCTACATCAATTCATTTGATGAATAGATATGAAACGATGTTACTATGTTGCCTGACTTGTGTATGTATGGATGCCCAATAAACCACCAACTAGCCAACCATAATGAACAAACTATCCAGGTAGAGGGGAAAAGATATGTCATTCTCGATAATCGATCGAGATCGTATAATTTTTTTTCTTTTTTCGACCTCAACAAAAATTCCTTAGTGATTGCTTGCTCTTCAAATTTTATTTAACGAAGACAACGACGCCAACTAAATCGATGGCTACTCATCATCATCATCATCATCAACAATAACAAATGAACGACGACGATGAAAAAAAAACATTCGAGAGATGAAAGGACCAAACGAAGAAAAAAAAATAGACCTCACCATGAAGAATACCTTTTTTTCATACACCATCAAATAATATCGACTGAAAGTCGATGAGCATCAGAAGCATCATGAATGATTTTTATATATCGTACCAATAGACCATTTTGATTCCAAAGATCGATCAATCGTTCAATCGAGATGTTTGACGGTCGATCGAGAAAAATACGACAATCACCATTGAAATGAAGGAATGTCCAAAAAGTATTGAATTGACAGGTGTCGAAAAGGAATTAATGTTCAATGATGATGATGATGATGAACCACGCGAACCACTAAACTTTGAATGAATACTCAAACTAAATCATTAAGTACAAATAATGTCAATAACAACATCAAAAATCATTTAATAAGATGTGGAGATACATTCTCTCATCATCATCGTCATCATCATCATCAAGATGTGCAACTAAATTGCCAACTAAATCAACCATAATAGACCATTGCGTGACATCATTCAATGTTATTTTTATTTATTTATTTTTTTTTTTTGCTAAGAGAATCCTGAATAGTTATTGGTTATTTGTGTATAATTGAAACAAAAAAAATATATATATATTGCAAAACCTCAATCTTTTTTTTTTTTTTTTTTTGATTTAATGTATCAATTTCTGACATTTTTTCCGATGAAATAACGGAAATTCTAGATGCATTTTCGATTTGTGATATGAACAATATTTCAACATATATCCATACATTAATAGATTCCAATTGTTATCATTATTATTATTATTTGTACCGTATCGCTCACTATTCATTCTTCCGTTTGTCAAAAAAAAACCTCTAATGTTACAAAATAAACTAACGAATAAAACGATGGAAAAGATTGGCATAAAGAAAGCAAAAAAGAAAAAGAAAAAACGTTCAGTATAGAAGACATACAGACGAATATGTAGTGACTCTATACATGAAACTAAAGAAAGAAATAATCGGGTAGTCCAATTATTTTGGATTAGAATCCCAGGAGCCGTGTGTGCAGTATAAGTTCAAAAGAGATGTAAAGAACCGAACCGAAATGAAAACAGAAAAAAAATTACAACCACTATGCAAGTGAAGCCGATACAACGATGATTTTGCCATAACGCACACACACACAAAGAGGGGGAGAGAGAAAGTCGAATGTGAATTTAATTATCCAGAAAAATGCTAATCCTCAAAATATAATTAGATTGAATATATAGCATATACATACATACATATTTAACTATACAACAAATCATCCGAACAACAACAACAACAAAAACATAGAAAAAAAGCAACTTTTGTTATTGACAAAATAAAAACTCATAACGAATCGTGTATGTGCGATTGACCAATACCAATAGTCAATTAGCCGAAAAATCATAATTGAATAAATCTGAGAATGGAAGTAACGGGTATAACCATTGAGGTCAACATTAAAGGGCATCTTTGAACCGAGAAAAAAAACGGTTGAAAAAAAATTGTCTATATGATATATACAACCGATCAATACAAGACAAGACGTCTTATTATTATTATTATTATTGGCCTTAATCTGCATTTAATTTGAAATAAAATCGTATTTTCTTAAATGTTTATACGAAAAATTCTTGTTCTATTAAATTCAATTTTGTATATCTGTTTTGGTGATGATTTTAGCATTAAAAAAAGGTTGATACATTTAATATATTGAATATGTGTTCTATTGAATGTTTACAAATAAAAGTACCGATGGATTTAGCGAATACGCTTGTTAGACACGCATTGATCCAAATAGATAATATGAGATATATTTATTTACGAATAAAAAAAAGACAAAGTAGAAAACAGACGCGTGTTCCATTTGGTATGTTCGCACGAGCTAGCACGCGTGGTCAAATTACTGTTGTTGTTTTCGTGTATGTATGTGTGTGTGTGTGTGTGTTTATGTACAAATCAATAAATAACCAAAAAAAAACGATCATTATGGATAATAAGACTAAAATGTCTATTGAATGAGTAAAATAACATGGAAATACACGCAATCATCAACACACTCAATTAAATTTGATCAAATTTTTGATTGACAAATTTTTGTTAACATGGCATAAAGCTATTCAAATTTTTCAGAGCCTTCATTTTCTTTGCTGCTCTGTTCACTATCCAGGTTCGAATTGCTCAATTTTCATCATCATCATCATCATAGGATTTTCAATCTTGTTTTCAATTCAAGATGAGAAATATGAATATAAATAGCCATTTTAAAAAGACAAAAAAAAATTGAAAACAATCTAGGTAGTAATAATGGTATCGACCAACTTTCTTTTCTTCATTTTCAAGAAAAAAAAATTCAAACATCTAAAGAGAGAGAGAAAAAAAATGTGTGCCTTATTGCCCATATAATAATAATGGAGAAAAATTTTTTCGAAACGAATTTTCCTATCAACAACGACTCCAGGTAGAAAAAAAAGGTTTTTCTTCACCATGTTGTATTGTGTATGTGTGTGGATAATTTATTTCTCTTTATTCGCACAAACACATATTATGCTTCTCGTTGTTGGGATTGTACGAAGGGTGAATACATACATAAAACACATACACACACAAAACACTGAAAACGAAGAATAATAATTACATGGCCAGGGCGAGAAAAAAAAACCTCAATGATGATGCTGATGATGATGATCAATTGGAGAAAATTGAATTGAACAAACAAAATGAAATGAAAAAAATTTTTTTTTTTTGACCCAGAGAAATTGAAAAAAACTCTAAAATTACCTCAAAAAAAATCGAAGAACAATTAACTCTTTGCTATGTGAAAAAATCTTTGCCTTATGAAATTCAATTGCTTTATTTCTTTTTTTATTTTATAATCGTTTCGTTTCATATTTGTTTGTTTGGTTGATGGCTGGAAAGAAAAGAAAAAAAATGTACGAGCAGTAACAAACGGATGCGTTTTTTTTTTCTTGGTTGGTCGTACTAACCATGAAAAAAGGTTTCGATGAGTTCTGAATGATTTATGATGAATCATACCTAAATGGTTATTATGGTTGCTCACCATCCCCATCATCATCATCATCATCATCATCGTGGATATATGATGAGATGATGTTGATGTAACCTTGTTAAGGTTCTAACTTTTTGCCATAATTTTTGTTCTTCAGATTCAAGTTAAATTATCCAACTCTTTGATTTAGAAATAAAAATGAACGGTTCACACGATTTTGGAAAAAGATGGTCACGTAGTGTAATATTACAATTGTCGTGCACATCTTAAAATCAATGAAAGAATCGTGTGCAGTGTGTGTGTGTGTGTGTAGGACAAAATTCTCACTGTGATCATAATAATATTATTATTTCTTTCACTTCATATCTATGTCGTTTTCATTGTCATTTTTTGTTTTTTTCAGAATTGAACAACATACATACATATTCAACCAGACAAAAAACCGAGGTAAATAAAAGTTATAATTCATTCAAGTTCATCAAGAATCACCAAATAAAGAGAGAAAAAAAACAGCATTAGGTTAACACAATAACCTTTTTTTTCGTTGTTCAGTTTTCGTCATTTTAATTCATTTTATTATTTGCTATCTATACACACACACACACACACACACACATATCACGAATTAAGCAAAAAATCAAGTTTTTTTTATATAAAACACACACACACACACATACACACTTCAGAAAGGATTTAGTAGTTGAAATCAAGAAAAAACTAATAATAATGAGAATGAGAAAAAAAAAGGAAACCGGGAGACATAAATCTCGACACATTTAGCCATAATAGAATAGAATGAATGAATGAATAAATGAATGAAATGAATTACGAAAATACGAAAATGTTTGAATGAAAATGATGGCTATGAATATTATTTCAATTAAATTATATTTGATGTTGAAAACTTTTTTTTTCTTCTTCTTCTTCTTCATTCTCAATTATGAGAATGATGATAGAGAGTGTCATAAATTGAAATTTCGTAATGGTCATGATGGAAAAAAAACCGTTACGAATATACTATACGAAAGATTCATTCAAGATTTTTTTTTCATTATTGAAAAATGAAAAAATCAATTATATCAAAATATTTTAATTCACTGGAAAAATTTAGCGACTAAATATGTGAATTCATTTGGTTAACTTTATGAATGAGTGAAAATATGTCTTTAAATTTAGGAATTTTTTTTTTGTTTTGATTCACAAGATAAAATGGACACTTTTTTTGGCTGGTTTGCCCTTTTTCTGGTATAAGTTCATTTGGATATTTTTTTTTGTATTAGCAACGAAAAAAAAATCATTAGAGAAACAAACACACATGGCCACTAAAAAACATAACAAAACTACATACAACATAAACAGATTGAATGAACAGATGATCCAGAGTCATGGTCTTGACAGTGAAAATCCTATAGGGATCATCGTCATCGACAAAATCCTCAACAACCGTGTAACCACAGGATCATATGATCAAATACACGAATATTAAAAAAAATTTGTTTTGATCCGGCGAAATGAACAGGGAGGAAACATCCCAACCATATATATATATAGTCAACCAACAAACAAAAAACAACGGGAAAAAAGTTAATATTTACTGAAGAGTATCGATCGGCAACAAAAAAAACAAATTTAAATCGGATCAGCCCCTTAAAACTCTAAGCTATAAGATATATATTGTATGTATGGTATATATACACTAAAATGTATGGCTTTATAAACTTTATTTTCTGTTGTTGAATTTGGTTATCATCAAGTCTGTATGTATATTAACTATGAATGACCATAAAGATAGATTGAATTACATCAAATATATGACGAAAAAAAAATCTGTATGGGACAGGACAAATCATCAAGTATAAAGAAAAACATGAAAAAATTGCCTACTGCATTTGTTGTAAATACACTTGTATGTACACAAACAAACACACACACACACATTGAATCTGTCATCGCCAAATACAGTAATACCCAATTTAACGGTGCCTCAATTAGCGCTGTTTCATTTTATGTTCAAAATTTTGGAAACCCTAGCGTTAAGCGGGGTATTACTGTAATTTGGGCATCTTGACAAAGCTTTTTTTTTACTAACAACAAAAAACCACGAGAATGGCCAAAAAGTATAAAATGTCAGCAAAGTTCAAATCAATTCTTTTTATAAAAAAAAAGAAAAACATCTATACTTACGCTTTTTCTTGGTTATCCAAATGTTGAACCAATTCATTTCGTTTGTCAACAATTTTAACAAGCTCATCGAGAAGCTGTTTTTCGCGTGTTCGTTGTACATTCGTCTTTTGAGAATCTGTCAGTGATGATAAAATGAAAAAAAATAAAAAAGAATAAGTATAATAGGTCAAAGGGCAACAAGAATAATCACAATAGGCCAAAACAATATCAGCATTATCGTATTTTTAGATAGAGAAACATAAACACACTGATGGATTGCTCCCGCTATCACCACCATAATAATCATACATCCATCCATTACATTTTTAGTTGAGAAAAAAAATTTGACACATTTTGGCGGAAAGATAGCATTCATTTATCCATCCTACATCATCATCAGCATCAACATCGATAGCAATTGATCAATCGCTTCTGGGTTGATCAATGGTGATAATTAGCATGGTGTGGTCATACAATGAATACACAATGATAATGACGATGGGATTCCACATAATCATCATCAATGTGAAGAACAATGGCTGTCAAAAGCAAAAAAAAACACCACATGCCGTGTGTTTGGTTGTAATTAAATCTAGCCCAATCATCAATGATAGATTGGCATCGACAACGATAACAACTACGATGATGATGATGATGAGCTTGGTATTTGATTCAATCAATCGAATCGAATCAAATCATATTCAGTCAAATTGAATGGAATCGATGGATGAGAAATGAAAAAAATTGCGAATCGTTTTCGATTCATAAAAATGTCATTCAAAATGTGCTTGTGTCTATTCATTCATTTAATCATTTTCATTGAAAAAAAAATTCTTTTTATAAAAATTTCCCTCAATCCTAATTCATCGCGGCAATGATGATATGAATTCTTTTCATGAACATTTTTCTCGATTGATAGTCTTCATCGAGTTCATTCATTTCGAATCGTATAAATTGAGAATGAATGATGCCGCCGCATTCGGATAGCTAAAATGCATTTTTTTTTCATTCATAATTTGAAGCGCTTATTATGATCACATCAATGTAACCAAAATCGGCTTTTCGATGGCCAAAAAAAAAAAGTTTTAATTTTATTAATCACAAGATTCGTTATACATGGAGATAATAAGTATATATAGAAAGACTAAAATACAAACCGCCATATAATCGTCACCTAGATTCTAATCAATAAGAACAATGATGATGAAGAAAAAAACAATTCAAAATAAAATGTTGTTTCTGGACCTAGTGTGTGTATCTCTCTACGTTTTGTATGTGTGTGTGTTTTTACGGTATAATCAGAAAAGAAAAGCCAAAAATATCAACATCTCCGAAAATAAAGCTTACGCCAGATTCTTTAGTCGTAATATCAAAAAAAAAAAAAAAAAAAAAAGAAAAAGAAATTCAAAATTCACTTTTTCATCAAGAACATAGAGCCGAAAAAGTCCATAAAGTGGTTAAAATAAAAACGGATTGTTCAACGCCAATCAAAGTTGTCGTTTGTTTGTTTGAAAAATATCGGCCAAAAAAAAAAATTATTCTTAAAGAGCTTTTTATTTTTCAGTTCAGGGTATCATCTTGTCATCTTTTTTTTTCTTGGTGTAAAGAAATCAAAGTGAAATAATCATCGAAACGGGAAAGAGAACGAAAAAAAAAAATTTATTAATTTGCGGCAGATGAATTTGAAAATGATTATAATAAGAAATAAAACTTTGAATGTAAAAAAGAAAAGACCGAACAGTAAACACACATACACATGTATACAGAGAGAGAGAGGTTGAAAAAATGAAGAACGGTAAAGAAAATCTTCTTAAATAGACACAAATCAAAATGTGTCAGAAGCTTGAAATTTTACAATTGTACAAACAACAACATACAACAAAAAAACAACAACAACAACCAAGAATCCAATGCCAAACGAACGAAAAAAAAAAAAATCATAGCATATTCATATGAGAGAATGAAAAAAAAATTGAAGAAATAAAATAAAATGCTTATAATAATTATGACGATGATTTTATTCATTTCAATGTTTACAATGACATTTTTGAAAATAACAAAACGATCGGTATCTAAATATCATACAATGTGTTATATACATGTTTGTGCATTTTTCAATTTCATCCAAAAAAAAAATTCCAATGTTTTCGATTTCATTCTTATAAAGCTAAACCTCCAATTGTTCATTCATTGCCATCATCATCATCGTTCATACATACAGTAGTATTCTATTTTTCAAATGTTCAATCATTTGGATCATCAAGATTTGGCCTATTAGTAAAAAAAAGAGGAAAAATAACGGCAACCAACCGATCAAAACCATATAATGAATCGTGTACTACGTGAATCGACTATCAAACCGCCCAAATAAACAATGATTTTTTTTAAAAAAAGAATGAAATTGAAAAATAATAACGATTTCAAATAAAATAAAAAAAAATACAGAAATCGAGCCAAATTTTTTTTTCTGTTCATAATATGTGTGCAGCCTTTGTTCTTTATTGCAAATAGAAAAATCTTTAGTCGTCACCATTATCATTATCATCATCATCATCATCATCATCATCATCATGTGGTTGCCATCAAGAACAACAAAAAAAAAAAAAAAAAAATAAAAATAGAGCATCATTCACTATAGACAAACGAATAGATGATTTGAAAAAATATTACATGGAAATCAACGACAACAACGACATAACAATGAATCCAAAATAAACGAAAAAGAAAAATTCACGATGGATGAATGAATGAATGAATGAATGATTGAAGAGAAAGACAAGAGGATGATGATTTGGCTTACCAAGTGTATATATACTTCAATGTAAAGTAAAAAAAAAAAAAAAAAATAAAATAAAAATACACTATGGATATGGTTAGATTCTTTTTTCTTTTGGAACACACACACACACACACGTAGACAGGAGAGAAAAAATAATCAGATTAGTTTGTGTGTATGTGCAGTCTAAATGATGATGGCGAATATTACGATAGTTATGATGATGATGATGATGGAGAAAAAGAAAATACAAGTCAAACAGTAATGTTTCCATTCCATTCTTCAACAACAGCCATATAAAAAAAAATAACCATCATCATCGAAATAAACGAACAAGTGTAACAATCGAATGACAATTGAAACACTGAAAAAAAATGTTCCTAAATAATTATTCAGAATATATATTGAATGTGAAACCGATTCAAAACATCGATAGAAACAAGAGAGTAGGTGAATTCCATTCTATTCTATTAATACCGTCCATAACAAACAAACAAAAATAAAATGGCTTTTAATGATGACAGTTGGCTGTCAACATCATCATGATCAATCTAAATGTAATATAATACGAATAAGCATCATTATTCGATAATAATAATAATAATCATAATCATTCGATTACATAATATGGACTTCAAATCGATGATGATGATGATGATAAAATAGCAATTTTATTCCATATAAACTTAACTGGATCTTTTGGTATTGTGTATGTTATTCAAAGTGTGTTTCTGGAACAAATGTCCAAAATGGTTTGTTTTCAGAACGAAAAAAAAAATTCTTTTTTTTTCTTTGTCATTATTATTAAAAAGCAATGAATGAATTGATTGAATCACACACACACACACACACACAAAAGGGACATACACTTGCCGTTGATTCATTCATCAAAATCAATCTATATGAATGTAAATCATAATAAAATTGAATGAAATATATGGCAGAGTGGTTTAATCGGCGGAAAAGTGCACTGCACTACACATACATACATACATAAATACACCGATTCTTTGTTCTATAATTTGTTTCCTATTGAAAAATGTGACCAAAATGTACCAATTTTTTTTTGTTTATTGTGAGAATTGCTAACATGTGCCGACTCTTGAATTTTTGAATCTCTGAATGTAAAAAAAAAAGATTTTTTTCTCTTCGAAAACGAATGAATGAGAAAAAAAATGAATGAATCGAAAATCAATTTGAAATTAAATACAACTGAGGACACCCAGAAAATTCTATTCATCAATTCATATATTTGAAACATGTGAAAAAACTCGCATACAAACACACATCTTAAGTCGACACTTTTTTAGGTAGCAAATAACAACAACAACAACAACAAAAAATTTCAAAGGTATTCTATGATTGCCGCTGAGTTTTTTTTTGTTGGTATTGGTGGTTAGTGTTGATAATAATAATAATAATTCTAAAGTAAAACTTATAAGCGATAAAAGTGAATTATCCGAAGCGTGAAATCCGCGTGCGAATACCACCAACAACAACAAACAATTCATCCACAAAGGAACTCTACATTATTGAATTTAATGTTCATATATACAATCGACAACAACTACATCGAAAAGTGTAAATATCTATCTGTCTATATATGAATGAATTTGTCAAAATTTTACAAACTAACCAACAACAATGTTAATGATAAAGATATATGATGGTGGTCCAATTTTGGTGGGTGGTGGTGGTGTTGATTGTCGGCAATTTTTTTTGTATCAGAGAAATGTAACAATGGAAAGAAAAAATGTCACCTTGTCATCACATATATAGATAGAGAAAACATAGTTATCAGAATAAAAAACCAATCGATATGACTAACGAATATTATCCAATCAAAAAAGTGAAGTAAACAAGATTCGACAATTTACACATCATCATCATAATCATTATCATCAGTATCATCAAAAAAAAGAACGAAAAAAACGACAGAGATATTCAGGATTCATCAATCCATCATCTTTCTTCTAGATGTCAAATCGATGCATTCAAATTTTTTTTCTATTCGAGCCATACTTATAGGCAAAGATGGATGGTTATTTAGAGAAAACATACCAATAATGATGCTTGTTTTTTTTTGCAAAAGTTAAAAGAAAAAAAAATGTTATATGAAGATTATCAATCATTTTGAATAGCCCCAGAAAAAAAACCTGCATTTATATGTCCGGCATTCAATAGTTATATTTATTTATCGATCGATAGAGATTGGCCAACAAACGATCATAATCAAAGTATAGTTGCGGTGAATATACTTTCATCATAAAGCCTCATCATCAACATAAATGGTCTTCCCTTCTTTTTTTTAGAGAGAAAGCTATAAATGTAGTATTGGTGTTTTGCAGTTCAAATATCTTTGTATATATACATTCAAATAAATAAGAAATGATGGGGATGAGCATCATATCTATTGGCCAAAAAAAATGAAAGGCCAACCATCGAGACATCATGCCATCCATCCATCCATCTATCTATCTATCTCGATCTGTGTTTTCATAATTAATTAAGATGAACCAAACGATCACTTGGTAGAAATATAAGAGTAGAACTTTGGAAAAAAAACAGACAATAAGTGACGTAATAAATTATGTCGTCGATAATTTTTCCATTACAATCTATTTAAATGGTCATTTTTATTTCTTGTTATATAAATATCTATCAGCTATACACAAAACACAATTGAGATGTATAAAGAATTTTTTTTTTCATTTTTCTATTTCTATGATCAACAAACAACGGCAAATCATCATCAACCATACAATAACGTGTATATTTCAATATAAATGATGATGATGATGATGATGATGTACAAATAGACACACGACACACCACATATCGATATCGACTTAATATTTGTAATGTTTCGACAAAAAATGATAATTTATATACATACAAACACAAAAACACATTTCCATATCTCATTTTCAATGTCCATAGTTGTTTTTGAAAAAGGACCAATAAATTCATATTTATAAAAATAAAGTCTTTAAGATCAATTTATGGGCTGCCATGATGTATGTGGCTGGTTGGCTATCGGGGTTTTGTGTGTATACATGTTTTTCATTGCTCTCATCTTAATAATAATAATAATAATATCATTATATTAATATTCTCAACAATAACAATGGGAAAAAATTAAATTTAAAAAAAAATGTTCAACATAGGCTTATTCAAAAAAAAGGAAAAATTTCAGAAATTTTAGATCAAAGAAAACAAACAAAACCTAGATCAGTGGTTTTCATAAAAGTTAAAATAGGTTGAAAACCAATGGACTTTGTGTGATATTATTATTTGCACATTAAGTTTCATTTTCGTTTTGTAAAAGGACAAAAAAAATGACAACAACAAAATTATAATTTATAAAACACTGAATGTCATAAAGTGACAAGTGATTAGTGTAGTTTATTTTTTTTTTTTTTTTTTCTCCTGTTGAGACAAGTTATAAATGAGGTGCTATTAGTTTGCTAAATGATTGTCCATAGTCATTTTTTTCTGTTCATTTACTTTTCCTATATAGCTAATGAATGATGTTGGTTCATTCTTTTTCACATCTCTCAATGGGTGTCGTTTCATTGTAGCGCCCGTATATTTGAGTATGTGTAGTTCCATACCAAAGACAACCACCACCAGGCTACCAGCCATAATTATCATTGTCTAATGTTGTAGTCTCATTCTCTTTAATTGATTGTACCAATGATAAAAATGAAAAGATTTTCATACGAAATACAATCGAATCTATTCGTCGTCGGACAATGATGCCAAGAAAATTGATGACCATTTTTTTCAACAAAGAAATGATCAAAAATCCATCGAAATGGTAAGAAAACAAATGCAATTGACTGAAACAATTTATCGACACGTAAACATTCATATATTATAAAATAAACTGGTCCAAAAAAAAAAAAAAAAAAATAAAGGATCAATTTTCATCCACGTAACAATCGATAAATTCAAAGACAGAAAAAAAATCAAACAAACGCAGGTCGACTAATGGAATGGTAAAAAAAACACACATACAGAATATTTTATATAACTATTGTATGTAAGTATTACTTCACTATTATCATTAACAACATTGATTTTATTATTGTTATTATTATTTGTAGCCATACACACACACACACACACACACACAACAGACCGAACATCATCAGCCAGCCAAATCAACCAAATTTGATGTTATGAAATGATATGAAGCAGCAGCAGCAGCACCAGAAGTAGTAATAGCAAAAAAAAACTTTTATATTTTACATGAAATAATATATGGACCGAGGACAAGATACACCAACACGCCAATGCAAACATACGATTTATATATACATAACTCTGGAACATAGATAAATATAGCAAACAAGAGAAAGAATAAAGAATTGAAAACGAAGATGATGATGGTACAGAGAATGGAAAAAAGCTCGTTACGTTAAGCCGCTTATCAGTGAGGAGACCAAAACGAAGAATTGAAAAAGTGCAAAGAATGGTCCCGAAAAAGAGACCATAGAATGTAATACTACAAAAAAAAATAAATAAATTGACTCAAACTGAATTGAATTGAACAACATTCACATTGAAAAAATGAGCCCTGAATGAAATTGAAAATGACGCAAACTTTTTTCCTATATATCTATTCTGCTCACCTTCATTATCATCATCACGACATTCATCATTGGTTCTCGGCTACCAAGCGACATTAATCAATGATGTTCATCATCATCATCAGCATCATCATTTAAATTTAAGTTTAAATTCGAAAAGGAATAACTAAAATGTAATGCACGCATACACCCACATTTTAAATAGATACATTCATGTTTCTAAATCAAAAACACATTCAACTTTGCTATATTATTATCATTTTATATATTACAAAACAGAACGAAACAATATATATATGAATACGAAATTGAAACAACGAAACCAAGCTATATAATATCAAATGGTATTTGAGACACACACACACACACACACACACACATAATAATGGTAAAACATATAGAATTGCAATTTAATAGACACCAAATTACACAGCCGACAATACCAAATAATCATAATCATTTTTGGATCCGTGATGATGAGACAAGTTGAAGTAAAGATAGAAGCCATTAGATTTTGTACCGAAATACGAAAAAAAAAAAACTGAAAACGTTGCCAATAGTGAATGAAAGTAATGGACAACAACATTCACAATATCGAGAATAGCAGAAAAATTCATAGAATATAAAAGACAGAATATTCTACATTGAAAGAGAGAGAGAGAAAAAAAAACTCGAATGGAAAAATCCCTAGTTCTAATCAGAACCGATGCAGAACTTTATGATTTTCGCTTTTATTATTCATTCGCGTGTATGTATGAAAAGCTTCTGAAACTTGTATTCATGATGATGAGCTAGACATGACACAAAACGAATGTTTCAACTAAGCTTTAAGCTCACCTCATCGCCCTTGATTTCACTGACGATTATTAAAAGTTTTCTATTGGGTTATTAGTGGAATCGGTGAAATAGACAGATAAACAATGAATCGACAATGAAAAAAAAAAAATACCAAATCAAACTATTGTCTAGGAGTACGGATATTTAATCGGGTTTTAGTCCTATTTTGACAATGAAGTTTCATTTCTACTACCATCATCATCATAATCAATCGATATTCGTTATACACGAAGGACTATGAAGAGAAATAATTAATATTGTCTAGAATCAACAAGATGAGGCATAGAATCAAATCAGGGAATGACAACACTACTGTGCAATTGTTCAATTTTCGATTCTTGAAAAAAAAGAAATTTGATATCCCCCTCTGTGATGAATTCTACTCCTTTTTTATGAAATTGTATCTGTCGATGGAATAATCGTTCAATATGAATGTTGAATGAATTCAATCCAATTCAACAAAACTTTTTTTTCGCTGTTCCCAAGAGTTTCTATTTTTGGCTACATTTAAAACATAGACCAAGGGCCATAATTGATGCACAATACACACATCAATGCAATGTTCAGATTGAAATAATGCTTGAGGCAAATTCAATTGGCACTTGAATTAGCTTTTTTCACTATACAAAAATCGAAATTCTTTGTTCAACGTTTCGGCTAAAATATAAAGTCCAAGTTGTAATAAAAAAAACAAATTAATCATAACACATACACATGACGCAAGGCAAAGCCACGTTTTTACAATCTTTTCAATCGATGTGTCTATCATCATGTGTGTGTGTGTGTGATTATGTTGGATAGAGAAAAAAAATCATCTAAACAAATGGAATTGATGATGATAGTCAATGTGCAAGTAGGCAGGCATAGTATCCGCAGATAGCAAGATTTCTACAAACACATATCAGAGAAAAAAATGAATCTGGTAATCTAATTCGAATCAAGTGTCAAATAGTCATTCAATTCAATTCTCTCATTCATTAAACAATAACAAACAAGATGATGATGATGATGATGATGATGACGACGTCATACATTAACATTAAGTTTTAGTGTCAACAAAAATATTATCATCACAGAATTCACAGAAATGAATTCCCATCATAATTGACATACCAGAAAGAAATGAATGTCAAAAGTCAACAAGAAAAAAAAACAAAGCTATGGAGACAAACATGAATGTTGAAAAAATCTTTTTTTCGGTGAAAAAAAATGGCCTAAAGCCAAGATTTGTTTCTCTTGCTATATGTGAATTCAATACAGTTATGAGAAAAATAAAATTAAAGACACACAATGATGAAACAGGCAGATTTGATATTGATTCCCAAGCGAAAATGATAATGGAAAATGATGATCATCATAGTGAATAAAAGTTTAAATAAAAAATTTCAACAAAAAAAAACAATGTCAACTTACCTTCAATAAGCATTAGATCACGTAATTCGACATTCAATTCATTGTATCTGCGATTCATATCAGCATCTTTTTCCCTATTAAAAAAATTATAACGAAAAGTAATTAATAGAAAATAAACTTCAAAAAAAAAATTGAAACAATAACCAATATTGACCTCTTCAATGTCCTAATTAACGAGAAATCTTGTTCAAGCAAATGGATTATATCAATCAAAAAAAAAAATCATGTAAAACCAATGAATCAATTTGTTTTTTTTATAGTGTATTCATGTGTGTGTGTTAAATAAATTTTTAATCAATTCTTATTATCTCACAACAATTAGGATTCATGGAAAAGATCAAATATTTCAGCCATACAACAGATTCAAATGATTAAGTTGAAAAAATATAGATTAAATTAACAACCCTTCAAAATGAAAGAATTCCCAGTATTCTAGCATGCTATATCATAATGACAACGATCATGGTGGTAGTGTCGTATCAATATCGTCATCATCATAATTGCCGCTTTCATCATCATATAATGGTGTTTTTAATGTGTGTACTGATTTTCTTTTGATTGTTTATTATTATTATCATATATTTTCAACGATGGTGGCTTTCATCAAACCAATGGCCAATTTTTCTTATCACACAAATGCATCAGGTATCGGTGTTTTTATATAAAAAGAAAATGCAATTTATTAGTGCAACTATTGCTATCGGGACATATCATAAAATAAACATCGCGAAAGAATAACAACAACAAAAATCACAACGTGAAAAGTAGATTTATTCTGATATTGTTTTTTTTTCACTCAAAAACCTTTAAGTTGAGTAAACTGATTGATCAGACATCAACCATTCAATTATTCAAAGTTTCAATAGGAAAAAACGCGATCCAATACAAATGCATTTTATTTTTTTATATATAAAAATCGATTTTTTAAAATCATCGCTTGTTCTATGTGCGCATCAATATCTAAATTACAAGTTGATGATACTGGTTAGATAGATATTTCGTTTTATCTCTCAGGTAGTTTGTTTGTTTTGTTAAAGTCTATTTTGACATATACAAAAAGCATACCATTGTCGTCGTCGTAATCATCGTCTTATTTTGGCGACGACCAATGGCGCCGACAATATCTCAATCTTAACGAAAGAAAAAAAACATTGACCTTACTCAAACATAACAAAACATAATCAAATCAATGGATGGACACAAACACACAATCGACAATTCCCATCTTTTTTTTGCACATTTAATAGCTCAATTTAGATTCAATTTAATTGAAAAGTTATGACTATATATCTACAGATCACACCAGTGATGTGTAAGACCTAGTAGTATCAAGACCATAGTTCAATGATATAATAGCTTGTTTTTTGAAAAATACAACCCAAATCATCATCATTATGATCATCAAACAACAAATGATACGAATTGAAATTGAATAAATAAGATATAATAAAAGATAAAAAAGAGGCCCGAAACAAAGAAATACATTTACAGATACAGATATTGTACCGAATTTGTTGAAAACAGAACCAGAAAAAAAACACATAGACATCTGATCATTATCATATGCTCATGAGATATCATCAATGATGATGATATTGACAGGCCCCTCTCAAAAGAAAAAATGATGGCCATCTCGAAATACGAAACTCGATCAAGTAAGGTGGCCTATGGACTTTTGATGAATTCGAATCTTAAGTCGAGTGTCGTTGAATCTTTCTCTTTTTTTTTGATTGACTCGACATTCAATTTTTTGACAAATGAACAAAACTCTATTCCATTTTCATGGGCCATGGAAAAAAATTAGTTTCAAACCTACTACTAACCATCAACCATGCAAATCGATGACAATGTGTGGTCAGTTGTCAACACAAACACGCACACACACACACACACACACACAGAAGCCAAAAAAATAATCGATCCTATTGATGAACATTTGAGTTGAATTTCAATGTCTTTAGAAACGATGATGTCCCTTTCATCTATCTATTTATTCACTATCATAACCATCACCACCACCAATTGTGACATACAGGTGACAAGATCATATTCGATTACTACTATTGATTGGCCTGTCACTCGTCAAACAGAAAAAAAGGAGTCGTTAAATATGTCAAAAAAAGAGAATGTGAATAGCCATCATTCCGTCTGGTCGTTGATGACTTTTTGGAAAATATAATCAAAATAAAAAAAAATTGGAAATAAAATAAATAAACAAATCTTATATGGTTAAGACCACCCTGCATTTAGAAGGGGTCTAAACAACATATAAAGAGGGCGATAACAATTTTTTTCTGGAGCGAATAATCACTTTTTTTTGTTTGTTTGTTTGTCGCGTCTATTATTCTAGAGCAGCAATCGTAGAAATGCTATGAAAATAACATTGGAATTAAATCAATAAAAATCGGAAATTTTTTCTTTTCTATTTCTAATAACTCGTTCCTGGATCAATCAAACAATAATTAGAAAAAAGGTAGGTGGTGGTGTATTGGCAACACATACATACAAATAAAATGAATTTTTTTTCTGTTGTCCCATAGCTAATCAACTGAAAATTTTGCTATTGGTCAAAAGTTCACCAAAAGAAAAAAGTAAGCTGCCATTCACAGAAACTATAGTAGTAGCAACTTTATTATATACGAGGTGATTATTATTTGTTATAATTTTCAATTGATACATGTATGAAATTGATATGGAAATTTGAAATATACCACACAGCCCCCATTTATTTATATTCAACGACATCGACATTAGACCCGATACAAAAAAACATGCTCATCGCACACGCGGCGAATGATGGACCACCAAGGAGGCATTGATATTGGCTATTGAATATAAATTGATTTGGAACAACTGAATGAAACATGCAAAAATCATTCGACAAGTAACCAACAAATGGACCATAAGGCCTCATACAAACATTGCAATGTTTTGACCACAAACAGTTGAATATATTTGGCCAACAAACAACAACAACACAATGATTTGAAAATATTGAGAGAATGATATTCAAATGTTCTATGTAATCGAGAACTAGTCCCACTAACGAAATAAAGGTCAAATTATTAACGCATTCGTGGATCAATTATTATTATTTTTTTTGTTACACACATGGACGAGAAAAAACTTTTTTTGATAAATAAAGGGCAAAGGTCACGTGTTAATCACCACCATCATCAAGATAAGGTTATGAGAAAAAAATTTATATTGAGTGATGTATGCGTTTGACACATCATTTTATAGTGGACATTTACATATTGGGCAGTGAAAATAATATTAAAATTAATAAAAAATCATGATTAGGCGTCATATTTTAGTATACAGTAAAAGTTATAATTAAGAAAAAATTTTTCTTGATTATGAGCGTGAGCTGTAGGTAGAAACATAATCATTTCATTTCATGCCTTTTGTTGAAAACCATAATTATTCGTATTGATGATTAAAAAAAAAGTGATGACAATTGATCCATAAATACTATTTTTTTCAGGGCAAAAGATTTTTAAGAAATGTTCAATAAAGTTTAAATTCATTTATTGACCTGTTGACAAATTTAAAATATTTCTCAATACAGTGTATAAATAAAAGCGAGGTTCCAACATTCGAATAACAACAACAAAAAGAACAATTTATGATACCTTATTATTGTCCTGATGATAATAGACTAGGACAATGAAATTGTTCAATTTTTTTTTCTTCCATCAAACCATGTACAATGTGTATAACGAGAAAAAAAATTTCACAGACAAAAAAACATAGTGTCCATCTTTTCAATTGTATTGTAGATTTTTGAATAATAAAATTGTCTCACTACTGTCTGTTAAATCATACAACATTCAAAAAGATACGATTGATTGACTGACCGATCAATCGATCGATCTATTGGTAGACATTCATTTCCAGTCAAAAAAAATCATTGGTTAAATTAAATCAAGTTACAAAACATAATTAAAGATGACAATTATGTTTATGAAAAAATTCATATCACAAATAGCTAAAGAACTAAAAAGAAAAGAACGGAAACTTCATTACGAAACGAATGGTAATCAAATTATGTTGTCGAATCATCATCATCATCATCATATAATCAACATCCAAAATGAATGGCGAAATGAGAGAAAAATCTCAAGAATGCGTAACGTAATTTCACATAAATGAGATTCTTTAAGATGCATTCAATGGGAAAAAATGTTAATCCAATGATCACAATGAATGGAATTAAATCGAAAAAAAATGTTTCGACCACCATCGACATTACAACACCAACGCAACCATGAATTCGCGTTTATGAATTGAAATTCTTTTTTTTCATATTCCAATGATATATCCAAAGATGGTTGCATGGAAATTAAAATCCAATTAATCTGATTGATCAAAATAATTATTTCTGACTTCCCCTTCGATAAAATGAAAATGAAAAATTAAATAAGTGAATGGCCTAATGAAATTTTTTTTGATACATAAAATATAAAATGGAAGAAAAACAAAATGGACAAATTCATTGCCAATATGGCGTGCTGGAAATGAGAAGAGAAAAAAAAACTTGGTATTATTATCATTTTATTTGACCAGAAAGAGCACAAAGCTAAAGTCATTCAAAATCTGTCATTTTGATGTCCTGTTGTTCCTATAGTCTGGAGAATTGATCGAAAGAAACTGGAAAAAAATAAATGATGCCGCGGCTTAACCTGAGTTTGAAATGCTATAATAAATGATGATGATGATGATGATGGTCTTGTAATGATCGATTTTGTTATTTTTTATGAATCGAACAAAAGACTTCAAGAAAAAAAAGGAGAGGTGAAATGAAAAATAACTTTGTGATTATTATAAATGACATACATATAACGACTAGTTATAAAAATGTTGTTCAATTAATTAATGATATTAGAATTATGACAAGAAAAAAAAACAACGAAAATATAGATTTAATTCAAGAACGAAAAAAAAAAAAATTGACAACAAAAACAACAACAACACATGCACAATCAAAATGGACATTCGAGAAGTAAATGAAAAAAAAATTTAGATCATCATCGTATTGAATGTCGAAAAAAATAATAGTTTTTCTAAGATGAATAGAGAAACCAAACACCTGTGTTTTGTCATCATCATCATCAGCCAAAACCAGAATGAAAATGAAAAAATTGTAAAAAACGAAATAAATAAAACAATGCCGATTCTCGATTATTATTATTATTATTATTATCATAATTAAAAGCCGATTATCATATTTGGTGATTATTATTATTATTATTGAATCAAGTTTTTTTTTTTTTTCACACAAAATACCGATCACACATCAAACAGATGTTAGTCATCGTTTTTTGTAAAGTAAAGCAAAAAAAAATAAATAAATAAATAAACAAAACAAAAACAATTATTCAATAAGAATATACTATTGAATCTTGACGAGAACGATTCAAGAAAAAAAAAGATAATCTTAGTGATAATGCCATCAAATAATCATGGTAATCGTCGTTTTGTATTATATGGTCGAGTACCGAAACCACAACAACAAAATTCAATAATAGTGTACTAAACATTCGATTCTAGTCATTTGATCATCTCCCACACCAAAATGGATGACAAATTGACAACATAAGATAATCTTGAACAAAACAAAACAAGCTTGTCATTAGTATTTTAGTACAAACGAGAGAAAAAATGAATAAATAAATGTTTCTCACATTGAAAGGTGGAAAACAAAAAAAAAAAAACTTCGTTCGAATTTTAAAAAAAAAAAATAGACTATCACAAAAAAAACGAGAAAAAATCAAAATTTTTATGACCTTTTGACATTGGATACAACAACAACCAGACAACGAACGAAACGAACGATAGCAATAACAAAACAAAAATCATCATCATCAATTATTATTACACTTGTTAGACACCTGGGAATATAAAATTTCAATGTAAAATTTGAGAAAACATTCACAGAACAGACAGAAATCGATCACGCAATATGAATCTTATATTTGTATGTTTATGTGGTAAGCAAAGGATTCTTATGGGAAAAAGCATCAATACTTCAGAATCGAAATGGGCCAATATTTTTATAATAATGACAATTTCAATAATTCTGCATATTTGATTGGAAATAATGATGACCCATACTGAGAATGATGATGATGATGATAATCATCATCATCATGATCAAAGTTTTTTTTTGATCATCGTTGATCATACAAAGTGAAAAATATAAAATGAACAAAGAGGAAGAAAAAAATTCGAGTTATTTATACCTTTAATACACACACACACACACAAACAAACACCACATAGGGATAGTGAATCCTAAAAAAAAAAACACGTGAGATAGCAAAGAAAAAAAAACAAGTCAGTTTGATGATCAAATGATCAAAACACATAAAATGGTCAAAAAACAGCAAGCGTTTTGCAATGGCAAGGTGAATGCCTGCATACCTGTGTATGTGTGTTCCCTATGTAAGCTGTCGTGCGCGGCATTTTTTTGTTGTTGTTACTGTTGTTATCTTGCACAGGTAAGCCTTCGGGCAAAATTCGGCGCAATGCAGTCTGGCATGGTCGATCGACCGATACGATCCTCCATCTTTTCTTCATTTTTTTTGTTGTTGTTGCTTGAGAATTTCTGATCAAATATAAATACCCAAAAAACGAAAACCACCACCACAGGTAGAAATGATCATCATCGAAAGACCCATAAAGAGAGCAGTTAAGAGAAAAAAAGAAAAAAACCAGGCAAAAAATCATAGTTTCTCATCATCATTCGTATGATGATGATGATGTACCCCTCTCTTCTTCCCCACATTACACAAACAACAACCTGACCATCGGAGAAAAATAAAAGAAAAAAAACCGAGTAAAGCAGCCAAAAGATTTGAAAGTGTAAAATACAATATTTTCTTTACTTGACCATACAAAAAAAAAAAAATTTGGCCAGGTGTCTAAAATATTGAGACGGTTTTTGTTCTCTCTTTATTTTCTTTAACTCACTCACTCTTTATGCATATTTGAAATATATTTATTCAGGATCACAGATTGGGAACCTGTAATTTGCCCTATGTTGTTCAATATGCGTGTATGTGTCATCATCATCATCATCATCATAGCGTTTGTTCAATAGAAACACCAATATCCAGCAATGAACATCTTTTTTTTTTGGTCAACAAAACAAAATTTCCATTGAATCAATGTGATGATGATGATAAACTCTTGCAATCGCCTTGTTTTTTTCACTATATTCTGGATAGATTCGTTTGTCCACATACACACACACACACACGCACACAGAGGCTTCACAGCAAGAATCTTTGATTATTTAACACAAGAGAGTAAAAAAAAGACACATGTTTGAATGCAAAATTATCATCAAAGGTGATTTCACACTGATTTTTGTTTTGTTTTTTTTCTGGTCTTCTGATCGGTTGGCATCTGTATTGAAAATGGATGGTCACAAATCAAAAGAATCGTGCCGACAAAAAAAAATTTAAAATAAAAAAAAAAAATTCAGACTGGTTCTTGTTGTTGTGTTTAGTTGTTGTTGTTTTTTTTGAAGATTGTTGTTAACACACAAACACACACACATAAATAGACAGAAAATATAAAGTTTTGTAAGGGTCATGATGCTTAAATTGTCAATCAGTCATCGAGCCAATGCATATATGCATTGCATATCACCACAATCAGTTGTAATTGTTTTTTTAGTACCAAAAAAGAGATAAGATTTAATAATGAAAATATTTTGAAGAATAGAAAAGGTTCCCATGGAAAAAAAACTTCAATCAATCGATTCAAGAATTATTTTTCAGTTTGAAAAAAACAAAATAATTTCATAGCAAATAATTGTAGGTGTAATTAATCAACAAAAGTGGAAAATAAATCGATGAATTCACTTAACAAACTTCTCAATATCTATATAGAAAGAATTTGAAAACTAAAAAACTGACATAATCACATCATCATCATCATTTAATCAGAAAATTTTTCATATAAATGAAGAATTTTAAAAAAAAGAAAAAAAGATTAAACTTTTTTTTTGAATAAACATAATAAATAATGTTATAAATGATCAATTTTTGTTACTTTAACATTTTCTTCTTATTTTTTTTTGTTGCTAATTTCACCAGAAATACATCAAGAAAAAGCTAAATGATGGTATCAAATTAAAATGAGGTGAGAAAAATTAGCACAAAAAATGAAGAATTCAAGAATACGCTTGTAGTACACTATACTATTAAAGCAATATATAGATAGATAGATAAATGGCCATCATTAGTCAATTTAAAGTTATCATCATCATCATCATAATCGTTCATTGTGTCGTCGTACGGCTAACTCCCATTTTTTTTGTATTATTTGTTTGTTCATTCATTTTACTCATCGTTTAGATTTTTTTTTTTTTTTTTTCATTAGTGATGTATCCGTGACTTGTCTTTTCTGGAGTTTTTTTTTTTTTCTCTCATTCACTTTCCTGTGTGTATTATATATTTATATAAAAAAGAAATTGAACATTGTAACTTATGAGATATATACTAGTAATAATCATCATCATCATTAAAAAAAAGAACAGAAAAAAATCTGAAGTAAAAGAGATAACCAAAAAAAAAAAAAAAAATTGATGCTTCAATGCATGTATGATTTTTGTATTCGTTTACAATGATAAATTACGGTCTGACAAAAGAATTTTTTTTTATTTATTTTTTTTTTTTTTTGGTACACTTAATTCTTTTCCATACAAACACATACATACATTGAAGCATAGTTTGTTTGTCGCTCATTTGTCTAAAACAAAAACAAAACAAAAAAAAAAAAACACGACTGCTTTCTTATTTCCATGGATAGATAGATAGATAGATGGATGTATCATAAGGTATCGAAATGAAAAACGATGATACAATGAGAAAAGATATTGAATAAAGCCAAATTGAATTCAAAAAAAAAAAAAGATCACACATCGTTTCTATCTTTCATCTTCAGGGGATTTTAATATTTTGCCAGTTTTTTTTATTCGTTTTCGTCGGATATTTTCTAATGTGATCGATCTCGATTTTTGTAATAAATGGACGTATTTCCTTATTTTTACTGGTTGGTTGTTCATCGTTTAAAATGGACTAAAATGGATTGGCCCGAAAAGATGAAAAAAAAGTAAATGATGGAGGCGGCCATTTTTATTCGATAAGGCGCCATAGAAAAAGTTTCAAAATCAATTTCTATACTCAGTTAATATCTATTGCTCTTTTTCTCTCTCTTTTTCTCACTGACACACACACATTCTATTGGTCTGTATGTGCATTTCGTTATAGGAATCATTCGAAAGAATTATGATTTTATAGAAACGAAAAAAACCCAGAGCTAGAGTATTCTCTCAATGATTTATATGATGATGATGACAAAAAAACGAGAGATTGATTCAAAATGACAGTGCAAATATTTGCTCCAGAGTGTGCGTGTAGGATAAAATTTCGACCACCACTCTCTTATGTCTCATCATCATCATGGTGTACGGATTCAAAGAAATTATGATGATGATGATCATGATGGAAAACTCGAAATGGTTTTGAAATCAACTATAGGTGATCAATAATATTATATAACAAAAATTCGAAATATTTGATCGTCGTTTTTCAAATGAGTCCGAGAACAAGAATCCTTGTCATCATCATCACGGGTCAAAGCTTCATTCAGAAGTGTTTGTGTTTATGAGTATGATAATAGCCATAGCAAACTTCAAATCAATTTTTCAATGTTCAGATTTATGTTTGTGTTTGAGATTAATCGACAAGTTCTCGATGTGTAGAATAGAAAGGTATATGAACAAAAAAAAATAAACATTGCTTGAACGAATTTCCAAAAAAAAAAAATTCAACCATTGACCATTGTAAAAATCTAAAATTTTCTATTCTACTATTTTTTCATTCACTTACAATATATTAAGTTGCATTTGTCGACGTATGATGGCATTGCGTTTATTAACCAAAACAAACCAATTTTGTATTAATTTTTCTTCCAATCGTGGATTGCCACCTAGTGTCATGAAAAGAGAATGATTTTAGCGAAAAACAAAAAAACAAAAAATTATAAAACAAACAAACCAGCTTCCATAAGTTTTCGTAAACGTTTTTCCAGAATAGATGCTTCGCGATCGATTCGTTTTTGTTCCTTATCAATATAAGCCAATTCTTGTTGCATTGATTCAAAAGATGCTATATAAAATCAAATAATCTTGTTTTAAATACATAAAGATTATATGAATTTTGATAATTTACTCACTTGGAAAATCATTGTAGTCATCCGATTTTTTTGCTGTTTTTGTAATTGGTGTTGACATCGTTTGACGAGTTGATTTTTGTTGTCCAGATTGTTGTGAATCAGGTCGAGTTTTTGTTGGCGTATTTTTTGTTTCACAAGTTTTAAATGTATAGAAATTAAATTCAAGCAGTTTCACTATCATGAGAAATTTAGAGATGAACGGTATAAAAATTATTGCTTAACCATTGTAAATTTTCTCACTTACCTGATTGGTCTGGATTCCTGGACAATTCTTCTGTGACATTCAAGGATGATGATGATGGCTGTTCATTACCGTGAAGAGTAGTTGAAATCGATTCTGAAGGACTCATCATTTGTGGAGTAGCATTATTTGTCGAATTAGTTGAGCTTGATAATGAAGATTCTAAACTAGTCGCATCCATCATTCCTTGTCGTGCGTTAGCAATTAAACGACGTGCACGTTCACGTAGCTGCTCCATACGACGTTCATCATCTGGTTGTGAAGTCTTTTATGATGAATGATGAGAATTAAAATTGAAAATTAAGGTATCAATTTAAATACCTGCGAAAGTTTACGAGCAGATTGTTGTGAACTGGTCGAATGAAATCGAATAGATTCAATCAATTTACGGGCACGATCTCGAAGTTCTTCTTCTCTCATTCGCGTACGCTGTGAGAAAAAAATTACAATTGTCAAAATAGTGTTAAAATAATTAGGCAAACCTTTCGTGTTAACGCTTCTATGGAATGGTTGTATGGATGTTGACAATTTGGTGCCGAAAAGGTTCGCTGCAATAGATGTTTTTGATGCTGATGACTGGATAGATCAATTAATCCGGGTACAACATTGACATGATGGTTATTAAATGATAATGTGATGGGAGCATGATTATTTGGAGATAATTTTTCAGTATGATCATCATCATCATTGATCGATATTGAACGATAATTATTGAATGATAAAGTTGATTGTGATGCAGGCATCATCGTCGAAAATGGTTTTCGATATTGGAGAGGTTTTCGTATCGGCTGCCCTTGTCTATTTCCATGTTGTTCACTTGTTTCATCATGTTGAGCAACATTACTGCATTCGTTAGTAGAATCGGCTCTTGATGATTGCTCTCTATTTGATGGTGTCCCTGTGCAAATGAAAATTGAATGAACTCGATACTATAACGATTGGTTAGTTGACAACTTACGATTCATAATTTCGATTTCCTCTTCTTCTGAATCAGATTCAAACGGATTCATAAGCTGTTTTCTTGTCATCAATTGTTTACAATCATTTTTCGATAATCCTGTTGGTTTTACATTGGTTGTCGTATGCAGCTGCTGTTGTTGCCAGTACTGCTTTTGATTTAGCTTCATCGTTGAATTATCCAATCCATCAAATCTATTGAAAAGTGTTAAACATTTGGCTTTTACATTATCAATACTCCGATTATTTTGATCATCATCTGTCAATAACGCTTCGTCTTCGGCAATGGTCGAATAAGAATCGGAGATGGTAGTCGCTGAACCGATCATTGATTTTCCCGTAAAATATGATCTTAATTGATATAGATAGGTCATCACAGATAATTTATCTGGTACATTCAAAACGATCATATCGTTTGGATCTATCAATTTTGGTATGCCCAGTTTTGAGGCTGCGTCAAATACTTTTTTACAATTTCCAACAATATCAGATGGTTGTAATGAATCAAAATCAATCAAATCAGGACGAAAATGATGTATGATTGCACCGAATGCCAGGCCATTGCGCCATGATGTGGTCATATTAGTCACCATAACACCACCATAATCTTTCGTTATCATCTGACACCAGCTCAATAAATCTTCGGCCGTTGAAAAGCCTGATTGTTGTTGTTGTTCAAATTTTTCTTGTTTTTGCTGCTGTTGCAACCGTCGCATCATTGAATGGCTGAATGAAGATTCTTGATTGCTGATCGATTGTGCTGAATCGTCAAATTTTTCTTCAATAGATCTAAAGTAAAAATGTAAGAAAAATCAAGGAAATAATTAATTTTCAGTGTAAAAAAATTGGCAGTACAGCAAAACCTTAAAGCATGCTCAAATGATTATAGAACAGGAAAAATAGTCATCATCAATCAATCAATTAAAATGTGAATTCATAATTCCTTTCTTCATTCAATCGAAAACAGCTAAAAAAGGCTTACCGTTCAAATGAATTCTGATTTAACTTAATATACGAAAAGTGTTCTTCGTCGGCGTCATCGTTGGCCAAAAAATTCGAGTCAGAATGTTGTTCGTCTACAACCGATGAAAAACATTCTGACTCGACGATTCTGACGTCGTTTTGGTTGTCGTGGTCGTGTACATCACCACCAATTAGATATGACGACGGCAATGCATTTCGTCCTGATTCATCAGTGTGGTGTTGAGGTTCAAAACTAGTCGGTAATGATGCTTTATCCTGAGATCCCTGATCGGAAACAAGTGACGCTATTTGGATGGTATCAGGCTTATCACAAGGCTCACGTTCTAAACGAGAATGAGTCACAAAAGAATTGGCCGCGCTTGATTCAAAATTCTTTTTACATTTTGCGATTGATGAATCCGTTTGATGATTATGACGACGAGTAGGAGGTGGAGTATAAAGCTTTTGCTCATGCGGTAAGGCTTCAATCGTGAAATCCTGGACATGACAAGAGGGTTTTACTAGGAACATAGAAAAAACGACAAGACAAAAAAAATTAATCAAAGAAAACAACACACCAGCGACAAACAAAATTGAAAATTGTAACAATCATATACCATTGTCCTTTTTTCATTTTGATCCAATTCTGATTCTGATTCTTGTTTGTGGTACTTCATTCCGATTGGACTATCTTTGTCGCCTTTAACATTGCATATTATATAAAAGAGGGGTACACAAAAACCAGTTAGAAATAAATCAAGTGTAACATACGCGTTTTAAACATGCAACATGATGACCATTTTTCATTCCTATTCTTTGTTCCATTCATTCATCTATCAATGCAGATCTCATCTCATCATTAATTTATTTGTATTGTTTCCTTTATTTGTAGCGATTGATGGTTGCATCAAATTTTTTACGATAAATAAATGATGCAAAAACATTGATCCACTCTTACATTCTCGGTATTTTTTTTTTTGTATCTGTGAGTGTAAAGTAACTTTAATGAGATTGTGGCAATATTACATATTACTTTTTTTACTTTCCTATTTGAATCAATATTACAAGACAATGTTTGCATAATGTCAGGATACAAAGGCTTACTGTCAACGTAAAATAAAAACATTGTCATTTTAATCTAATTTGTCTATAGTTTTATCATGTAAACTCTATTTCCTAAATTCAGAAATGACAGGAAATGCTGCAAGCCATTCCTTTCAGACACATGTGTATAGACAAAAATGACAAGTTATGTTGTATCTAATAATATTTTTTTTTTTTTTAAAGAAAAAACAAAACAATCGCGTGAGGAATTTTCAAGCCGATTTAGAATCATAAATTTTTTTTTTGTTAATAGTTTCATATAAATAAAAACGAATTTCAGTTTATTATAGAAATAAATTTTGAATGAATTCAACGAGATGGATGGATGCTGATGATTCTAATGCATAATAATAATGGGGGGTCTGGAAAATAGCGTAATGATAAAACATAGATGGTTCAAATGGTCGTTAAAAGAATACGCATTCGGAATACATAATGATGACTAAAGGATGGTTCTTGAAAATATCTCAGCATTTTATTTGCCACTGACTAAGTCCATTATGAATTTCGTGTAGCTCAAAATATGAAATAAATGTTTCGAATGAAAAAAATGTGAAAAATAACTTGATACTATACCGTTTTGCACAATTTCTCGTTTATCGGTTGGGAAATTTTGTCGTTGTTCGTGTTGATCACCAACATTTTCAACCAAATTGTCATCAGTATTCAAAAATTGATTATTAAATTGTTCAATCATTTCGGATATTTCGTTCTGCGTTTGATCAGAATATTTAAATAGCTGAGGATTTTGATCATCATCATCTAGGTCAGGAGTCGGATCTGGACCATTCATGCTAATTAGACTAGCTAAACTTTGCATATCATCATCACTATATTGGAATAATATTTGAGAAGAATTTTTCACAGCTCAAATTCTTAATTTCAACTTACGTTGCTTTACCCTCTTTTAAAAATTGAGTTGCCATTGTGAATGAAATGTATGATCTTCGTACTTTTTTCGATGTAATTTGAAGTTTCTTTTTGGAAAATTCATGACGAGAAGGCACAGCAAATTGATCTTCATCAATAAATTCACTAATGTTGATGGGAGCTGATGCAATACGTCGTTGTTTTCCCATTGGTGAGATGTCCTCAATTGAAATTGTCCAATCTTTTGATTCAAAACGGCCATGTGAATCTTTGAACAATGTTACTTCGATATCAATGATTTCAGGCAATGTCCATTGTACAGAACCTAAGTATGGATTACGTATGGTTGGTTCCCAAATCATCGGTTGACTACAGCGGCGTCGACTTCGACGAGTGAACACGACAACCAATTTGTTCGGTTGCCTGTAGCCACATTTACATTAACATTATCATTGAATTTATTACAATTGATAAATTCTATCACTTACCATTTTGAGCATCCTTCAACAATTAATTCATGAAGTTCGAAAAGAATACGATATTTAACAGCACGTTTGTTTACTCGTTGAAGGCGTTTCCAAACGAAACTCATTTTGAAGCAAATTTAGTGGAAATTTTTGTAACTGAAATAAAAGTGAAAAGAACATAAAATGAAGGCCAATAGATGATGTGAATAGAATAGAATGACGATTATTATAACAGGAGAATTTGGTTCGAATTTTTTTATTGCTTTGTTGGAATTTTGAAGTTATTGCGTCTTGTTCGTTGATATTGAAGTTTGTTGATTAATAATAATAATAATAATAGTTTAATGTGATAGCCATCATCACATTCGAAATGAACCTGTATTGATCATCAATGATAGGATTAAAGTTAATTGCACAAATATTTATGGAATTCTAGCCTAAAATATTTACAATGGCTTTTGAAATATCTCATTGATTCCCTTGCAGTAATTGTATTCGTGTAATGAAAACTTTTTCAATAGAGAAATCGCCTTCAACAAACAAACTTCTCGTTAAATGATTGTTGTATATAAAATTTTCCTCATTATCATCGACATGATTTAAACTTGAAAAATAAATTCAAGAATACCCATGTACAAACAATCCATTTTCGCTGATTCATATAAAGAAAAATAAAATAACGACTGAATAATTCTCCGACCCCCCCAAAAAAAATACAGGCTAAAAAACTACCAAAAACAACCGGCGGGAAGGAGAGTAAAAGAAATCAAAATAAATAAAAAAAAACAGACCAGACTAGTACATCTGCTAAATATCAACATATAAAAATCTACGATGTATATGGAAAATTGATCGAATTCAAAAGAAATAGTATAGTCGAATATTGAATAAACAAACAAACACATGTGTCTAACAAATTTTATTTCTGTGAATCTAATCATCAACAACAATTCTGTTCTCTGGTCAATGCCAATCGAATAAAATTATTTTGTTGATTGATTGTTCTGATGTCGGGTATGGTGTGTCTGGAAAGAATGATATATGCCTCAATATGATAGACTCATTTATATAAATGTAATAAATATACTACTACTTACCCAACAAAGAAATCACAGAATAAATGCAAATTTATCAAACATTAATTTAATGGGAATAGAAAGGTTTGGAATATATAAGAATTTAATACTAATTCCAGTAGTATTTAGGAATCGCAAAAATGCATTAAGAATAATCGATTTGTTCTCTTTTGCCCATATCATTTTAAGATATTTATTTGACGAATAAAAGGATCAACAGAGGATAAGATTTCATTTTTTTCAAGAATGGAATTTATTGGAAATTTAGTTTTCAAAATAAAAACAATCAAAAATACACAAAAAGCATTGATTTATTAATATGCAATAAAAAAAAAACCCATTTCCACATCACAGGTTGGATCAGGTGGAAATAGAATCCAATTTATTTATTTTTTTTCTTTATGTCTTCGTTTGATTTCCGTTCTTCGTTTATATTTTCGTTTATGATTTTGTAAAATTCTTGTTTCGATTAGATTACGCTTCTGTAGACTTTTATAACGATCTTTCAGGAAATTACCTTCGGTTTTCAACGATCTTAATGATCCTGAAATTTCGCTAGGTAAATTCAATTCGATTGGTGTTTCCTCGAAATGATGACGACTTAATCGTTTTGGTTTGTACAAGGATTCAATGTGTTTGGCTTGTCGAAGTTTTGCTCGCTCCACGATTCTCTGTTCTCGTTCATTCAATTCCTTTTCTATTGCTTTGATCCGATAAACACCATTCTCTTTTATACGTGTCAATTTATCTTGTTCTTTTCGTTTCTTAATTTCTTTTTCGCGTAATTCACGACGTTTTTGTTGCTTTGTTTTTCTTTTTATGGTTTTAGCATTCACTATGGCCATGGTCAAATCTTGATCGTCAGCTATTTCTGTATGTTTTTCATCATCAACATTTTGATCATCATCAAACAATCCCTGTAACATTTCATTTAGATAGGCTTTTTCATTTTCTTGTGCTTCATTTCTGGTGAGATGGAATTTTTCCACTTTATCGGCCCACATTTTTTCTTCTTTCAATTTAGCTAATTCTTTTTCAGCTTCTGATATGATTAATGTTTGATAATCTTCTTCACTTGGATTATAAGATTGTCCTGGTAAAGGAATCTCGATTGCAGGCAACAAAGATGGTTTCTGCCGCAAATGTTCAGGTACTTTTTTGGCCATGGTCATTGATTTGTCATCATTCCATAGGTCATAGTTAATATTGAATCGTGATTTTTTGATGTTATTTTCGTACATGCTGAAATCACAGAACATTTAATTTGAATATTAATTTGAAAAAAAAGATAAATAACACAAGTAAATATATTTTTTTTTTTTAATCAACTTTTATTTTATTTTTCTTTTGTTGACAGCATGTTAGAAAATTTTTTTGTGTGGAGAGAGAAAGAAAACAAAACAACTTGCCAGCGAAATAAAAAGAGCACGCTTTCTGGACATTTACTTTTCATAAAGTTTGTTACATTATAAAGAATTCGATTCAATATTTTTCTACAATTGCCGTGCCGCCCCTTTTTTGTTGTGGAGTTTATCCATTAAAAATTCAACGATAAATTACAATGTTAAAAGATGTTACTGTTTGCTGTTTAGCACCGATATCTGACCCGAGAAGCTTTGATTTCAAAGCCTTCGGCGAGCAAATCATGTTCGTAAAATATAATTTGTTTGTTAAATACAGAACAAAACGTAATCAAAAGTTTATTGGAATTTGCCAAAGAAAAAATGGATCTTTTTGAAACAATTGAAACTAAAATTGAGTTTGTTACGTTTTTAACGTAATAATTTCGAATCCTTCATTGCTTTCTGTTTGAATCGTTTCTCTTGTTGAGCACGAATAATTGAATCTTTACGATCATTCCAATATCGAATCAATTTTTTATCATCATTATAAACAGTATGTCGTTTATCACTGCTTCGTTTTTGAATCACCACAGCTGGAACTTTCGATGTTGGCAATAATTTCTGATACAATCGATGTTCAGATGTAATTTTTCTCAATTTCGAATTATTGACCGATGATGAAAGGCTCGATTTGCCTTCTCGATTTCTTGAGACTTGATCCAACTTTTCCTGATAAAAAGCATCATCACCTGCTTTTTCGATTACAAATAGGTCATCATTCTTGGCATCACCTATGGAATGGCTAAAAAAAACGTTTGAAAATATATTATATAAAATAAATTTCCAACAATTACCCAATGCGTTCTTCAAATCTTTTATCGTCTAGAAATTCTTCATACTCGCTTATGTCTGTATGCTTTCGCCAAGCTTTTTTTCGGTTTTTGCTCACTTTTTTAAATTTTTTTCCAATGCCAGGCGAATTATCTGAGTTCATATTTTCTTTTAATAATTTATTAACATCATGATTGAAAACAAGAGCACAAAGAAAAGAGTAGTTTTTTTGAGAAGTTATCAACAGCAACATCAATTCACAGAGTGATATTGAGCTTGAACACGTGATTTTAATGAATTTAAGTGGTGCCATCCAGTGTCTCGGTAATGAATTGCGACAAAAATATTTGGACTTTCAAAACAGAAGAATTTAATTTGTTTTGAAAAGAATTTACAAACGAAAATTTTCTATTATTAAGACAAAATTATGACTATAAAACAATTAAGACTTTATTTTCGCATTATTTCTTAAGCTTTTTTTGGCGATTTTTTTTCATTCGATTACGCAATGATCGATTAGCTTGATTTGATTTAATGTTCCTCTTTTTGGGATCGACAATTTTCGTTGCTACCTGAACACAGGCAATCTTCTGCTCAGTAGGATCGGTAAGCATATAACTTACTTTGAGAGAAATCTATAACGAAATCAATCGATTAATTTCAGATTAAGAATCAATTCATTAGTGATAACTCATTCATTTGTTTACCGGTGGATAATACGGTTTTACTTCAAACCATGCTTTAAATTGATAAAGTTCATTTTTCTTCAACGGACAAGACGGAATAATGTTTCCGGAATTACAGGGATCGATTTGTTGTTGAGGAAAAGGCATTTCACGCCCACGGATCACACCTTTGATCACTTCGAATAATTTGTCTGTATTGGTAGCTGTTTCGATAAAAAAGTTGATCATGGAATCAAAATTAGATATATTTAGAAGCTAGAAAAAAAATTTTAATTATTAGATTTTGGTTTAATACTTTTTCAACCTGCTATATGAACACAGTTATATGATATGAAATTTTCTATAATTCTATAACCATATAATCGAACGATATTTTTATGCTAGCTATAAATACAAACATTTTTTTCGTAAAATGGCCAATTGACAATCGTACTTACGATTACGGATACCATATGGTCATCATAGAATTTTCATGAATGCATAAGAACATTACCAATAATTAAATTAAATATTGCCCAAGTCAAATATTCGTTAATCTAATCTATGCTTTCAGAATACAAATGATAATTATGATAAGGACCTTCTTTCTAATGACATTCGACTAACTAACAACCTGTCTTTTTTTTCACTGGTTCCTGAGAATTTCGTGCACGCATTCAGCCTTGGTCAAAATTAATTATACCAAGTACTGAATATAGAAAAATGAGAAGATACATCGTGGCACTTCTTCACGGTTCACGCGACATGAGTTCATTTCATTCTGTGTGTTTGTATTTCCGTTCACTGCATACCGCGTTTTGATCATAATAATTAATTAGCCGAGAAAAAGATTAGATTATTTGATTGACACGGTGATGATGATGATGATGATGATGATGATGGGATATTTTTGGTTCAATGGACATATATTTGTTCTTAAAGGAAAAAACTTACGAGCCACAAAATCTGCTTCAACAGTCACATTGGTGCCCAATTCGATGACGCATAGCGAATTATTATGGCTGCTGTTGTTGTTATTGATATTTTCCATACATGGAAATATTCGAACATCTTTCACGTTTCCTTCACCTGTAATAAATAATTAGGTGGAAATGAATTTTCTTTTACTACCAATCAAATGGAGAAATCGTGCACATTTTTTTCAAATTTTTTTTGTTTGGAAGCTATCAAATTGATTCTGCCAATCATTGGTAATACCATATCGATAGATAATTGATCAAAAATCAGCAAACATGAAATTCCAATTCACGATATTCTCATAGGATTTCAATTGAAAAAGAAAAGTTTTTCTTACCACAATCGATAAAATTGACAGATTGACTTTTGACCAAATTCTCGGCCATAATCAGACCGATGACGATGACAAATATGTAAATCGAAGACATTTATTGAATAAAAAAAAAATTCAATTGAACTGATGAAAAAATTGATTGAGAAAAAATTGGCGATAATAATAATAAAGATTCAGCTGTTGTTCACAATCAGAAGTGAAAAATTATGATTATTTACTTTTCGTTGACTTGTTCGTTGCCTGGACATTTTCTTCTTTCCATCAAATCAAAAATATTGTTGTCTTGTGCATGAAAAATTGTTTTCGATGATAAGGACAAAAATACTATTCAATAATAGTAAATGAAATGATGATGTGATGGCACAGTTCCAGACAGGCTAATTCTACGAATGCAATTCGTTGTTATACACTTCTCACAACAGGTATCATTTATTCAATACATACAATGAAAACAAACAAATTATATTTCAATTCAACTTTTTCAAAAAAAAATTTTTGTTTCGTGGACCAATGATTTTCGATAACAATTTGAATGTTTTTGTTTGTTTGTTTGTTTGTTCATTCATTCATTCGGAAAAAATCGGGAATAAAAAGACAAGTTGTATGTTGCCAAATACTCACTGTGTATGTGAATATATTCGAAATGAAAACCCGATAAAAAGTGAAAGTTTCAGTGAATAGTGGATCTGAAGAGTGAATCTGTGTTCATTCATCTAGAAATTTAGTTTTAGAGAGAGACCTTTTTTACCTGTCAGTTTCCATATACAACCATAGATTTTTTCCATTCACGATATGATATTTTTGATTTCACTATTCGGAAAAATTAAGTTAAGTTTATTTTTTCCTAAATCCGAAATCATCATAATCATCCATCATTGCAATTTTTAGTATGTGTATTTTATTCATCATAATTAATACATCATGATATTTTCTGATTCGTGTTATATTAGTGTGGATTTTTTCCATTCATTCACATCAATGGATAAAGATAATGATGTGAGTTTTGTTAAAAACGAAAATGATCGGTATTCATAGTTTTTCGCATAATGTATAGAAAAAATTTATTATTAATGAAACATCGGGCGACAAAAAAAGGCATTCGATGTTATCTAATGTTAAAAAAAACAACTATGAATCCATTCATAAAGGATTTCTATTTATAGCTCGAAAACACACACACACACATACATTTACCGATTACCCATAACCACTAACATCCGTCAAAAGTTTGAAACAATTTTTGGGAATAGGGAACTTTTGAATATATATTTCAATTTTTTGTTTATTTTCATTAAAATAGAATAAGAGTAAATAAAATGATGATGAAAATACAAAATGTTTATGATATACATACATAATGAATGAATCATAAGTATAAATCTCTAACATTAAATTCATGGAAGAAACAAAAGAATTTTATAAAAAATAAAATTAAAATGATATGGAGAAGTGATCCTATTTTTCAACAACATCAACCATTGGTTTGTTAAACGACAGCATAGATATTGAAATTATCTGCCATTTGCTGCTGCTGTTGTTGTTGTTGTTGTTGTTGTTGTCTGATATTACCATCCATCAGTTGTTGCTGTTGTTTGATCATGGCATTATTATTATTAGATAGATTCCTTATTTCTTGCGTTAATCGTAACCTAGGTCCCATAGGTATCCCAAGCTTTTGTAGCCGATCTTCATCCAATAACATTAGCTCTGTAATTCCAATCTTTTCCGATTCGAAATTTTTCAAATATTTCTAAATAGTGTTGAATTAAAAACATTGATTTTGTAATCATTCATTCATGAATAAGGGAATCGAATAAACACTCACCTCATATCCAAGTTTTTTTAAAAATTGTTTAAGCGTCGGTGTATCGTCCTTTTTAATTTTATCGACTTTTTTACTATTATTATTGCTGTTGTTCGATTCTTTACTGTGGCTAGTTTTACTATTCAATAGATGATTTGATTGCTGTTGTTGTTGGTGATTATGATGATGGCTTACATTCATCTGTGTTGATTTGTTGTTGTTATTTGATTGTTGAACAAAGCTTTGTTTCATGATAACCATTTGAGATCGAAGTATTTCCATATCATGTCGAAGGCTTTGTATTTGATCATTGAGCGTATAATTGTATTGTATATCGATTGAAAGCTGTGAAACACTTTTGGCCAATGTCAATACTTGAGATTCTAACCGCTTGCATCTGACCAATACTTGACTGGTCAAAAAAAAATCAAATCATATATGAAAGAAAAAATCAATTTAATCGGATCGATCAATCACTTTGATTTACATAATAATAACAAAATACCAACCTGTTATCTTCGGATCGTGAACGAATTCGATTATCATGACGATATTTTCGATACAGATGATCACGAGTATTTCGACTAGCGACTGAACTACGACCTGAATTTCTACGAAATAACTTCGTCTTACGATTTGCATTAAAAATATTTCGTTGACCGTTTTTATTTGGTTCATTTTTATCATGATGATGAAGCATGGTAAGTAGCTAATCAAATTGATTTAATAATTGATAATTAGAATCGATGGGAATTAGAATGTTTAATAATAACTAAATAGATTTTGAATAAGAATAATGGTTAACTTACCTCTGAATACATGTCTTCGATTCCTTTTAGTTGTTTCCTTAGTGGATCATTGAGATGACTACGAGTATGATTGCTATCATTGTTGATATGATCATTCATATATTCACTACAACCTTCATCAGGGAAGTTAGTTTCACTTGAAATTATCGATGTAACACCACAATCATCGACATCATCATCATTATTGTCATCATCACCATGTTGAACCACAGAACAATGATTCTGGTGATGATTATGTTTTTCATTTAATTTTTGATGCTGTTGATGGCCATGATGAGGATGATGATGATGACCATGATTAGATGTGGCAGATGATATTTCATTGGCATTATAATGATGTTGATGATGATTACGATATTTGCCTTTATCCGGTACGCTATAGATACATTTATCATATGATGGTAATGTATTGTTCGTCGTTGTATTCATCTTGGTCGCTTTTATTGGTTCAGTTATAAACTTATGCGGATTTGGAGGTAATTTCGTGACCGGTTTCAATTGTTGTTGTTGCTGCTCACCGCTTATTGTTGCTGAGGCTTTTGTTTGTTTGCCTAGATTAGAATTTAGGCAATTTTCTGGCTTAGAAAAATCGGTTTTCAATTTAATGTCTGTTTGATGATGATATCGATGTTTACTCATCGTAGAAGGCATTGAAACACCAACTTTATTCATAGTAGAAGTTAAAGTAGTTTTCGTTTTAACTGATGAATTCATATTCATCGAGCCCAAATCATCGGAAAGACTAGTCCAGCTATCAGTTTCATCATTCATTGGCAATTTCGTTCTGAAATCAGTACCATTTAATTCACTATCTTTGCCTGAAGATCTAGGCTCTAGATACCGTTGAAGCTTATTGAAATTTTGCTTTGACTTTGTTGTGGAATTTTCACGGCGAACATTATTCTTATTGTTTGATTTATTCCAATCAGAATCGATATGATGATTACTTTGGTCTGAATCCAAACTAGTCAGATCAGCAGGACTATTCACATCTAAATTATTACGATCTTCCGCTTGGCTATTCATTGTACCACGACCAGATTCGGATGAGGATTTATAATTATGATCATGTGATTCAACACTTTCAGTCGGTTCGACACCGCCATTCAAACTTAATGTGCTACCTTGTCGGTGTTGCTGCTGCTGAGAATGATGATTGTTCATAATTTGTTTAGCAAAATCACCGTTACCATTGTTGTTTGAAGGACGAACCATAAGTCCATTAGGGCATTTATTGTCGTCAGTATCGTTAACGATAACACAACGTGCAACTGCTTCATGTCCATTCGAATCGTTATCGACATTTAATCGAGTGGGTGAATGATGAACACCATTATTCTGATGGTCATGTGGATGAAGATGCATATTGGTCATCATAGTCGATGATGAGTTATTAGAAAATGAATATAAGCTCTCTTTACGAGTCACTTTATCGACATTCATTTCGGGAGTTATATTACGAAAACACGTATCAATGGAAGATTTTTGCATCATTGATGATAAAACTTCGGACGATGACGGACTGTTGGATGTGGCAGCAACGGCCAGCAGTGAACTGGAATGAATGTTGCCATTCGGGTTGATGTTGTTGTTCGATTGAACACAAGGATATTGTTGTTTATTGGCAAACAATTTATTACACACTGTACGTAGATCGTAATGATCACTTTCAGTCGTAGCCGCAGCGGAGTTCATCATCACCATTGATTCTAATTCACTTGAAGGTCTCAACAATGTTGCCGATGTCGAAGATGATGATAAATTATTAAGATTATTCGATATTGAGGCACTAATTGTATACTTGTTCAAAGTGTTCAATAGACAAGAATCGATATGATGTAGTTGTTGGTGATGGTGGCTTAGATTTGAATTGGCTATAGATGAGGAAGATTGCCATTGTTGCATAGTTGATGGTAATGGAGCATCATTATTATTGTTGCCGTTGCAATCATTATCATCATTGCTTTTATTATGAAAACAATTTTTTTGTTCTTGTTTTATATTTGATTCCAGAGAGCCAACAGCATTAACATCATCAATATCAGGATGGAATGATGTTGAGGATGCTAGATTTCCATATGATCGATAAGTGGATTCATTTTGTCGTTTACCGTTAAAATGAACATTAGTTGAACCAGATTTTGGCAATGTTGTTTGTTGTCGTTGTTGATTATTTTGTTTTACAACAGATGATGGCAAAAGAATGGCTCGAATTTTCTGCTGAAACAAACTTACTTTACTTGTTGTTGGAGAAGAAGATGAGGGGGCAGTAATAGTCGTTGTTGGTGATTGTTTACCATTCAGATGAAATGAATTTTCTTTAGACAAATTTTTATTACTGTTCGATGTTGTCATTGAAGAAGATGAATTAATCATTTTATCCAAATTATTCAATGAGATTTGTCGTCGTAATTCCTGTTGTTTGTTGAGGTAATGTTGATTCATATTGTTCGATGATAATGTTGTTGGAGATTCAGAAAATTTTGAACCAAAACTATGACAATTAGCGGCCATTAAAGAACTTAAAGTAGAATTTGTTGGTAATGTACTTGAATTTCCCGGTTGAAGTGACTTTATCGAACGTTGATGATTGTTTGTAATTGTTGTTGTTGTTTGGATACCTTTTGATTTATTATGATTACGATGAGGTAATGTTGAAGACAAAAATGATTGATTATTGATCTCATTATCAAAATTGTTGGATTTATCACATCTTATCATTTGATGTTGCGGAGGTGTTTTTTGTACAGTCGAACCATTCGAATTGGACAGAAGCATTCGATGTTCTTCCACTGGAGATAATGGCCGTGTTGGTCGACAATCTTCTTGATCTAAGCCTTTGTGTGATTCTAATTTTGTTCAGGATGGAAAAAAGAAAGAAACAAGAAAAACGTAGAGCGAGTGATTATTATTATTATTATTTGATGAATCCAATTATTATGAATTTTTGATACTTTTCGGAAAAAAATACAAAATGAGACGTTCTTTCTCATACTACTATAACAGATCAAACCACTGTAAATATGTTTAGTATGTCAGTGGACCGAACATCGGAAAACATTGGCCATCACCATAATCATCATCAAAGTTGATCAAATGTCAAGCTGTCAAGACAAAAGTTAGACGCGCAAATCTTTCAACATACACACACAAACAAAGAGAAAAAATATTTCTACATAACCGATAACACGAAAGAAAAAAGAATGGAAATTTTTTTTCATATCGGATGAATCCGAACAATAGGATGGATTCGAACAAATAAGGAGACGTCGACAACAACAACGATCAACATCATGACGATCATGATATGTGATGTGATGAGTTTTTCATACTTGCATACAAGCATATCATCTTGGCATATCAATCCATCCGTCTATATTGTATACCCGTGTCGATGTTTTTCTCTCCTTCTCATCTATTCATTCATCAAGTATTCATTTTTATTAAAGATTGTAGCATGAACCTAAAGTTAGAAAAAAAGAGAGAGAGAGAATATCCAAATGGATATGGTGGCTACTATTAAATAATTTCGGCCATATCTATCCATATTTTTTTTTTGTAACCAACTAACTGAAAGGGCAAATACCGACCGATCACCGATAAAACATATACAAACGACTTTAAACATTTACCGGTGTGTGTCGTGGTCGTCATATACTTTATGGTTCATCATTATTCTAAAATGAAATTGAAAGACTTCTTCATGGAAAATAAGATTTGGTCCAGAAAAAAAAATTCAAAATAGGTTTAATGAATAAAATGATTACCATCATCAACAAAAATAACAAAACGATTATTTTTGGTAATATCCAACCATCATTTATTGTCAGTAATGATGATGGTGATTCGATTCGTTCATTGTTTTTAAAACAACGGTAAATTCTATTGTCTTTGTGTTATTAAACATCAAGCAATTTAAAATGCAACAAAACTAAATTAAAAAAAACCACAAATGATGAATCTGGCAATTTGTGGAGAAAAGCTAATGAATGCAAGAAATAAAAAAAAAAAATTAAATTCATAGGCAAGTCCGAACAGCGACGATGAAATTATTCATCTTTTTTTTTGTCGGAGCAATTAAAGTTAATCAACTATTAGAATGAAAACTTTAATTTTCATTGATGATGAAAGTATGTCCGCCTATAAAATATTATTTTGAAGTAATTGTCTGACCAGATCAATTGTTTCTTGATGAATATATATAAACAAAAACATAAAAAAATGAAATGAGAAAAAATATGAAAATACAATCATCATCATTATCATCATTAACAAGTTCAATGCACAATTACATAATTTGTCCGTGATTGTGATCCACATTTGTGAATAATAACTGGACTATTGTATCATTCCACCATTTGTATTTTAGAATCAAATTTGCTTTCCTACGATGATCATATTGATGATGATGATGATGGTAACAATTATTTTCATGAGATCAAATAGAAGATTTATTCCAGCTGTAAGCAAAATTTGTAAGATTATTACTATTGTTTTAATTACGAGTATGGATGCTGAACAAACAATGAATGGATAAAAGAAAAAAGAAAAGAAATCGACCGCCATAGTGGACGTTTTTTAAGCCACGCCATGAATTGTTTTTCTTTTCTTTTCTTTTTTTTTGTTGTTGTTTTTCAGAGAATCATTAATCGTAAATGTGAATGATTGAAGATTAAACAATTGTATATTTGATTGAATATGAATGAAAAGAAAGTCATTCATAAATATTTTTACATTTGTACGATGGACACGCCATTTATTAAATTACAAAGAAAACGAGATCATTCCATTTTTATTATTGGTCAACTAAATCTTCAAATGACAATGGTTAAAAAAAATGATGAAGATTATTAAGAAGATCATCATGATAATATAATGATCTTATAATTATAAGAAACATTGTGTTTTTGTTTGTGGCTTGGCCAAAAAATGTTGTTGGACAACGAACAGGGAAAAAATTAAAATCATGAATTTTTAATTTATTCATCTACTCTGGATTATTATTAATCTCATAAAAATCGCCTAATTAACTGTGTGAATTTTGTACCAGAATCATCATTGTAATCATAATCAATGAACTTGAGAAAGCAAAAATCCGGATCTCAACATGGACAGCAATCACATAGTGGGATGTTAATTTTATTATAAGATGTTTAAATGATATATTTTTTTCTGATATACTTAAATAATGATAGACAAACAATAAAAATAAACAGAAAAAACAACATACCTGTCATTGTTGGCATTGTTTTTTGATGATTATTATGACTATGGTTATGATGATGGCTATTGTTGACAAAAGCAGATAATGTATTCTGTTGTAGATTTGTTTTTGGTTGACTCGAAATGGCCAGGTGACAGGATGACATTTGACCAGGATGCATGATTTTTGTTTTGATTATTTGTTCATTAATATTACAACTTGTTGATTCTGGTTGTAAATGGTGTTTAGAATTTGCCAATGTCAACAACCAATACCACGACGACGATGAAGGTGTTTGATTGTTTGAATGAACTTTTTGGTCAAATATTCGTTCAAATTGATTTTCACAATGTTGTTGTTGTTGTTCTTGTTGTTTTTGTCGGCTATCGTTGTTCGCATGAGCTGTTAATGATGAATGAATGTCGTTGGAGCGCGTGGGAAATTGCTTTTTCTTCTTCTTTTTTTTGTTCGTTGAATGTCGTAGGTCGTAGTCGTTGCTATGGCTAATTGAACTAATACTGCTGCTATTACTTCTGCTTCTGTTATTGACTTTATTATTCGTTACTTCAGGTGATCTTTCGTCGTCGTCGTCGTCAGTATTATTATAATTGTGACAATTGTTGTGTAAAACAAAAAACTTCTGTTTGAACGGAATCAACTTTGCCTGATAATAATGACGATGGTGGCAGTGATTGTAATGATTTTTTCTTAGTTTATGTTTATTTGGAAAGGAAACGGCAATTTGATTATTGACCAAAGACTATATGATGAATGAATTTAAAAAACAATATAAAAAGATGTGAAAATTAAAGAAACAAAATAAATTACAATAATAATGATCACAAAAAAAATTATCATATCGAAATGATCATTAAATTTATCGATTTAAAATTAATTTTACCATCTCGCTCATCATTTGATGCTTGCGAAGACGTTTTTCGAATGATAAAAACATTTTTAAAATCTATCAACAAACAAATTCTAAGGTCTGAATTCAATCCATTTCGACAATCAACTGATATAAACTAAAATTTTGTTTTGAAAAAAAAGAGACAAAATGAAATCGAAAACAGACATGGTCAACATCATGATTGGTTTGTAATTCTACTGATGATGATGAACAAAGATCAGCTCAAAAAAAAATTAAACGTAGTGATGACCCAGGTCAAATCGATAATGTAGACAGGAAAAAAATATATTATCAACAGCTATTCTAAGTGCTTATCTGTATATTACATATGAAATCATAATATGAAAATGAATGACCTTGCTACGGCTTTGTTACATTCTCAAAGGTCCGATCTGGTTTGCACGAGATAAACAACCAATTGTCGACGATTCAATAATCGTTTTTTAGCAATTTTTCGAGGGTTTGTTGATTGACCACGAATCGAATTTGAACATATGAATTAATAGATGTATAATACAGTATCGATGATGAACATAACAAAAATGTCTAAAACAACAACAACAACAACAAAACAACCTTTTTTCATCATTATTATCATTTTGCATCGTACATTATTTCAAGTTTTTTTTACAGTCACGAATTTCGAATATTGATGAACGAAAAATTAAGACGACTCATCAGGTAAGGCACATACGGTAAGACTAATGATCATCACCAATCATTGATGGTCGTTATCAATCTGTTTTAATGAAATTAAACAACGTCTATAACAGGATCAAAACTCAATCGGCTAGTTTGATCACTTACAAAAAAATGAACAATGCCGCTCTCTTGTAGACAACGCAATCGATTCTAAATTGTTTGCAAGATTGACTAACCAAATATATATTTTCACTGGTTGGCGATAATCATCATTATTTTTTCAACCAAATATTTATGGCTAAAAAATGAAATAAACAACAACAACAAAGAGGCTATTATTTGCGAAGGTGTAGAGAAAAACCAGAATTTCAGGAAACAATATTTTATAAATTTCGAAAAAGCAGATAAATTAGTGTCGGTGATTTTATTTCAGCCAAATCGCTAACCATCTTCTTTAATAGAAAATGATTGATCAAAAAGAAAAACAAGCATGTAGCTAACTATTACATATAAGAAAGAAATAGAAAATAATTTAATTAACCTGTTGCTGTTGTTGTTTGCATCTAATATCCAGATTTTATGTGAGAAATGTTTTTGAAAAATTATTTCATATATTCAACTATCTTATTCTACAAGTGATTTCGATGGATTATGGATGTAAATGAGATCAAAAAATTTTTTTTTTTACAATTTAATTGCAATCAAATCACAAGCAATAATTCACACACACATTGAGATTGTATATGAAGGTAAAAATGTAAGAATAGACATGGAATTCAAATTCCATTTCATCATTTCGTAAATACACTTGGTTGATTATCATCAAGAACCATTTGCATAGCATTCATGTGACTTTCGTTAATTATACACACATACTAAAAACACTTTAGCAATTAAACACAAAGTTCAATGAGGATTTCTTATCCATTCATTGTTCTATTACCTGTTGATCATCATCAAGACATATGGTATTCGTCTACAGCGAAATTGATCATCGTCATCATCATATGTAAAAACAAGGCAACCATGACCGATGTTGATGATGATGATGATGTGATTCTCAACATATTACCAAGTATTATGATGGTCATCGCGCGCTTCGATGAATCTTTAAACAACAGGAAAAAGGGTCTTGTGATTGTGTGTGAGCTGAATATTCTTCTCATCATCATCTCTCTCACACACCACAAGTTGTTTATCATCATCACCATCATCATCATAATTATCCATAATCAAATATAAGTATGTATATATGCAAGTGATCCAAACGGCGGAAAAAAAAGGTAATAATGGGAACTTATTTTATGTTGATAATGACCAATAGAAAAAACATAAACAAAACAATAAAAAAAAATTACAACATTTCAGATGATAAGAGAAATTTTTTCCAAATCGTGATATCAATTATATTTTTTTTTGTAAAAAAATTTGAAATTTAAAAAATTTAAAAATTCAACAAAAAAAGCCATATTATATCATGATGATGAATATCATTAAAATTATTGTTCCAATAAAATATGTATTTCAACATATTTGGTGTGAACAATATGTTGAAATGGTAATAATAACGTAGGTTTCATTCAATATTCATTATATTGCGAATTGGAAAAAAATGCGGATATTTAAAAAAACAAATAAAAAAAAAAAAAAAACAACGATGACACAAAGAAACAATAAAGATAAATATGAATGAATCGATCAAAATGATTATAATCAAAATGAATAGGATAAAATTATCCAAAAAACCAGTATAGATTTTATCGGTAAAGATAACCGCGCCTTCCATTTTTTTTCCTTCATTCATTCATTCATTCATTCGGTTATTGTATGTAATAAATGAAATTTCCGTTCTAAATTTTTTATCATTTATCCTAAATCTATATATACCGTAAAGATTGGCACCTAAGTAAAACAAAAAAAAAAACAAAAACAAAATACCAAAGTTATTCAAATTTAATTCTGTTTCATTATCATCGGGTTCAATGTACATTATTATCATTATTACTTGGTTGTATGTATTGGTGAATGATAAAAAAACAAATGAGATGATCTGTTCCAGTTTTTATCTCTCTCTCTCTCAAATGGACAACCTAAGTTAGCCTATTATCATCATCATCATCATCATCATAGTGATTCATAAATTGTCTATATATTTGGCCCAAAAACAGATATTTGGTTTAATTATTTTTTTCTTTGTTTTTATCATTATTATTCTTTTGTTTTTTTTCCTGTACACTACAAATGACCGAATGTGTTATACAATATATTGTTGATGCTGCTGCTACATTATCAAAAAAAAACTAGCAACAAACAATGGCCAATATCTTGATGTCAATCAATCAATCAAAATGACAAGAAAATAGTCAATGAATTGAGTAAAATTTGTTTCAATGTTTTCAAAAAAAATCTGAAATTATGATGATGAAATTAGCTGAACAAACTAGAAAAAAATATGACAACCGTATCGATTTAAATATATTTTTTTTATGAAAAAAAATCTCATCATGATCGTGGCTGTAAAATTATTTTGTTTTTTAAAAATAGACGATACGATTTGTTTAGATGGCCACCTGATCATCATTTATGAAACTTATGATGAAGAGGCCGTTTGAAAGAATTTTCAAAGTTAAATCACTATATTTAGTGAAATATTAGAAATGAACAAACTAATTTAGAATGAATGAAAATTCTACTCACAACAAACTATCATCTAAAAGACCACCGCCGGTGAAAACACATTTTTGAATTTTTCTTCTCTTCTTTTGCTAAGAAAATTATTTTGTAATAATTTAAGATATAAAATGCTGTCTTTTTCTCGCTGTGGCTAAATTTTGATAAATCTATCCATAATGTATACCGGATCCATACAAGTTTGTTGTTTTGTCCATGTACGAGATAATCGAATAGTCACGAGGAAATAAATTCCTTAGCAAATCATGGCAAATACATAAGAATGGCACGTGATCATCATTATTTCATTGTGAATGTGGTCAAATATTTACCAAATGGGATGGTTATTAAAAAAAATTACAAAAAATGGAAATAAAAGTTGTTGTCGATAGGAAAAAACATTTTTTTCACTCTTTATTATTGCTTCAATCAAGAAAGTTAAGAAAAAAATTCACACATTTCGACTAAAATAGGCATTTTCTGGTGTTTTTTGTTTTGGTGTCAGATAAACATCATTAAGAGCGAATAAATTGGTTTTTTCAGGCCGGAAAGATGTATGCTACAATAGATATTGGACGACAAAATCGTTAGACACACCTAGAAAGAAAAAAAAATTTCATTCATATACACATTTTCGTCAAAAAAAAAACCTGGCTATTTACAAGTTCTGTGTATGTCTAGATAAAAAAAAATTAAGCGAAAGGACAAATTTTCAAATGTGTTATATAATCACATCTAAATACAATGAAAACAAATAAATCTTTGATTTACATAAAATCAATGATTCTATGACAGCTAAATTAATTTAACCACCAAGATTTTTCCAATCAAATTCAAACAATGGCCGAAATTTTTGGACTTTATAGTATTTTTTTTGCCTAAGCCTCAGGGCAATGAAAAATGTCTGTCGATAATTAGTCTTTTTTTTAATGGTTCATGTTCTTTCAGTAATTCCAAGTAGAGCACGATAGATACGAAACATTATGTGGAAAAGCAATGCAATAATAGGATAAACAACAAAAACATACAAGATTGGTTTAAATTGGGCGAAAATGCCAGAAAAAATTCGGACAAATAAAATAAAAAGATTGATCGTTATGATGAATAAACTGAACTGCCACCATCAGAAATGGATTGTATCCTATTAACTCGTAAGACCCAAACCAAATCAGAAAACTCAAATAGAAAAAAAAATATTCTACTCGACAGCATTTCAATAATTTACAAACAAGATTCTCTTTACTATATATATGATTAAATTCCAGACATTTAATTGGTGTCATAGTGTGAATGTCAGCCACTTTTCATCGTTGGGTGGTGGTGAGATATGATTGTTTTACTAGATGTTGATGCGATGTGATGCATCACAATCAGTCTGCTAAAAACAACTATTTTCAATAAACGAAGCAAGTATTGGACTGAAGTAGAACATGAAAAAAAACAGTGAAAAAGATAATTGATCGGCAAAAAAAAAAAATACCAAAAAGGAGTGTATCTCCAAAGGGATGGCAAACAAATTATCATTCTAAAAAAAATGAAATGAAATGATCCATACTCATTAGATACTAAGACTATAAACCCAAATATATTGTTAAGAGAAAAATAATCGACAAACATAAATCACTACTGACAAATAGGATAAAAATGAGAAATAAAATCGGAATTGGAATAAATATGAAAATTTTTTTTTAATGAGAGCAAAATAAGATTCGAATAAATGAATAAAATGATTTCATCACACACACACATAAACACTTATCAATCAACCACATAGGCAGGTGAAATATTGCCCATTGAAGAATTAATAAATCACCACTTTGAAAACTAGTATTGCATCATCATCAACTCTCTCTCTCTCTCTCTCTCTCTCTCTCTATCTCTTTACCTATTCATCTGTTTATAATCTTTAAAACCGGATATTTATGATAATTATGATCAACAACTTGTCGACAGATTTGTTCATCATCAATAAAAAAACCGCGGATAACGAATAGCCCTAAAAATGATATTGATTGCACAGCTTGATTGAATGTACAACTAAAAAATGACAATAAATTTTTTTTTCATGTTGACTTCAGATCGTAATTATTATGGATAACCCTATATGATGAATGTAATGAATGAATGGCTGTCTTAGGGTTGATTCAAAACTAATCGAATGCATACATAATAATAGAATTCTAACAAAAGAATATGAATGACGGGCCATAAACACAAAAAAAGGTTAACATTGTTGTCATTTTGATATGCAAAATATTTAGTCGGTCGATTATTTTTTGTCTACTGCTATACAACTATCATCATCATCATCATCATCATTGTTTTCATATAGTCATCGGTAATAATTTAAAAACGGAATGACAAGATTTCATGATGAATGAATGGCAACAACAAAAAAAGATTCATTTTATTTTAAATTTATTCACATGATGGCCATGGTCATGATCATGTCAACAGATAATGATGAAAAAAAAACAGATGAAAATCTAATGACTTGATGATGATGATGATGATGATAATAGCTATGGTTGATAATAATGATAATCAAGATGAAAACAAACTACTTACACACGATATTATGTGTAAACGAATTTTTTTCCCTAATATCAACTACCTGTTGTGAGCGTGAATAACCAAAATGAACAAAATGGTCAGAAATTGAAACTAAAATTAATTGATTAATTGTCATTCACTATACATAACATTGTGAAACAGCCAAAAAAGTTCCTACTACTAAATTGAAATTTTTGAATTACATCTGTCCTTTTTTCTCATCATCATCTATGTCACAACGGAAATCATTTTAAGACAGATGTTTAGTAAAATCTGGCCTCACAAACGCATAATTTCTAATAGTTTATTCAAGGGCTTTATTACCCTCGTCCGTTAGTTAATTCGACGATGCCAATAACCGAACGATCGAATTGAATTAACGAATTAATTATCCACATGCAATAATCTGATATTTTAGTCCATTCGATAATAACACCATTATTGAATTTCAAGATGATAATAAAAAAAAATTGAAGGAATGTTCAGCAATAGAATCATCAATCAAAATTTTGCCACAATAGAAAAAATAAGAATAATAAACCTGGAAGTATCAGGACATTCATCTGTGTTGGGTTCGGCCATTTACAAGAGTATAATTATTATCGATAGAAAGGAGTATTACAGAAGCAAATGGTCAAGATAAAATGGAAAAAGGCCTTGAAAAGAAATAGCTCGAGCGCCAATTTGTTCACCTATTAAACAATGTTCGAATTTTTTTTTGTAAGGAAAAAAAATTCCAATTCCCACATATTTATAGATAATAACAAATTTTTCTATATGAAATAAACTGCCAAAAATCAAGCTAATTATTCCAGATAGACTTTCCTTTGATCACAAGGAGAAAATGTGTATTTGAGTGAGCCTCAATAAAAAAATTCTCGCCTAGAGCTGATGATAATTGAATTAATGATTTGGCGCCAATTTACCCACAACACGAAAATCATCATATCGATTCATTCAATTAAAACACAGACAACTGTGACAACACAATCATCAGGAAATTCCTTAGGAATTTCTGCAAAAAATCAACAAAAAATCATTATATACGGCGAATCAATCGAGCGCAACGTTCAGTAAATTTGAGACTTTTCAAAATGAAGAATTTTCACAACAAAAAAGTCATTTGAATAGTAAAGAAGAAAAGATGGCTTACTTCAAATTGATCATCATCACAATGTACGAGTGGATCGTCTTGATGATGATTGCAGGTATTTTTTCATTCATTCATTCGCCCATGGTGGTCGATGTTTTTCTACTTTCGATATATGTCCATAACCAACAATCATCAGATTTGTCCGCCTGACCAAACTGAAGAACGAATTAAAGAACGAATGAAATGTGATCACACACGAAGATGAAACAGAGAACAAGAGAATAAAAAGAAAAAAAATGTATTCAATGATCATTTAGACATCGATGATTATTGTCGAATAATATAGAGACACGCCACAAACACCGAGTCATATACAATATGCTTTTTAACTTTTAAACTTGTTTGTCAAATATAGGTGAGTCTGAGGAAGTGAATTGGCAATCATTCATCTTCTTATGAACAACAATACTTTGAGTTTTTAAAGATTATGACCGGATGATTGCTGATGGAAAGGTAATTCGATTTTGTTACACTTTCCATGAATCACAGAAAAACACGCACAAATCAAGTGTTATGAATTCAAACAAACGATAGCTAAGATCAAAAATGATCGACCACCAAGCTCGATGATGGTTATTGTTTGAATGAGAGTATAGCAAACTACTCTCTCTTAGATGTCCAACGCGATCATCTCATGATGAGCGCGCGTGAATGAGAATAAGAGCATAATGTCTTGTCCGTATGTAGTGTTTTTGGTCGTGGTTTCATCTTCAAATGAAGATCAAAAAAATGATTGCTGCTATTGTATGTGTTTGACAAACGATGCCATGGTTGAGACGAAAATCCATCAATACAATTTTTTCGAAATGAGAGAAGCAAAGATAATTATATACCAAACAAGGAATATCGAAATCGAGTGATGGGCAATTCTAAAATATCCACTTGATTCAACTTGGTTGTAGCCGATTCACATCAGAAAAATATTTATAATCAATTATACAGACATTTTTGATTGAATAGAATTTTATTCAGATTAAAACCGCGGTGATAAATAATGAAGGAATGTCTGTGAACAACGTATGAAACATAAATTCGAAATATACTGGCAATGTATAAACCAATACTAAATAGTATCACATGTCGATTCGCAGGTGAGCAAGTTTATTGTTTTCCAAAATCTGTTCCTAAATGCAAAATGTCTACACATACATTATATCGACGATATTTAGAGATCATTCAACATTGGCCATTGGATCCAAATAAGTTATCTCGTGATCTTGGTGTTCATATTCGTGCTCGAATCGGTAAACATTTTCCTAAAGGTGAACTTAGTCCGATTGATTCAACATCGATTCCAACGTTACGTGATGAACTTAATGCATTGGAACGTTTGACGAAAAATGTTAACCGTGATTCACATCGATATAAAGAATGCTCAACAGTTTCTGGCATGACAGCCGAACAATTAGCTCGTGTAACATCTACTGAAACAATCCAATCTATGAATGAATTCTATGATTCTGGAATAGTTAATACATTGAAATATCGATTCTTTTCCATGTTCAAGAAATAAATGTGCAGATTAATATCCTTATTATTTTAGCTTATTACATTAGTTTAATAATAGATTCTAGTTTATTTTTGTTTCATCATGTTTGAATTGTTAAAAGAAGGTCCATACGTTTGTATCCATTGTGGCTATCCGGACAACAAAGATGTCTATAAAATTTATGGCGATCAAGTCAAATATCATAGCCGATCGCCATCATCAGCATTATGGCTGGCTACAACATCATCAACAACTTCAGCCATTATCAATGATAATAATGATGTTCATAATCATAAAAAGCAAAGTAAATTAACACCACGATTGACCAAATGTCAACGCTGTCAAAAATTGGTGGATGAATATGTTCAATTGGATTATAACATTCTATGTTTGGATGCCATCCTACAGAAGATTACATTCTATCGTCATATCCTACATAATTGCCGAATGGCAGGCAATAAAAGTTCATTGAAAATGGCGTTAATTTTCTACTTTTGTGAAGCATTTCAACGTTGGTCTACATCAAACGGTGTCACATTCACATCGGAAAAGAAAACCACAGTATCGCCATCATTGTCAGATTCATCATCATCACATTTATCATCATATTTTCAGTTCGAAGTGAGCTTCTATTATAATTTCTTATGCGTCATTCTCGAATCTTCATTGTTCAATCTATTATTCTATTGTTTCTTCAAAATAGCCCTTACCTTTTTCATGAACAAAAAGAACAGTTCTCATTATCCAATCAACAAGAACTGGATATCATCATTCAAAGAAATGTTTATGTCGTTGATCATTTGTTCATATGGAAAATTATTTTTTATACCATGCACACTATACGGCGGAGATTTAAAACCGATTCTCGAATTATTCATCAAAATTTTTTATTCATGTTCTTTGGTTCAATGTTCAAATGTTAAATCACATTCGATGTTGAATCGATTCTATTCATTATTATTAGTACTGTTTACCCATCTGATTCACATGTTTTTAGTTGCCAATCTACACGGGCTATTGCCATCAAATTTTATTAATAATTTACAAAATTTTCTCGTTTAAAAAAAAAAAAATTATATATTTCATCATTAGATTTAATGTTTATTTTCATCATTATTGTGATCATCGTTGGTCTTTTTTTTCTCGACCAATACGAATCCTTCCAAATGGCTACTTAATGGTCTAAATAAATCAGTTGCAAGCTCTGCCCTCTCGTTTCGATTCAGCAAAACAGGCGTTGTAAATGTTCCGAATGCGGTTATAGCGCGTGGTTTCCATCCGGCTACACCAATGGTATCCATTGATTGGCCAACACGAACCGGTATAGCAATCGAATTCATTTTTGTGTCTAGTGTGACGAGAAATTTTGGACGAATAGAACCGGCTATGAATAGAAGATAGTAATGATGTCGTTGGATCAGATCGTTAACAGGATCGACAAACAATCGAAACATAAACGACATAATGGATGCCAATGAACTTTGTCGTAATAATTGTGGTGTTTCCATTTGTGGTGATAAAGTGAGAACTCCTTTGCCCATATAGAGCAAACCTTGGGCCACTTTTATGGCGAATAAACGATTTACTTTGTCACGATTGAACGCATCAAGTTCGGTTAACATTCGAGACACTCGCGAATGATTAGTTCCAGCACATACAAATCCCAATGCTAAGATAGCGTTGATAGCAACATTTTCATCGGTGAAATGACAATACTTATGAAGTAGTTCGATAACATTCATCTTCGGATCGGATAGATTTGTTAATGCAATGGCTATGAGGACTGATGATTTGATACGAACACTTCCAAGTTTCAGAAATCGTATAAACGTTTGAAAGACCATTTCCGAATTCAACTGATCGCTAATGGAAACTAGGCCAATACCGATGATGGATAACATTTGAATTAGTTCATTGTCGGTAATAGTGGCTGCATCATTTTTTCGGTTATTTTTGTCATTTTTTTCATTTTCTTTTTTACATTTTTCATCATTTGATTCGTCCTTTTTTTTCGTCAATTCATCAGTTATAATAGGACTACAATTACGAAGTAAATATTGAATTTTTAAAATATTTGAAGAGCCAATGTAGGCACAAATCTGAACACAAAGTGATAAATATTTTCCCAGGCTTGATCTTGTCGATGTTGTTGTTGATATCGATGTTGTCGACGCTTCTCTTTGTGGTGTATTAAATCGTTGGTTAATTAAATCAATTAACGTGGGCAGATCCTTTCGACGGAACATGGCCACCAGGCCAATCGCGTGAATTAAATCGCGTGTACTCGAATCGGCGAGTTTCATTTTGTCGATATTTTTATCCATTATTTCGATCAAACGATTAATAATCAACATATTACCAGTGGAATGTGCAATTAGGCCACAAGCTATTGCACTCAATTCCAAAGGATGTTGCCATTGTTGATTACGGTCAGATGATGAGTTGTTGGCCATCATTGGATCTAAAATTGATTTGATCACTTCACCATGATTAGTACCTAAATATGCCATAGCCAATCCTGCAATCGAACCGATACGAATCGATTGTGAACGATTCATTATATAATTCTTAAGCAATAGATATGCTGGTTCGTAGTCAGATTTGATTGTTGTATTGATCAAACCGAATGCCATCAATGCACCCGCTTTAATATTTTCATCTCTGAATCGTAAAAATCGATCAATTTTTAATAGGCCATTTTGCATATCCCATAGGCATAAAAGACCCATCGTAGCTGTTGCTGTCATTCTACACAAATCTTTATGGCGACCAATCCAATCAGTTCCAGTTAAAACTAACTTATCAGTACCAAATGCAGCATTAATAAAACAATTCATGAATGAAGTTCCAAGAACTGATTGTTGGTTATATGTGGGAAGCATTGGTTGTTTTTTCCGATTTCGCCTGTTCAAATCCTTGTGGACAATATCATGAGGAGCTTTCGGTTGTAGTAGGTCCAATTGCTTTGCAACAAGCAAAAACTCTTGACTTAATCGATGATTGGACAATGCATCCAACAACGGTTGATCGTCATCAGCGATTGAGTTTCGCAATCGACTAGAAAATTCATCATCGTCGATGAATGAAATATTATGCCTCGCCAAAATCAAAGCCATTTGTCGACGTATAAGTAAATCTGGACATAATAGAAAAATCCTTACAATAATCTCTTTGCTCTGCATCTGTATGGCGACAAACAAAGCTTCTGTGTATAATTTATGATCCAAATACAGCGATAATGATGTATACAGAATGTTTTGACTCTCGGTTTCATCAACGTATAAACTACTAACTATAAGATATTGACAAACTTTTTCACATAGATCTTCGTCATGAATAATTGTTTCCAACATTGGTAACTGTTCGACTTCTATCAATAGATCACAGGCTTCAATTTCGGAATTTTGCCTTATGAAATAGATGGAACACTCGTGTATCAATTTCAATAATGTTTGTTTATTATCTTTGGGTGAATTTTTCCATATTTCAACCACATCTTTGACTAGATTTCGTACGTATGACATTCCATATTGAGAAATCAAATTTTTCGAGCCAAGCATATAGTATTTAACAATTTGACCTTTGATTTCACTAGAATGTCCCGAACATGTATACGATATAATATCGGCCAAAATCTTCTTTACACAATCATTGCGTTTATTTTCATAGATTCGTTTTAATTCATTTTCGAATAACATCAATACTTTTAATATGTCCGGAATGCTGGCAAATCCTGTGGCCGTATCGATATGTCGGCTAATTTTGGCCAGTGTTTCCAAATCATCATTTTCATTATCATCATTACCACTTGCTGACAATAATTTAATCAATACAGTTATTTCTAATTTTAAATCCTGAAATGATGATTCATTGGGTTTTTTGCCAACCATAAAATTTGTCGTATTTTTGTTGTCATTATTGTTGGTTGTGACTGTACTCATTATTAATTAATTCGTAGATATTAAAAAAAACGTTGAAACTTATGCATTACAGCGAACATTTTATATACGATTTAATTTTTTTATGCCAATTAGTTTTTAATAAATTGATTAAATGAAATTTATGTTTGGTAAAAATCATTCACATATTCAATTCACAATCAAGAAACTTTTTTTTGTTGCATTCCAAAATTTGATTAAAATTTGCCTGAATAATAATACTTGTTTGTTGTTTTAATGGTAAAGACAAATAATTTTTGTGGAATTTGGAAAAAAAAAATATTGTGCCTTATAATAAACAATGGATTGGGACACAAAAACCATTTTGGACGCAACCTACGTATAATATGTACAACACAACAAAAAAAACTGAAAAAAATTAAATTTTACAAAATTGAAAAAATTACAATTAAAAAAAACCTAATCAGAATGACAAATCAAAAAAAAATTTGCTTGTCCATTTTATCTTCTGTTTGTTTGTATTATCGAGAATCGGTCGACATCATTATGATTTGTTTGCAATCATCAATCATGAGCGAATATCACGAATAAAAATAAAAATATGAGATGAACAAAGGAAAAAATTAAATATTACAAAATGTAGAAAAAACGAAATGATTGAAAATAATAAATAACAGAGAAAAAAAAATTAATGTGTGGTCGGCGATTCATATGGTCATTTTAGTGCCATTTTTTTTTTTGAATCTATTGTAGCATTGTTACATTATTTGTAGTGACGCACGTACATATTATTATTATTTCAGAGATGAGATGAAAAATAATGACTGAAAAATATTCGGAATTTTTGATAGTGAATGGGTGGTGGTGATGTGGTAGTTTTTATCGAATAATTAATTAGTGTGTGTGTTTGTGTGTTGATGTATATGGTGGCACTTGACATTTTGTCCTTTTTATTTGTATAAGATTTTCAGTTCTTTATCGATTATTGAAATTCATCTTCATTTTAAATAAATAAATTGGCCAGATGAGGAATGAAAAAAAAATTCAATGAATCAAGAAGAATGTGACTGTGTATGCAAATCGAATAAGTTTTGACATTTATGAAATTATTCAAAGAAACTTTCATTATAAAAAATCATCGCCGGTTGAGCTCAATTTTCAATGCTAATTGCGAAAAATAAAAAAAAATTAAAAAATTAAATGACAAAAACAACATCACACACACCATCAATAATGTCCAATTTAATCTTTTGCAATTCTTTACGTATATCATTCATAATTTCCATGCGTAAACGATCCATATCGTTATCACTGATGCCATTAATTTTTGTTTGATCATCATTGTTGGATATGCCGGTTCGTCTATAAGAAAAATTACATAATCAAAAATAATGGATAATCTAACATGGTTATTGATGTCATCATCATACCTATTGTGATAATCTTTTGAATCATCTTTCGATGGACTGCAACCATTGACCATGGATGTTTTATTTCCATCTTTGTTATTGAAACGATCATTGTTGCTGCCATCCTGAGGATTCTGTGGTTGGCTATTACTTTCAGCTTGAGCTCTCCTCCTAGCTAATGTTTTGGCCATTTCATCCATTAAATTACCAGGTGCAGCATTACGAGCGGCTACAACACTCGATGATGATGATGACGAAGTAGATGAATTGTCACCACCGCTATTGCTACCGTCTTCTTTAATAGATGTTGTTCGTTTTAATTTAGCATTGGCGATGGCTGCCGCAAGATTCATTGAACCGGTGGCAATCGAATTCATCACTTGAGTTCCAGCAGCGTTTGTTGGTGGTAATCGAGATCCATTGGTGTTTGAAACACTGCCCCCGCCCATAGAAGGTGGAGGAGGTGGTGGTGGTGGCGGTGGTGGGGCCACAACCGTTGTTGTTCCATTTTGGCCATTGATAATGTTGCCACCATTCATTACTATAACATTATTAGCGGCAGGTTGTAAATTTGATGACGATGTCATAGTGGATGATGGTGGAGGAGGTGGTGGTGGTGGTATCGATTGTGGGGGCATTTGAGACATCGATTGATGTTGTTGCTGGACTACTTGAGCAATTGTTCCCGTGGTAGGAATTGAATTTCGATGAATCAGATGACCACTGCTCATATAGGTGGGCTGCGGTGGTTGTTGCGAGATATTAGTCATCGATTGATGTTGTGTCATGATTGGTGCAGCATGATGATTATGAGCATCAACACCACTGACCGTCATTATAGGATGTTGAGAATGAATCATAGTCTGATGATGTATGGTAGTAGCTGCAACTACATGATGATCCAATGTTTGGTTATTACTATTGTTGTTGTTGATATGATTTGAATGCCAACCGTTTTGTTGTTGCGGTTGTGTGATTGGTGGTTGTTGTTGCGGCGGTGGTTGCTGCTGTGGTCGTAATTCACCATATTCTTCGGGTGGACCAATATGACCATACAAGGGTTGTTGTGATTTGGTCGTACCATAGGTATTTTGATTCAATAGATCAATCACTTTCATCATCGTATGAGCAAATGCATCGGCCTCATCTTTACTGCTGAAATTTAGGCCATAAACCTGACGATTTTCACGCCATTGATGAAATATGGGAGTTGCTTGATTATATTTTAAATTTTTCAATATAGCACAATTGATGACAACCTGATTGTTGATCAAAGTAGAGAAAAAAATTATTTTTTTAAAAAAAACACCAATACATGTATGAAATATGGAAACATACCTCGTGATCTTGAATTTTTCTTCCTACGACTCTGAACGAATTATTCTGTATATTATGATAAATATGAACGCGAGAAAGGCCACTGGATGTGCCACTTGGTAACCATTTTTTATTTGTATCATCATAAATCATAACCGAAGCACGAGCTGAAGTAATCGATGTTTCCGTATTGCTGATTAAAATAAACACAAATCAAATTGAGATTATATAATCACTTCAATCAATATAAACCTCTCACTGACCTCATTTTCGGTTGAAATTTTTTCCGCTCATTGACAATTTAACAATTTATGAATTGTGGGTAATTATGGTTTGATGTTGTTTTGTTGTAAATAAATCTGGAATTTAACTAAAAATCCTAATTCCTAAATTATCGCAAAGAATTTCTTTTTTATTGATGATTATTAAACCTATGTGTCAACCTGTTAGGTTTTATTTCTACATTGATTGGCAATCATTATTTTTGCTGGTTGTTGCTGTTGATGACGATGTATATATATTGATGATGACTTGCAGAGATCAGAAACGCCACACACGATTCGTTTGTGAGTATATATGAGGCATGAAAGGATTTTTTTTTTTGAAGCTTGTGAATACTCTTTCCTTTCTCTTTCTCACTCGAAAATTAAAATCTTTTTTGACTGATAATCGAGTGGTTGTGGATTTTATTTCGATTATAAAAAGTTCAATTTAAAGTTTATATAGACGCTATGTGTGTGTGTATATAACAGGACGAGTAAGCATGAGAATCAGAGGAAAATACTGTCAAAGAACTATTTAAGAAAAAAATGTTACATAGACATTATCATCTTTTCATCTTTCTATAGAGATAAGGATGAAACAAATAAAAATTTTAATGTCACACATACCTCTTTTTTTACTAGTGAAAAATGAACAAAACAATGAATGAATGTCAACATAAAGATCTAGAATTTCTTCGAAAAGTGTAAAAAAAAATTGGAACAAGAATTGTCATTTGAGTATGAATGTTTACCAATGCACATATAATTTTTTGATGGCACTTCTACTTTTTTTCAATATAAAAACAATTCTTCCTGAATCTTTAAGTATTGAGTGAAGAAGCAGAATTTTCACGAAAAAAAACAGAGGACTTAAAAGAGCACAAGTTGATAGCAGTTGAGAATTTCATTCAATTTTTATTCCAAACCACAAATTATTGTAGAAGTAGGCAGAATAATGAAAAGTTCATAGTGGTAGTGGTGGCAAAGGCGACGACAATGAATGATGAATTCGTTGAATATCTGGCGCGCGCGTTGGGCGCTGTCCCCGATGTATAATACATTTTACCCAAATATATACCAGCCAAATGATGTCAAATACTGAGTGAATGACGGACAAAATGGTAATAGCAGATCACAAACACAAAAAGCACTCGGTATAGGCAAAACTTCAATTGGCCAAATAAATATAAAAATGAAATCGAGGTGGTGGCGGTCACGAAATCGATTCGAAAAGAATCTAAACAATCGATCCTATCACTAGCACACACACACAGTGTTGAGAGGGATCAAAGTTAGATGGTTCCGGAATTCCAGTTTCATTATTCTGCATATAACGCGGAATGGATCTATTATACACACACACACAAAGACATATTAATTCTGATTGTTTGAACTGTACAACACCAACATACACAAACAAAGCGCGATGAGGTCAAGTCAACTTAGCTGGTTGGTTAGTCGGTACAACAACAAAGTTAAACCATGAACCAATGGACCATTTCTTTTTTTTTCATTCAGTAAAGCGAGCCATTAGAAATCATATTGCCCAAATCCCATTCTATTATTAAAATTCATTTGATTCTATATGCTACTACCACAAAGGTTCGAGCAGGTAATAGCAGTATAGAGTGATATTTGTGTTTGGGTTGGTGATTGTGGTACCATAAATAGAGCACGTGACACCATTATATTCAATTGTTATTTTTTGATTTGTTGAATCGGATTGATTAAATTAGATTTGATTCGAATTTATTTCATTTTTTTAAAAATCATAAATTAATAATTAATCAGTAGCAGAAGAATTATTGACAGTATCCAATTGAATAACACGTAATTTTTGTGTATCAGTCAATATACAGGCACAATCATTATCATTACCACAATAATGAGAACAGGAAAATATGGTGGCACATTTATTACCAAAATGAAATGTATATCCATTAGGTGGAACTTCATGAGCACGTATTATATATGTGAGACCGTTTTTCCGTAAGAAATTCAATGCACCAGTTTCGTTAAACAGAAATGCTGTACCTCTTTTAGTGTTTTTGATGAAACCATTTAAATTATCCGGATTAAGATTGAGAAGGTCAGCAATCTCAAGAAATTGTTGCATATGACATGGATCAGACCATAGAATTTCCCAAGCGGCTCGTGATTCACGTTCCGGATCTTTTAATTCCTGTTTGATTTTGACCAATTGTTCCACTTCCGATAAGCTTCGTGGTAAACCTCCGTGTGCACAAAAAATACAATCATCAACCAATGCACAAACTGGGAATTTATCAAATATTCGATTGGTTAGTTCCCAGATTTTCAGTCCATAAAAATCGCCATATTTATGAAGGCATTCACGTTTGTATGTATAATTCGTCTGAATAAGTCGAACTTCATGATTGCCACGCAACAATGTCACTTTATTGGGGCATAGAATTTTGAATGCAAACAAATACATAGCACATTCGAAACCCCATTGACCACGATCAACATAATCACCAAGAAAAAGATAATTGGCTCCAATGCACGGTATCTGTTTCCATAGGGCCTTTTCCAAAGAAAATAAATCTTCCAGATTGCCATGTATGTCACCCATGATGAAACAAGGTGAATAGATTTTATGACATTTTTGTTCATTCTTTAGCAACAGTTCAATTTCATTATTAATTGACAATAGCAATTTCCATAGGTCTTCTTTTCGATCTTGCATCAGGCCATTTGGATTTCGAACCGTACCTTTATTGTTGCTAAAATCTCGTACCAAATTTATAATAATGTTAGCGGCTGAATTTCGATTGAATACCGTTTCGATCGAATATTGTTGAGCTGTTAAACATTCTTTACGATGTATGTTGGGATTGATTGCTGAATCTTCTTGATATTTGTTAATGATGCGTTTTATTTTCAGATTTCCATGTACATCAAATTTTACAGAATGAGTGGCCAGATCGTATCGTTTTTCTTTACACGTTTTACACGTCCCTTGGTATCGACGTTTGATTAATACGTTACTCAATGCCTTCTCTGCACGACGTAGACCTTTGGCCACCAATGCTCTTGATATTCGACTGAAAATACCTTTTTGATAACGACATAATACCGATGTACCACGGAATCGAAGATTACCGATAGCTGAGACAAAATCTCTTTCCGAAATGATCAATTCAGCGTTATTTATTTCTTTGGTATTCAAACTATTCAATGCATTTTTCAACCGTGAATCGATTGAATTTTGATCCGGATTAATTTCGAGCAAGAGTTTTCGTAAACATTCCTTGGTCATATGTCCGGATTCATCACTGAAAAAACGATAAATGAATTTAACACGAAATTTTCCATGTTGTATGGTTGGTTCCATACAAGCGAGACCAAGAAGTAATTCATGGAATGATAAAAAATTAGTTTTCGTATAGTTGAATCCACGAAAAAATCGAACCAAACGTGCATCATCCTTTTCAAATTCATGTTTTTTCATATAACATTTGAATGATTCAATCGACATTGAGAAACTTGGATAGCAGTGTACAAGAAAATCTTCATACAAACGTTCTACATCTTTTTCCGTTATATGAATCGGCTTAAGCATCTCTTCTTCGAGATTACGTGGAGGATCACGTGGAACATAGAGCAATACCTCTTCCAGACTATATTCAGATATTTTTGTTTCTTTCATTGTATTTAGATTGTTTCCGAATTCCAACAATTCTGGACCCCAAAGATTGTTGTATTTTGTGATTTCATGAAGCGATATCCATTCCAGATTATCGGTATTCTGGCCACATTGAAAATGAAAATTTCCATGGCCCTCATTATTATTGCATTTAATTCTAAAATGATAAATTAACCGAGTAATGAATCGCATCGTTCGCGGTAACTGCAATCGTAACACTTGCATACACATGAAATTTTCATATGGTGGATTTTCTTTGAATGCATTCACACGGTCCGGATCACCACCGGAAACAATGATGATAAAGCCAAGAATAGCATTGTCTTCCCAACCTAGATTATGAAGCAACGATGTGAATGGCATCCATACTACATGATCTTGATGATTGATTAAAATTCGATTGTGCACCGGGCAATGTATGATATACGCACAACAATCATATTTACCCGATGAACCCATGAGACCATTTTCAGGTCTCAATTTTGGAAAACGTTGAGGTTCACCGGGTTGTTGATTCTGCTGTTGTTGTTGTTGATCTTTACTGTTTAATTTTCGATTGTTAATAGATACGGATTTGGACATTGATTTTATCGTTTTCGTATTTGATGATGACGAAAAAGATCGTGTCGATTGTAATGAACTCACCAGTTCTTTATTCAAACTAGCACACATAATAAACGACTGAAAATACAACGAATAATTTTCTGAAGAATTTTCAATTAAAATAATCATTTTATTTATATTGTTGAAATTTAAATTCTAAATAATTCGATTATCAAGCAAACGATGACGCCACCATCTCGAATGATTGAAACTGACGTATCAAATATTTTTTTTTACATTTAACACTCGTATTTACAATCATATGTTCGGCCACATTTGTTTTGATTGTAATGCAAACCAAAATAACAAATTTTTTGTTTTTTACTTGTAAAATTCGATAAAATTCTTCGTTTTCAACGTTAAATCATGATCGAGCACCTAAATGCTCGACGAATGGTTGCCGTGATTATCGTCCTAATCCTTCTATGTATTATTATTGTGATACTCGAGGAAACAATCACCGATAATGTTGATCGTCCAACTCCTTATTTTAACCAACAACATCATCAGCAGCATTCAAAATATAATGATTCGAATATAAATTTTATTGGACATCATCATTACCAAAATGAATCTAGAAAGCAGATAAAATCTCCAGCAAAAGATTTCAGTCATCCATCATTAAATGTCCACACAATATCGTGTTTGAGTGATGAACCATTTGTGGTTGAAACACGATGTACCCTTTGTTCTTGGTCTGAACGTACAAACCGTTTGCCTTATTGCATAGCAACCGGTTATAAAGAACAAATCTATTGTCAAAAATCGGGTCAAAAAATATGGCGAACCTGTGATACAATAATTTCAATGTTCTATATGTTCGAATTATTCATGTTACTCATGAGCATTGTGTTTACATTTTATATCCGAAAACGTCAAAGCATGATGAATCGAGCCATATTGAGCCGTATCGAAAAACAAATCTCATCCGGTGTTTAAAATAAATGTGTGTATTAATATTAAATTTTCAATATAATATATATAAAAGATAATAAAAATGACTTGAAAATTTTCAACCAAAAAAAAAATCTGTTATCATGTTTAAGCTATCATAAGATCTAGCGGTCAGCAGAAAGGAGAAAAATCAACTTCATACAGGACTGGTTTCTATGTGCATCAAAATTACATACGTGTGTTGGCCATTTTTTTTGAGAACATAAACAAATGAATGAATGAAAACAAAGAACGAGTCCATCGGCAAACCTTGAATGAATGGAGTGGCCAAGATTGAAATTATGGCTAGTTCATATCTATGTAATATGTTAAGAAGATCATTGATTTAACAAAATTTTGTTGTGGTAATTTGTTTTCTGGAATAATCATCAAACATGTATCTAATTCGATTCTTATTGAAATTATTTACCATCATCATCATGATACAGCTATTTGTTGTGGTCAATCAAGTGGATTCAGCATTCGAATTGGCATGTATGGATAAATGTATGAAAACACGACGATGTAAAAAATATGGAACACTCACAATCGATTATGATTGTGATAAACAATGTAAAAAGAAATGTTACAAGGTATGAATTTTATTTATTTATTAACTAATTAATAATGTTAATTTTATGGTTTTTTTTACCAAAAATCATAGACAAAAACATAAACAAAAGGAAACCCTGGGATGATTGAACATCTTTGATTTTTTCTTCTTTTTTTATGAATTTGAATCTAAAACAAATGTATTTTGAATAAAACTTGAATTCTAAATTAAAATAATCAATTTAATAAAGTCATAAAAATCATACATTTGTAATCAATTTCCAAAAGACCGGCTGTATTAGAGTCATTTGTTCTCATCGATATTCGATTCTTGATTTTCGATATCTGATTTTTGCTGTTATAATTTCTCTCTTTAGAGCCACTAGAAAATGAATTGATTGTCAAGAGGCAGAGGAGGGCAACCCTATATAAAATGGTGATATTGAATAAATGATAGATTCCTTTAGGAATTGGCATTTCATTTTTATCAATGGAGAAAAAAAAATTTGATGACTTCATTATACCAAAAAGAAAAAAAGGCTGGTGTTTGTGTGCAATCATTTTGGACCATTGGTGGTTTGTTTTTGTTGAATTCATACATTCGAAACGAATTATAAAAAAAAACAGTTTGGTTTCCACAAATCGAGATTAATGACATTGATTCTATGTACATCTTCTTCGAAAGAATGGAAGGGCCCATATGGAATGGCATTACACATTGAGATATGGATGCATTGGTAGCATTGTAAACTCACATAGAATTTCAATGGTTTAATGTGTTAGTCATTCATTTCTATGAAAAAAATGATGATGATGATGATGTTCACTCAGGCTTGACGTCATGAGATTTTAGTCGACCGAATAATCATGGATAGAAACCCTGTACAGAATCTTTAATTGACTCTTGCGCTAGCATTCAAATTCATCATGAGAACAATTCGGTGATGGTGTGCCAATCGGTCCATAAATGTTGGCTGAAATGCGATTTTATTTTTTTTTCTATACATCGGAGCATTTTTTGTTTTTATTCCATGAATATAAGAAGTCCACCAAAATCCGTCATTGGAGCATGGAAGAAAATTTCCTAGATCTCTAACCAAAAAGAAAAAAACAAGCAGTCATTGAAATCAACAATTCAACCATAGATGAGAGATGATGATGAAAAAACTCTCAAAAAAAGTTTAAAATGGCCATTCTCATTAACGAAATCATCATTCAAATTGAAGAATAGAATTGGAATCGGAAATAATAATCGGTTGATGTTCAAATAAACAATCCAACAATTCTGTAATTGAGTTATTAGCCATAGGTAAAACAGTTTTTTTAGCATACAATATACGTTATATAACAAAGCAAACTGCTATAGAATAATAATAATAACTATTGAAAGACCTGAATAGTGAACAACATTACATATTTAATCGCATACAATAGCTCAGGTCTGATGATGGGCAATTTGTCCATTACTGATCTATGTAGGCTATATGTATGATGGTCCAGATTAATCGATTCACGGCACGAATATCCTGTTGAATCATTAAGGAAACAAGTATCCTGATGGGTAGAGAGAAAAAAATCTATTAATAAACATGTCAAATATATAAATGGGTTTGAATACTATTATTATTGCAATTGTTTGATTGTTGTTCCAAATGGTCGATTCTAACAAAAACCAACCGAATAGCAAAAGTAGCAACAGCAGCAGCAGCAGAAGCAGCTTCATTGGCGCCTCTAATTCTACAATTGGAATACAAATTAGCTTCAAATACAATAAACTTTGAACGACAAAACAGGCAGACGCGTGCATATCATATATACAACAACTATTGAAAAACTTTTTTTTTAATCACACGCTTCATGAAACACACCAGCTTACATAGATCATTTTTGTTTCATTTTGGATCAAAAGCCAAAATTGTTGCTATTAAAAATTCTTACTGAAAAAAAACCAGAATCATAATCGATCCGATTCACTTTGAATATTTTTTTTTTTGGTTCATAATCTGTTAAATTAAAAATTAGTCATGGATTTATTGATACACAACTTTCATCCAAAAATGTTTGTCCAAACCATTTGTTTAGTTAAGTATTGAAATTTCATTGAAAAGAATCCACTTTGATTTTTGATCGTTTTCTTATCATCAAACATGCACACACACACATAAGAATGAATATATTGAATATCCGAATATTATAGAAAACAAAAAAAGATTCAAACAAAGACGACGATGATGATGAAAATAATCTGATTAAAGTAATCAATTATGTCGTCTTAGATTGTACATTTTTAATGTTGTCGATGATGATGATGAAGATAATGGTTATGGTGACACTTATTGATGAGAAAACGTTCACATATTTAATGATAATGAGCTATAAACAATATGGACTATTATCTAGAATTTACCGACAACGAATATTATGATTGTTTGCCATTATCATCAACATTGGTAGGCATTTATTTAGCCATTAAGATTATCAATTACATGAAATAACACACAGGATGGACTTTTTTCTGATAGATCTCCCGGTGTGCTCATCATCATCATCATCATCATCATCATCATCATCATCATCATCATTCATCTCATGAATATCCTGTGTATATCTTTGTGTGTGTTCAAATGTCAAAACATACAAACACACAAATGTAAATATTGAAAAAAAATGAATTGAGAATAAGATACTGGAAAAAAAGATTGATCTATGTAGACCTGATGAAATGAATATGATGACCTTGTTGTTTGCGGTTGTATTCATCATCATCAACCTGAAGATTGGTAAAATGATGCATACATAGTAATGATGATTTTTTGTTAGGCTACTGACGATATATTACATTACTAGATATTTTTTCCAGTATATAAATGAAATGAAAATATTTTTGTTAGTTTGGCTCATCTATCATTTCGAAATGTAAATAATTGTCAAACAATTTTTCTATTTTTGGTTATGTATACCTGAATATACTGTTGAAGTATATATTCCATTTCACGCTCATATTGGTGGCCAAATGCATGAGATTATTAATCATTTTGATGATGATGATGATGATGATGGTCATCGTTCGTCTTATGAATGATACCACAACAATATCGATGATGATTATGATGCTGATGATGAGGATGGATTTAATTGTTACGATGAAAAAATTCTAATCATAATCATTTACAACTTTTTTACATTGAAAAAACAGGATGTTCTCATCATACAGATGATTTAACAAACATTTTCACTAGTAAAATTCATTCATTCATCCATTTTTTTTTATTCAGCCAAAATAACGATTCCTATGCCAATAAATAGGAATTTTATACAATAACAGGAAAAAAAATTTAAACAATAAACATGAGATGAAAAAAAAAAAAAAGAAATTCAATTCACAACGTTGGAAGTGAATGTAAGAAGCAAGAACTGATTTTTTTTCAAAATTAGCAATTTATTATGCAAACAAATATCAATAGCCAGTGCAGAAAAAAAATCATTGAATCAGTGATGAATATGTTGAACGTATCGCGTAAATAAATTCAACACGAAAACAAAAATAAAAATCTTAAGCATGCATGATGCATCATGCATGATCCAATCTATTTCTTATATCGTCATAGCCGTTTTAATTATCCATCAAAATGATTAGAAAAAAAAACAAACATGTATGTAGTATAAGTGATGATGCGACTGGATTAGTAAAAAAAACAGCTTAAATTATTATAATTAATAATAAGTAAAAAAAAGCAACTACACGGAGGTCTTCGTCGCCGTTGTTGTGTGGCCCAGGTTGAAAAATAAAATTAAAACACTAGAACCATGGATAAATGAATGTTAACGATCGGGAATTTATCGTTGATGATCTCACCATTTATCAAACCATTAGAAAAACCTTCATTCATTTGTTTTTTTTTTTTTTGTAAAAAAAAATCTCATTCATTGATTAACGATGTGTCGAATAGCAAACGACGACGACGACGATGATTATGAACCACCCAAAAAGTTATATTGAAAAAAAAACAAACAAACATTCGATGAATATAAACGTAAAAAAACCTCATTACAAGTCATCACAATTTCTGAAGACGCATCTTTCAGGGCATGCCTTTCATCGTCTTTTGGTGATGATTTTTCATTCATTCATTCATTCAAATCACGATAAAAAAATATAAAAAATGGAATCATTTATTCATGTTGAAAAAATAATCATTATCGAAATCGATAATAATTAGAAAAAAAAATTTTTAAAAAAATGAAATGATTAAATTCAATTTTTTCCACTTTAAAAAAATCAAATTATTGCCCAAATATTCGAATCAAATGTTTTGATTGCCTATTTTCAGGGTATTTTGCCCTTCTTTCTGAAAAGAAAAAATTCATTCGATTCTTAAGTTGTGTTATATTGTGTGTTATCAATATTCAATGTGTTTAGTGTATTATTTTCATGAATTATATGTATACACGCAAAAACATATAAAAAAATCTCTAAAGAATAACAATCTAAACGAAATTCTTGTTCATACATACATACATACAGACATACAAAATTTTTTTTTTTGGGATGAGATAATGGAAATAGAACAGCTGCTCTTCATGATGAGAATAAACTCAATGATGATGGATCATCACGCTGATGAATATTGGGCCAGAATTATCATTATTATCCATAATGATAGAGAAAAGTGATTCATCACTTTTTTATGAGAACAGTTGGTCCCAGCCACCCCCGATCAACAATAATATATATATAAAAAAATTACTACAATTTGTCCAATGATTTTGGATTGGTTAGTAGTTCACGTGTTAAACGCCATGTCATTCTGGCTGCATTTTCTAAAGCGCTAGATTCATAAAAAAAATCAGAATAGAAAGAGAGAAAAGAAAAGATTGATTAATCCAATGATTAGTTTGAAATGATGATGCTATAGTTGATGAGGATGTTTAGGATATATAATAAATCAAAAAAATAATATGCATAAAATTTTACCTGTGTGATTTCCCACGAAACAAATCAAGATTAGGTAGAAAATAATGTGGACAACGACGACATTGTAGACATGAAATTAGTTGCAATAGTATACCATTAATACGATCACCTAGGCAAACTTCTTCCCATTCAATATCTCGTGGATGTTTTTCACATTCATATAGTAATAATGTTTTCATATGATATTCATTGATAGGCGCTCCAGGCAAATCCAAATGACGATCACGTAATGTTTTCAATATTGATAGACATTTCTTACGATAACCATTCTGTATACAAAAAAAAAACACTAATCATAAATCAATCCATCTTGTTGAAAAAAACCATTTTACCTGTAGTAATCGATTTTCAGCCTCTAAAAAACTCAACACCCAGGCATCACCTTCCATCGAACTTTGTTTTCCCTGTGTTTGTTTAAATTTTTATGTTTATGTTTATTATTGAATGAGAATGAAAGAATCTCAATGAAAATGATCAACTAACTTGAAGTGAGACACATTCTTTGCTTAGTAAATCGAAACCTTCAGCTTTAACGTCGGCCACCAGATTCGGTGGTGGCCATGATGATGTAGGCACTGGCCAATGTGATGCTGATCGTGGCCATAATCCACTGCAACGAAATGCTAGGGGCAATTTATAAATGAAATTAATTAACCTTATATGTTTTTGATCACACAATCAATGGGTTTGGTCATTACTTATACCTGGCGTAATCTGGACAATATAACGCTCACGTATACGTAGTTTAACTTCGCTTGTATCTGGTATCATTTTTACCATATCACGATAGGGTATTTTATCACAAGCTTGGGCCACCTGAATTTAACAAGAAAAAAACAATAAAAACCACAACAACAAAGAACTGATTGAAGAAAACCAGACATGAATACAACAAAACACATACCAGTGTTTGGAAACGAGATCGAATCTTACGGGCGCTCAGATAACCACTGGCCGTTATGAATTCGACCCAAAGAGACATGGATCGTTTACGTCCATCTGACAGCTGTAACTCAATTATAAATAGTTAGATAATTAAATATACAATAAAATAGAATAACGGACATTTGATTTATTTTTATTTTCAAATTTAAAATAAACAAAAAATTGATCACCTACTTTGAGAACGGCACATCCTGGAAGTGTGCCATCATCGACGAAATTGAATACACCCATCTGATTCAGATAAAGTACAACTTCAAATTCGTTGGGTGAAATAACTTCTAAACCTATGAAACAATCATATAATAGTATTTCATTTATGAATTCATGGGTCATCATCAATTATTACCTTCATAATGACCATTACATTCATTTAGACTCGATATGAATCGTGGTTCTTGTACTTCCACTTCTTTTAATATATCCTGTACAATTTTTGTTATCTCACGAATAGTTTTTGCTATCTGGTTACGTCTATTATAACAATGGGATAGAGAGAGAAAGAGAGTGGTAAATATACAATATTGAATACATGAGTTATTTTGATTAGCATATTTTTTTTTACTCCCGCATGAATACGAAAAAAAAAATCTTGATAAGTCAACTTTTTAATTGTAACAGCACAATCGTAAATACAATATGGTCATATTGTCATTCATTCATATCATTCATAGTAATGGAATGACCGATGATCAATGATTATCATCGTAATTAGAAGATTAACTATCTATTTCAGCTATATCAGAGACTAACTTCGAAAAAAAACAAAACAACAAAAAATAAGTGGTCCTATGTATCGCGAGTTTATGGAGATGATTCAAAAAAAAAAATAAAATTTATATAACAAATGGAAATGAATGGTTAAATTATTAATAAATTAATTAATTAGCCAAATGATGGAATGAGTGGCTCAAAAATTCACCAACTAACCAGAATGTCAAAACCATCTGAAATGGTTCAATGAAATTTTGAAACAACAAATTAATGTATAAATGTTGTGACAGGAATACATATATGATCACTGTGTGATAGCATTAACTTGAACTGAACAATTGATCATTGTTGGGTCATTTTATTCCTGAATCTGATGATATTAAACAGTTAAAAAACAACAAATAAACTAACCTGTATACGACACGATCATTGCAGAATTTATTGATATGATAAAGTAGCTTGCTGGTGCCAAGCTGAGCGTCGGGTGGTACAAGCATCGTTTTTTTATATTTTGATATAACGGATATTGAATTTCTTCGTTTGTTTTTAATCAAAAAGTGTTAATTTAAAAACATGAACAAATACACACACACACACACACACAGGCAAATAGAGTTCAATGAGGATGATGATGATGATGATTATGGTCAAATATAATTTTGCACATAAATAGGACCCTTAAAAACAAAAAAAAAAAAATTCAATTTTTTTTCATCTGGACGGACAAATTACGGATCAATAAGAAAGGCAATTTACACAAAGAGTGTTAATGTCATGTATTTAGAGCGTGGATAAAAAAACAACTTTCAACATTCGGATCTAAATTCAACTAATCGGAGAGAGGATTGAATGTTAGGGCCTTCTATCATCAATGAAATTCTATTTGCAGTTTTTAGCATCATTACCAAAGTCAATGGTTGTGAATATACCGGATTGCCATTGCGCATTATTGGTCGGAAAGCTTCACAAATTCAAACGCACACAACAACATACATATACACAATAGCCAATACTTTATGTATATATATGTGTCTGTCATTGGTGAAAAGGCGTGCATACCATAAAAGGCGGCACAAATAGTAAATTACCGCCTATCTACTATTTTCATTTATTGAATCGAATCGTAGTTTTATCTAGTGAATCAAAGAAGCCTAAGAAATCTTGAAGTTTTCTGTTTCTGGTTTTTTTGTTGTTGTTTGGATTGAATTTGACGATGATGTCCATACATAGAATCAAATATAATGATAATTTTATTGAAGAATATTCTCCATCTGATTTGTGATCACTAACACACACGAATGTTATATCATCATTGATCCATGAAAATCATTCAATAATTTCTATGAATGAATCAAGATAAATGTGATGTATTTATATACTTGATGTATTTGTGTGAATGAATCTTTCAGTGAACCAACATGAATAACTCTTGAAATCATCTTGAAGTGGTGGTGGTGGTGGTGGTGGTTGTAGCAGAGTGTGTTTTTGTTTAGAAAGAATATTCTAATCCTATATAATTTATTGGCCATCTAACTTTTTCGTCTGGATCGTTTTTGTTCATAAGAATTTGTTATTGCCACTTTCTCATCATTTTTTTTGTACAAATTCTTTTCTCTTTTTTTGAATGGTTGGCTTCTGAATTTTCTTTTTTTTTTTACTAAATTTTAATAATTTTTCAATTCAATTCGAAAACTTCTTCGGCCTGTCAATGTTTTTTGTAGTTAAATTGATGATTTGTCTTTCGATGTGGAGAGTTCAAATTCATTAAAAATTGTCGTACGCGAAATGACGTTGACATATTTCTATCTCTTTTATTTATGTGTGTAAATGTGTGTGTGTGTCAATGTCCAACATTGATGTTATCAGTCTGATTTTGGTTGTGGGATTTGATGAATTTTGACAATTTTATCTCCAGTAACAATGTTGATAATCATAATAATTATTGACAATCGATGAAGATTTTATGATGATAATAATCTTCAACAACATGAAGAGAATGACGAGAATTCATTATTCACTCAAGAATTGAATTGAAAAAAAAATGACAAATGACATTATCATGGAACAAAAATCTTTGAAAAACTATTCGTATATATGCCATTAGTTGTAGTTTACGCCATATTACTCATTTCAAATGGATAAAAAATATGATCTTTGTCATATTTGGTTGAACCTTGGCCTTACCATTATTATATCTTTACAGTGATTTAGAGGGCCAAGTTATAACCATCGGTCTTAGTCATTTGGCCAGAGAGCAATCGAAGTCTGAGAGGATTACACCTGTCATCACTGTTTTTAAATAGATGATGATAACGACCTTTCACAATGAATTGTATGCATCTGGATGATTGGTCGAGTCGTATCAGGTTTCCACGCTACAACAACAACAACAAAAAAACCATAAATATAGGGACAATGTCTTTTGTTTGTTATTGTTGTTAAGTTCATTATTTGTTCATCGAGAACATAAATTATCATTTCAACACATCTAACATTCGCTCATTTTCTTTTCAATTGAATTCAAAGTGATTTTTTCGGACCTAAATCTACATTGTTAGAAAAAAAATTCACTTGGGACCGATGACTCTCGAAACGTGAATCCTTAGATATTATAATGGAGATAAAAATGAGGATTTTATCATTATAATCATTATTATGTTTCAAGCAAAAGCCAGAAACGAAATGAAAAATTTTGTTTGGCTCCGATTCACATATAATGATCGGATATGGAGAAAATTTGAAATTCATTCATTCTACAATGGAGAATAAATTCATGATGTCTTTTTATATATACATACTATGTTGAAGCTGGTCCAAAATAAACAAACAAACAAACAAACACAAGTAAAAAAAAATAATTATTATTTAGTGATACTAGGAAAAGTGAAATGTTTTTGGTCAGTCAATCATTTTATCTTGATCTTATTTCCCAAATGATCAACATACACAAACAAAGAGAGAGAGAGAGAGACAAATTTGAAGATAAATTTTGTCGACATTTCAAATGTATCATTATGGCACGTTAGGGTGTTGTTGCTGTTATCACCGATTTACATTCAACACAAGATAGAATGGATAGATAGATAGATAGATGAAGAAGATGACTTGTCACTTGTCAACTTGCCCATTTTATCTTTTAAAATGGCTACCTTTTTTTTATTTCACGCATCCATCGTTTATTGACGATGAAAATGATAGCCTAGGTGTATATACAGGTAGGTGTTTGTTTGTTTTTTTTTTATTTCAAATCGTAAATGGCTGTGTGATAATGATCGCCATCATCATCATTCTCATTCGAATATTTTTTTTGAGTCTCAAGTCAGCCACAACAAAAAACCAAGCCTATTATTATTACTATATATGTGGTTTCTTACGGTCAACTAAAAAGATGACATTTTCAATTTGATCTATATCAATTACAAAACAATTCACAAATTTTTTTTTCAAAAGTTAAAACACTAAATCAACAACAACAAAAAAAATTTTTAAAAAATCGAGGTTGAGGTCCTGATCCTAAACATCCGAGAAATTTGAATCTTGTGAGACTGAAAACAACAACAATAAAATGTATATATGAGGAAAAAAGACACTCGTAAATCTCATCATCTCAAAAATGGAGAGAAAAAACCGCAAAATCCAAATAAAACAAACAAAATGACTAAAATTTGTTCAAAAAAGATTTTTACGTTGTCCACTATCAACAAAGAAATCTATCGTAGAAAAAATGCCATAATAGCATTCTTATTGAGTTATTTATTACCAGTTTTTTTACGAATGATAATTGTAGCCATAATGTCTCGGTTTTTTGGGCTCGAATTCCAATGATCGTCATCATTCGAATCGAGATTTACGTTGACATAAACTCACACAAACATACAAACACACACACATACACACCCAATCAGAAAAAAAAGAATCAAATGATTGAAAATTTATTAACTAGTATATACGAGCGCGAGCAATGAGCTTAAAATGAAAATCCAATTTGTTCTTCGTATCTGATCATTTTGGATTAGAAAATTAATCACCTGAAATTCGCAAAAAAAAATATTTAAACAGTGAAAAAGATTAACCAGGGTATTTTTTCATAATCAAAATGATGATGATGATGATGATGATCAAAATAGATTTGGCACACCACCATCAGACCAATTGATGGGTGATATTAAGGATAGAATTGCAAGTTGTAGAAACATATGCATAAACACACACACACACAGCAGGACACTCCAGACGACGACAATGAAGATAAGAATCTGCCGAAAAAAAAGCCAACTAAAAAAATATAAGTGTATGTATGTGTTTGTGGAGACAGATATTCTCAGATATCATCCTCGTCATCATTTTTTTTTTTTTTTTGAGTATATTATGTCAATCAGCTGACAAATCATAATACGGCAAATAAAAAATTTAAAAAAAACTTCAACTCAACTCATTTTGCAAATATGTAACGACTCGATGATGATGATAGAGAAAGGATGGGGTAAACAAGCCACTAGAGAAAAAAAATCTTGTATGTGACAGTTTTTACGAGCGGATGTTATGTTTTTATTATTTTTATTATTATAATTATAATCATCACTATTAGTAGTAGGTGGAATGCATTTTAACGATTGGCCATCCATATCCAATTATTGTCAACATTGAGTGGAATGTTATAAATTTTCGACACTAATTCGACAATATCCACAATGTCAATGTGATGACAATCAACAATGAAGACGAAAATGGAAAACAATGTAGAAGACAATGAAAATTGTAATCAAGGAATATTCAATGAATGAAAAACAGACACATTTACTTACAATATTAATGGAAAAAAAACCAAATGACATTTCGTAAAATCTGAAATGCAAAGAAATCAGATTACAATAGAAGTGAAGATGAAAAAAAATCCGTAAATTTACTGTATCCAATATTGTAGAATTGTCGATCGAAAATTCAGTATAATAAAATTTTGTTTCGAAGATCGAAAAATATAGCCTCAAAAATAAAAGTGCTAATATTAAACAATGTACCAATGAATGAAAATAAAGATGAAGAAAAGTGAGAATCCAGTGAAGCAAAAAGCATCGACGATGATGATGGCGATAGCTTGGATGACATAAATGTAACGTAATCTAATTAGAATCAGTCAGCTCGATTCATCCTTTCAAATGTATGCAACATACATAGTGAGTGTGTGTCCATCGATCAGGCTTGATTTTTTAGTCGGGGATTCGCTGTCTTTTTTTTGAGAGATCTTTTTTTTCCTAGTGTGTCTAACGTGTGTGTGTGTGTGTGTGTGTATGTTTATGTTTATGTATGCTTGTGTATGAGCTCGGTTCTCCAGTGACCGAAAACAGAATAAAATTGATTACGAATGGATTTAAAATTAGATTATAATGCGAAAAAAACGAATGGAATGAAATGAAAGCAACAAAATGGATGAGCTAGAACAAACAAAAAGAATGAAAAAAAATCAGTCGAGTACGACGACAAAAACGATGAGTTACTACGTAGAATAAAGTTGGCCAACACAAATACACGCAAAAATGATTCTATGCTTGGAACAATAGATTTGGAGCGCGACAACCATAGTAGATGATTGCTTCAAGTGGATTTTGCTACTGGTGTTTGGCCAAACAACAATAAATAGTACCTACTATTCAAAAGCTAAATGGCATATTTTAATATCGTTAATGTATTTTCCATTTTCCAAATTGTGAAATGAAGAATGAAACACACACAAACAAAGATCGAATGAGTACAATCGAAAAAGCCATTATAATCAGACCGATTCCTGTATATAAAATACATGTTGGATCATAGAATATATTGACATGAACAAGCGATAATGTTCATTCACTATAGTTACAGTTATATTTTCCCTCTCAACAACGATTAAGGATGTGATAATTGAATTGTAAATTGATGTAAGTTATGTGTTAACATTCAACAAATTTTTTTATATATATTGAATCAAGTGATATGATTATTTAAGTTTATCTAATGGATGATGATATGAGCTGTTGAAAGTTTAAAATACTGAATATGTATTGAATATATACAAATATAAATCATGAAAAATTCATTCAGCTTCATTTTCCATAGACCACAAATAGATGCCATGTGTTTAGAATTTTGCAAAAAATACTAGTGATTCAGATTTTCATTCCCAAGCAAATCTGAATCTCAGTCTGTGACAGACAACAACAACAACAACAACAACAAAAAGTCAGCTTAATATAATTGACCTTTGATCCGTATTTCTGAGAACAACAAAAACATCGTTAAAAAGAAGGGAAATCCAAGCAATTACTTTATTTTTATTTATTTAACTACACGACATAGACAAAGATATGCTATAACGTGATTTACGTCCATCGTTTCTATTAAGATATTATCTTTTTTTTCTCAGACATTTTTAAATTCAGATCGATTACGAGTTCGCAAATCATCATAACTGATGCTACCTCTATTATCGCCAATATCTGTTGGAAAATCTAATGATGGTTGACCCGAACCAAATGGATCATGTATATATGAATCTTTATTTTGATTGAACGATGACGAATGATGATCATCGAATTCTCGAATACCAGTGTGACTTCCACTATCATCAACATATGGTTTACCAAATGATGGTGATGCTGATGATGGATGGGAAGAATCAAATCCTTGTGGCACGTTTTCATAATATCCTAATCAATTAAACAGAAAAAAAAAAAAAAATTTTTAATGCAAACCATTATAAATACCTTCAAAAAACAAGCCTTTCCGTTTTCGAATTGATTGTACGAAGGGTGAATTTGAATTTGATTTGATCAATTTATCTTCACAGACCGATCGATAGCTCAGTTTACCAGCAAAAAAACCGAAAAAAGCTGCTCCAAGATAATGATAAAATCGAGGCTGTATTTGTCTTGTACGTGCAGTGTAGATAAGAGCTGTACAGAGAGCAGCCGTGATCGGAAAAGCTTGATATAGATTCAAGGATTCAAAAAATAAGAAAAAAAATTAAAGGCGTAATTGAAAAAAATTCCAACAAATATTATTATCGTTTGATATAAAACAGAGATCAACATTTCGTATCCATAAATCCAGTCAATACATTGGATAAACAATTTTGATGTTGTTGTCTCAATTCATTAATGTTATAATCAGTGTTTACAAAACTTTAACAAAACACATAAAATAAAAAAATGAACCGAAGAAAAGTACCTTTCAAATGTGATTAGTGTCAACAGAATTAGAATCTGATGATACCATCTGACTTCATCATCAATGATTATTATGAACAATGAATAGAAAGAAGAAAAAAAATTATCTATCAACCTTATCTATCAAATGTCTTAGCATCATCTTTTAAATATGACATGAAAATGGCTATATAATAAATTTCAAACTAAATGTGATATGAAGGTTCACCTCATGTAACAAAAAAACAAGGTATAAGACGAATGATAAAATAATGTTTTTATGCTCCAACCATTTTTTTTTTGGAAAATTTTTTCTCCTCTCAACTTGACATTCCATATACGATTCCGTGTATAATTAACATTGTGTCATATCGAATCATGAACTGAATGTGATGTGCGTGTGTTTGCCACCATCACATCGTCACCATATAGCAAATAAAAAAAACGGACAAAATGACCATTGCAAACTATAAACATCATCGCTTACGAGATGTTAGATTAGAAAAAAAAGAGAAAAGAATGCCATTTTCTATAACATCAACGATTTACCATTCACAAATCAAGCGTGTTTGTAGGTTTGTTTAGTCATAAATTTTCCCTTTGAATATATGAATGAATGAATGAATCGAATTCTAATCGTGTGTATACACAAGTTCATTCTTAAAAACGAAAAAATCAGATCGAGTGATTTACTTCTTGGCCGCCTAGATTACCGAAATGTGACCATCAAATTTTTTTCACTAAAATCAAAAATAAACGAAAAAGCAACTTACATCGATAAATAAGACTTTCACGGCCACATTCGCGAAGAATTCGTATATCTTCAGGCGATATGGCAGGTATTCCTTGTCTTTCGAGAAAATCATTATAATTTTTCGCAACTATTTGATTATTTTTAGGACTAAATGGTCTTTGTTGAATGAATTGTTGTTGATGTTGTTGATCAGATACATTCGGTTGCGTTCCAGGATTTCGATACATCGAAGGTGTTCCATATGGATCATGAATTAGATCAGGCGGATCATCACGATTTTGATAAGAATGGTCACGATTTCCATGCGGATAACTCATGTTGTTTGGCAGATTATTTGAATCGAAATGAACTCATTACTTGCATTCTTATATTTTGCAAAAATTTTCAAACAGCTGTTGTCCTAATTATTAGTAGTTCCATCTGTTGATAGCGAATATAAAGAATTAAAAAAAGAAGAAAGTTCCAGAGAAAATCGTCCAATGGAATATTTTTCATGAATTCTACGATTTTGTTATTGATTTTTCAATATTGTTACACATGTGGGTTTTTTAGTAGACGATATCATTTTTCAAAAAAGAATAAAGGAAAAATGATATTGTCAAAATTATTAACGACACCATTACAATGTCATAGATTATCTTATTCATTCTCGTCACGACAAATTTTGATGGTTGAACATTTTCACAAGTATCGTCATCAATGTTTATCATGGCAATTCGGTTGTCAAAGGCAAAAATTTATCAAATATCCTTTGAAAAGTGGCTCGAATTTATTCGTTATCAAACGAGATTTTAAACCACCCAATTCCTTTGTTAAACATAAAGAAGGATATCTTGGACAAGCATTGGACAAATTTTTGATTACCTTCGCTATTGGTTTTTTTCTCACGTTTTTCATCGATTTTCGATTTATATGGTATGAAGTGGTGCCTAGTCCTATTCGAACTCTATTCGAAACAATATGGTCACTAATGAGAAAATGGGCAAAAAATTATTTGCCGAAAAGAGCGGAAGGATTGGCCAAAGCTGATTGTAAATCCACATATGAATCGAGAACATCCGAAAGTGATGATCATGTTGGAGCCGATCACAGTATACTAGATTCGAATATCATTCATAATCTAATGGCCGTATTTAATTTCAATGCCGATGAAAGTCGTGCTGATGGTTTTCGTAATAAACGTATTATTGAATATGAAAATCGTATTCGTCATTATTCAAACCCGGATAAAATATTTAGATATTTCGCTACCGTAAAAATTGTTTACAATTCAAAAGAATCGGAAATTTTCATGACACCAGATGATTTTCTTCGTGCATTGACGCCCGGTATTCGACAACCTGAAGGTTTGGGCCTTGATCAATACAAAGTGATCGACATGACCAAAGTAAAGTATTCTTAAATAGCATTTAAAACTATAGTTAACGAATTCATCCATTTGAATTTATTTAAAAAAAACTAATCATTGTTGTTATTGTTGTCTTTTCCATTTTTCTGTCTTCATGTTGCTTGCGTTCCTTCTAAAAATATATATCAATAAACATATTCAAAACACATCAATTTTACTTTTGAAATCGTCCATATCAAATAGTCCAACGGCGATGATTTTCAATCGCTTTTCAATCATCAGTTATTATTATCCTCCTGTATCTCAGTGAGAATCTATTAATTTAAATTTATCTTTACTTTTACAATGTTATTTTATTTTTTGATTGGATCACGCAAATTTTTGACTAATTGATCGAAATTTAAAAATTCTTCTATCTTGTAAAATCAAAAAGGGAAAACAAGACTATAAAAATATCAGATTGAAACCGGAAAGCATATTCTATAGGCTAAGCAAATTTGGATTGATCAATTTTCCGGATTTTCTATTCCTTTTAACTGTTATATCAGGTATGATGATTGTTATGATTATTTTTTTTGTTGAAAAATTTATTGATTAAGCTTTTTTCTCTTGTGAATGAATTAGTTTCTCCACGTAATTTTGAGATTGCATTTCGTATGTTCGACCTAAATGGCGATGGTGAAGTTGAATATGAAGAATTTGCCAAAGTTCAAAATGCAATACTTGCACAGACAAGTGTGGGTAAAAAAATGGGCAAATGTATACGTTATAAAGGTAATATATTATCTTTGGATGGAAATAAAAATAAATAAATCCAATAATAAAACTTTTTTTTGTCAATTTCGTTAACAATAAATTGAAATTGAAATCGAACAAACAATTAGGAATCAGTTCAGCTATATCGAAATATTTTTTCGGCAACAATCTCGAACAACGATTGACAATCAATCGTTTCCTACATTTTCAGGAGACAGTACAGAAAGAGTTGCTTACACTTGAGGTAAGTGTATATAACAAAATTTGGTTCATATATTTTCCAATCAATTGTATTAAAAAATTTTTTTTTTCTTCATTTATTAAAGTTTGAACGAAAAAATCCTGATCCTAAAACCGGTAATATAGCAGAAGTAGATTTTGCTGATCTATTGGTAGCATATGCATTGTTTGCCGAAAAGAAACGATTACGAATGAATAAACGTGTGATAAACAAGTTTGTTTCTGGCCATAATAACAGCATGACCGCTGGTATATCATTGGATGATTATTTGAATTTTTTCCGTTTCCTACAACACATTAACGATGTGGATATTGCATTGGCCATCTATCATATTGCCGGTGCATCCATTGATCAAGCAACATTAAAACATGTAGCGAAAACAGTTGCCCATGTCAATCTTTCTGATCATTTGATCGATGTTGTCTTTACCATTTTCGATGATGACGGTTAGCTTTTGATAGTTTTATTGTTATATTTGATCATTAATCTTTGTAACCTTTTTGTATTGTTTTTTTTTTCATTTTTAAATTGAATTCGAACAGAGGATGGCCAGCTTAGCCACAAGGAATTCATTGCAATCATGAAAGAACGATTACGTCGCGGTCTTTCGAAACCGAAGGATACAGGATTCATACAGATAATGCATACAGTTTGGAAATCATTGACTTCTTTTGAATGAGTATTGAGGAAAACAGCCATTGTTTGAATTTGATTGTTCATTTGTAATATAACTTTAGTTTCAATTGTAGAAACAAAAATCTAATATCTAATCGGAAAATTGAACCTGAACCTTAAGGTAACTAGGATATAGAAATTTTCTACTCATTAAAATACAATAAAATGACAAAATTTTTTAGTTTTCATTACTAATGCTGACCAACCGATATTCACACCAATACCAATTATGAAGAACATAATACCCGAAAATAATTTTTTGCTGTTTTCGTTATTTTTTAAAAGACCAATTATAGAAAAATAGGTGAAAAATTTCCGCCTGATAAAGCATTGAACATACTGACGAATGGAGAAAAAAAATCCCATCTTTTTTCGTTCGAATTTTACCCGACTAATGATTATACTTTTCATTCTACAATGACTAATTTCATTAGTGATCCAGACACTACCATCATATATAGGCTATAGCCTTGATGACGACCAATAACCGACTGACGTACCTGGTGATTTTTTGAATCTTTGTGTTGTTGGTAGCCATCTTTAGCACCAATAAGTTAATTAGTCTACAAAAAGTTTAACAATACAATGGCTATTTACCCAGTTTTTTTTCATTGTTGGTCGTTGAAACAATAAATGAACCAACCAACCAACTAACCAACCAACCATCCCATTACATACAAGGTGAACGAGTTAAAGAGAGAGAGAGAAAGAGAGATTATAATCGACCAACAACTGAGCAATACGTTGACACATGATTCATTTTATTTCGAAACAAAAGATCAAGATCTTGATGATGATAATCATTGTAAAATTGAACCAGTTGTCTTCTCTTTCGATTTGAATGTCTCATAGAAAATAACATTATATTATTGGGTTACTAATATTAGAACTTTGGTTTTGGAAAAATTACAAAAGAAAATGATGAAGAGAACAAAGCATAAAGGTTTATCTTTATTATTTATATATTGTATACATTATCTTCACCGTTTTCTCACCGATCGTGAATCTACCTGAATGATCAGTTGTGATCTTTTCGTATTTGTGCTGCCATTCGAGATTTTGATTTAGTTCAATCGAGTTCAATTTTTCAAAATCTAAATTCATTCTTGAAATGTAAGACAATCCATATTAAATTCAATATATATAGTAAACGAATTACGATAATGATGATTGGTAACATTGTTATTGTTACCATTGAAAATGATCATGCCACAATTGACAAAAAAATCATTTATGATCAAAAACATCTTTTATAATGAATCGAAAATTCTCATTATGATAAATTGGGCCAAAATTACGACATTTACGATTTTATTTATTTTTTTAATTGTTTTATTTGTTGAGAATTTTCTTACCGCCATTGTGGTTGAAGCACAACAACAACAACAACATGAACATTCGATCATATCATCATCAGCAATCATTAATGGTAGTTCAGAATTTTCACCAACAAACGAAACATCGGTACCAACTGTTTCGAATGCAAAAAACTCATCAACAATATTATCGCCATCAAGACGAGTCAATAATTTTTCTACAAAAATCGGCACTCTATTGAAAATTCTACAGATTGTCAATCATGTTGCATCTATTACATCGACGGCTAGAGGATCGTTGATTCAAAATCATCCGAATGAGAATCTAAATGATTCACAAAGTGAAACACGTACAATGTCAACATGGTTTGGTTTTGCTAAAAAAACACCTTCAACGAGTCGACGATCAAATCAACATCAGCATAATCGTAATCAACATTTGTTCAATGATCCGGCTATCAACATGCCAAATGGCGCGACAGATGAAATGTACAAACCAACATTCATACCAATATCACAGCCATCATTACCACCACCTAATCATCCAATATTTCCACCATTCGATCCAGCAAATCCATTGCTATTATTACCACCATTATCAGATACAAGCGCCATTGATTATTGGTTGAAATTATTGGAAGATCCTAAATTCGAAGAACAAATTATGCCCATCATATGGAATGGCCGTAATGATCATCATCATCATCACAATCGAAAACCATTTGATTATGATAATAAATTTGTTTCAAATTCTCATCCTAACAATGGTCCATGGATTGGTAAAAAAATTCGAAAAAAAGTAAAAATAAATTCGCGCAAAAGTGAACAATTAAGATCGAATCTATCTAACAAGAAAATGTATAATCGAGGAGAAAACGAAGAAGAAGATGATGATTTGGAACATTATGAATATGGTCCAAATGGTGATGCTGATAAATGGTCACTTCAGAATGATATTGAAAACGGTTCCGATTTCGACAACATGATGATGTTGACTCCCAATTTTCGGCCACATGATGGCCAAAGAATTAAAAAGCCCAGACCTCATGCAAACGATGGTTTTCATCAAGTTCAACAGCAGCAACAACAATATGATACAACACCACGTTGTGATAAATTCACCGAAGATATTTGTATCGATGATTTTGAATATCCAGAACATGCAATATTGGACGAGATTTATAAACGAAAAGATATTTTTCAACTTATGTATGCTGAAGTGAATGGGGATGTACCTTTGGTAGATGGTATTCCAAAAGATATGGATGAAAATTTTTCACAAGATTATTACTATAGTAATAATGATCCTGAAGATCCGGATGATGATTATCATGATGATTTCAATGGACCATCGACGGATGGCCATCATCATTCAACTACGAATAAATCAACATCATTTGATTTTGGTGAATCAAATAGTAATAATCATCATAATAATAATAACAAAAATTCCATTGAACAAGGGTTTGTTTGTCGTTCTGAAGTACTTTATGCTAAACCAAAATTAGCTAAAAATTTAAAACGAAAATGGCGTGTCATTGTTAATGCCGGTGATTTTACACAAACAATACGGCTAGAAAAATGTAATAAAGCTAATAGTGAATGTCGATATATAGCTGATCATAAGTATGCATCAAGATGTGCACAGATTCATTCCATTCATAGATTATTGGTTTTTGAAAAGGGAAAAGGTTTGCTTCTGAGAACATTTATAATTATCATTATAATCTAATCTATTTTTTCATATCATTTAGGTTTTTTCATCGATTCATTCCGATTACCAACAGCATGTACATGCCATGTTTATTCGGTTAAACAAACTAATCCAAATCCAAGTGAAAGTACAATGAATAATAATTTAAGGACGAAAATTAACACCAGTAATTCAATGGAACCGAATAAATCATTATGGTCAATGCTATCGAACATTGATAATAATCCTCAACAATCATACAATGATGATAATAATGAAAATAACAATCATTATGAAAATAATGGTGCACAATCATCAAAATTATATTTTCATAGCCATGCTAATCAAAATCAGATGACAAAACAAATGCAACAACAATTACAAAAAGCCCTGAATATATTGAATAATAATGAACTTTTCAAATTATTACCACAATTAACATCAATCGATTCACAATCAAAGAATAATAACTGGATTCACAACAATAATAATGGTAATGTTATATTACAAAAATTACTTGAAAATTTGGGTACAACATCATCCACCACTGGAACGGTACCGTCGAATTTTTTGCTCACCACGACAAGCACTATGCCCAGTAATAATAACGATAACCATATGAGTGATAATAAAAATCATATAAATCGTTTTACAATCATACCAGAATATCAATTTAATCTTTCCGATATGACAGAAGGAAATAAGGTAACGAATGATTTGTTAACAAATTCTGAGAATAATTTTGGTATGACAAATCCAAACAAACGTACAAACCATCTATCAACATCGTTCGGATCCATATCTGGACAATCATCACTAGCCCAAGCACCAGTAGTACAAGTGATACATATGCCCGTATCAACTAATGGCATGACATCATTAGATCAACTTGATATACCGGCAACTGTTAATCGGTTAACACAATGGCCATATCCATTCGATCGAAATGATGATCAACATACTAGCACTCCATTATCATCTACACAATCCCAATCATCATTGTCAAAGTATTTGGCATCAGCTAGCAATAGCCATTTGTTACGACAACAGCAAAAACCCAAATTCAATAATGACACACTGGCATCCAATATGACAACAACGGCGCTTATCCAAATAAATAATCAGACAATTTCCGGCTCTACTTCAATCATAAATGACAAGAATATTACCAAGGCCATTTCCAATGAAGATTCCCATTATAGTAGTCATAATGTTGAAAATGACGAAGACGATCATGATGATAATAACAGTAGCAATGATGACAACACGAAAATTAACTTTTCCTATCATCCGATTCTCGATTATATTGTCAATTAGATTTTTTTGATGGACAGCGAAAAGAAAAAAAAAATTCAAATCATGTTGATCTCAACAAAAATGGATTTGATATTACGTTCTCTATCATCATTATCATCATCATCATCATCAGTGTTTGGTTTTTAGTGTATATATAATATTTGATTTGATTTGTTTCTTCATTTTTTCTTAACACGATATATATAATGCGATGCAAATGAAATTTTTAATTTTTCTCTTTATAACGTTTATCTTAACTTGATTTCGTTTCGTTTCGTTTGTTTTTTCTTCATTCAATTATTATAGCATCTTTTCATGATTTGTTGTAATATTATCACTAATATGTGGTTAAATTAAAAATAAGGAGGATAAACTTTTAACTACCATCACGGAAGTAATCGATATTTTTAGGAAATATTTTGACATATATCACGTGTTAGATTCGAGAAAAGACCCGGATCAACAAAAAAAAATAATAAAAATAATGGACATTAAAATGATTTTAAATTATTTACATGTATAGATTGATTTGTTCAAATGAGACAAATAATTCATTGAAAATATTGTTCCTTGTATTTTGTTTAGTTTTTTTTCTGTTTTTTGCTGAATCGAATTATGACAAAAAAAAAAAAGTGGATAAAAATGGCCAAGTCTACCTGTGTGTGTGTATGCGATGACTGCAATCATCATATGCAATTTTTTTTTTAATGAAACACAAAATCTGAGACATTTTTTTTGTCTCTTTTGACTCATCATTGCATGCTCTATTTCTCACTAATTTTCATCTTTTTTTTTCGTTGAAATTTTAATCTCACTTTACAACGAGGCCGTAGAAGATCACCGAATAAGATAAAAATTTTCACAGTTCGGGTCTTTTCAATTTATATACAAGAAGAAGAAGAAGACATGAAGATGATTTCTATGAACAGACAAATTTTTTTCGCTGAATATAAAATGTGCGATTAAATTATCATCATCATCACCACCATCATCTTGTGAATCATATGGGAATAAACCTCTCTTTTTTTACATTTCTCGATTGATTCAATTAGATTTGTAACATATAGCAGACACTTTTTTTTTTGTTTAAATGGTCAATCACCATTACATTTTATTTAGTTTTCTCAGTATTCTCGAAACAGACATACAAACATTACATTTCATCAATTGTCTAATAGTTGTTTGAACTGATTGAACAAACTAGTGCTTAACCTGTGTGTGTGTGTAAATCATGTAAAATGTGGAAAATCAACAACAAAAACATTACCATCATTTTGATCTGTGTATCTTTGTGGTTGGCTGAATTAACCGAAAGTATTGATCATGATCAGATAGTTGGACAGCAAAAAAATCAATATCGACAAATATCCAATAAAGCAAAAAACCGTTATCGTAAATTATCTAAATATCCTGATCGTAAAAAACATTATCCACATCAATATATGATACATATCCGTTGGGGTAAACCTGGACAAAATACCGATTTGATTAGGAAAGGTGATGAAAATTCTCGATATCGGAAATATGCACATGAAGAAGAAGAACATTGGCATGATAAAAAATGGATCAATATTGGCCAATTACCATTGTCAATGGTCAATGATATTGACAGTGGTAACAATAAAAAATACATGGATGATGATGATGATGATGATCGATCAATTTATCATGTAGCCGAACGAAAATTTAACGCATTACCAGTATTTGCAAGACCATTAAACGATGCAGATAGTTTACGAGAAATTGAAAAACATTTCGCCATACCATCATCAAGTTTTCCAGTAAATAAGAATTTTGCCAAATGGACAATAGCTCCGATTAAATTCAAAAAGACAAAACAATAAAAAAAAATAAATAGTACTTGAACATTGACGATGATAGATGGCATGACAGGTATCGACTTTTTTTTTGCCATTTCTTTTTTGAATTTTTTATTGTTTTCGCTTTCGATTATAGCTAATAGTTGAATTACAATGAAAACAAAAAATCTTTATTAAAATGTATTATTATTATTATTTGATTCAAATATGAATAAAATTAATCGAAATGAAAAAAAACGAATCTCATACATTGAATTCATTTATAGTCGTGATGACGATCAATTATCGTAAAAATTTATTTTCTTTATTAAGAACTATATAACAAATAATATAAAATAGAATGGCATCAGATATTCATCCACAAACAAGTCTATCATTAAATAATGGGCCATGAATGATAGGAAAAACAAAAAGACCAGTCAACCGACCGTTCAAATAAAAAAAAAATTGGATGGTCACATTCTCCGATGGTCAATTGTTCAGTTCAGTTAAATTAAGTTCGTTGTTGATAATGAAGTTTATGACTATGAAAGATTGTGAACATTGTTCAATTTTGTCAAAATCATTTTGCCTGTTTTGTATCGTAATCAAATCGGACTTGCCCGAATGTTGGACCTACCACTGACCGATCAACCGACTATTCACAGGACAAGCCAACTCTGTATAAAATTACAGAAAAATGAGAATTGATTTGATTTTCTATTCGATTTGATAATCATCATTATCATGTGAATGTGTGTTTGGATTCTTTTTGTGGCAGAAAGGAAAAAGCAAGAGAGAGAGAGAGAGAGAGAGAGAGAAAAAATCAAAATCTATAAACTTTAAACACAGAAATTGATCGATGTGTAATGTGAAAATGTAAATGGAATTTTTTTTTTTTTGCTGACGTTCGTTTTACGATTCGTACTAATTAAGCATCATTTCGGTCAATCAATGAATGAATTTACACTATTCATTCGAATCTAATCAAAAAAAAAAAGATTTGGACTTATTTGTGCGTGAAAATAATTCGATTTGTTCTGTAGAGAATTTCGAGTCCTCTTAATAATAATACGTTATTATTATTATTGAGCTGAGTGACCAGAATTTTCATTTCAATCCATACAGCTTAATCGAGATACAAAACCGATTGGACTTTTTTTCACATGGTAATGGTGATTCAATCATTACTATTAGTTAATTTTTGTTGCCAATAAAATTTTACATACATTCTATACCGGAACATGAACATAGTTATAAACAGATAATCATTCAAAAGAAAACTGCATATGACAAATACAGCAAATATATATGGATTTTATTTATTTTCTTGTTCTTTTTTTTTATTCTATTGGATCATCTTTCTTCTGTGATTCCATTTTGTTCTCGCATACAGCAACAACAGTTCAATAATGCCTCACAAAAAAAAGATGAACAATAGGGATGAAAATATACAAAATACTCGATGATAATAACCGAATTGTGAATCATTGTCCCATGATGATGATGATGATGATAATAATAATAATGATGATGATTTCTGTTGTCATCGTAAGAATCATTCATGTGTAGCAATGCGTTCATAAAAGACGAAAATCTTTCGTTTTTTAAAGAAAAAAAAAACCGGCCAACAATAAGATGGACTAACATTGTAGAATCGTATAACAAAATTCAAAACAAACGGCAACGATGATGGTCATGTCCATATTGGTCATGATGCTCATTGATTTTGAGTATTCACTTGAGTAATTTCAATTCTTGTTTTTTCGTATTTCAACATTTCAGATTTTTTTTTTGCTTCACTTTTTTCTAATGTTCTTTTATATATATATTTTTTTGTTCATCTCCTTTTTATTGATTCATTAAAATTTGACAAATGTTTTTGGGATTCAGAGAATTTTTTTTTCTTTACTTCTACTGTTGTATGTGTGTGTAGCAATTAGGATTAGGCGGATGGAAACTTTGGAAAAAATGATGTTTTCAACAAAAAAAAATCATCTTCGATTCTGTATAAATCGTCTTGTTGTTCAATTCCAGTTCGTTTCATTGTTCAGTCCGACCTCGAATGACAGCAAAAGTCCGATAAGATTAATTTTTTATTTAAAACGATGATGAATTCTTGAAATAAACTTCGGTCGAATAGGTTCAAAAATGAACCAGTGAAAATTGAAATGTGATGATGCATCAGCTTATAGCAGGATGAGAAAATAATCAATTTCGATTTTTGAAAAGTGACCATAAAATGATAATAAATAGTCATTGGGATAAAGTTTTTTTGACAACTTAGCCTTTTACTATGAAGAGAATCTATAATTAAATTTTTTTTTCAAAAAAATACAAGACCGAATTCCTGACATCACTCATTACTATTGTTGGATTGGCCCGATGGGTGGATAGATGTTGTCATCAAATAAAAAAAAAAAAATTTTTGTATACCATTTCTAAGACAATCGTGATCAAAATCAATGTTTTGTTATAACGATGTATCGATTGTCTGAATCGATAGATTCGTCACTTTTTTTCTGTTTGATATCCGTTTGTTATGTATTCTATCAAAATTGATGATTCAAATATGATGAATGAATGAAGAATTCATTGAAGAAATAATGGAAAGAATTTCATGTTCTGTTCAATGTCATTCACGCGTTTATTGACCCACGATCAACATTCGTTTCATATATGATAACACATAACACATGACATGATTGACATCAAATCCAAATGGCTTGATCAAACACATTGTACATATTTTCTTCTGTTTCTTCGGAAATTTTTATGTAATTTTTTTTTGCTGTTCAAAATTATGGTCTCGTTGAAAGCTGGCATGTTCCGTTTTATTATTATTGTAAGTCTTGTCAAGATGTTCATTTAATAGTTCACAATGGATGTTAGAATGGATGCTATTATGGTTGATTTTCATCTGGTTTATGAGCACATTATCCATTTACTATGATCATAATATGGTTTGTTGTTCGACGAGAGGTTAATAAATCAAAATTTAGCTCAAAGCTTTATTGACAAATTCCGTCGTCTTATTTTGCAACATTTTTTTCAGGATTTTAGTTTTGGATTTTTTATGCTGGATATGTGGATATTCTAGCAAAGCTTGACATTTTATTTTTTTCGACAAATATGATACCTGAACTTGCTATTTGTCTCATTATATCATCATCTCATTATAATTGCATGCAATTCACAATATATCTGAGGCTAACAAAAATTGTTGTGTATTAAAGCGACTTTGATTAAATTTTGTTCCTTATATGGAACGCAGAAAAAGAAATGGATAAGATGTTTGAGATTCCAGAAACAAAATAATTTTCATTTCAAATTAAAATGTTGATGAAATAAGTGAATAAATTAATGCCAAAACTAATGCCATAAGAGGCATGGCTTGCAGGTAAATGAAATCAAATTACATATGTTGTTTCAAATGGAACAAAAATGAAACCGTTTTTATATTTCTTTTCATTCTATAGTAACAAAGATAAAAAAAATGTAAGAAATTCTTCATCTTCTAAATATTCGTTTCGTTTATTCAGAATGAAATTTTCATTCATTTAATCCAGCCACACGAAAATATAGAAGCAAATCAAAAAAAAGCCGGCAATAAAAGACCTGTTTTCGTAACAAATAAGTAATTGATTTTCTAGTCCACTACTACATTATGCAATTCATCAACATTAGTAAAACAGAAAAAAAATCTAATTGAATCAATTTACTTTATAAATGGACTGAATTCAATGGCAAATTTTTTTGTAAATACATAATTTGACATAATAATCAAAAAGAAAAGGAAAAATTTTCTTAATAGAATATTTCTTCAGTTTAACTTCATTGACTATACTTGAATACACATTTGATATGAATTATGAGAAACAAAAAAAAAAAAATAACGATGATAATGTGACAGATATAATCATCTCTAACAATAACATTGTTATAATGGGTCTTGATTCGATTAGAGTGATCATCATTTGTTTCCGCCATTATGATTATATGTGATTATCATTATTGTTTGCAGGGTTATCAATCTATGTGAACATGAAGAGAAAAAGGAAAAAAATTTCTTTTTCTTTCAACTATTAGAATCTTGAGAATATGTTAAATGGTTGATTTGAATGGCAACAAAAAAATGAAATGAAATTCAAAACGAGCATCATCAAATTCAAATATAAGATTGGTGTAAACGGAAATTGTCCATATTTTTCAATGACAGAATGTATAACTTTTTTTCATATTGTCGCTCAATATTTTCAGAATTGTCATTCGATAAAGAAAGAAAGAAAGAAAAAAGCTCCAATGATCGAAACTAAGTTTGTTCATACATAATATTTTTATTATAAACGAGAAATTAATTTTCTTCACACTAATCATCAAGTCTTCATTTCGGTAGATGAAATAAAAATCAGAAAAACTTTCGTTTCAAACGACATCGTTTTTATACGAACAAACGATTATGGTCATTATTCATCTTTTCGAATTTTCAATAATGTCGTATATAATTGAAATCAGGAAATTGAGAAATGGAATAATAAAGGAAAAAAAACTTGGCTAATTGTTTAATTATGATATAGCATGGATGGATGATGGAGAATAAAAGTTTTTTTTGACAAGTGAATGATGATAAATGAAATTACGATTAGATTACCCGAAAAAAAACTTTGCACATCGATCCAAAACAAATTTGAATCAAAACATAAGTTTCGATATATTCTAATTTGAAATCGACCATCATATCATAATCATGAAATAAATATTTGATTTTTTTTCTCAATTCTATAAAAAAGACTTCAGCTAGCGAACCAATCTATAAAGAGAACAACGAGATTGAAATTCGGGAACAAAAATAGTGAAATGGAAATTTTTATGACCAGTATTCACATACACAAATATACAGAATAAGAATCATGTCGAATTTCAAATGAAAATGATTCATTGAAAATATTTCATTGTCATTTAGGGAATCAAGAAATCATATGATAAAAAATTTCTTTCGTTGTATTCATCATTCATTCGTGGTCAAAATCATTAAAAAAAAAAAATAAAAATAAAATTCATGTATGTCACATAAAAAACAGACCAAAATAAAGCTTGAAATGTTATGAATTTTAATGCCTTGACTATACACCAACTATTACATAATCATGTTGATATCGGCTAGTTCATGTCGTCATTTGGTAGTTAAAAAGATGATGATGACGAAAACAACTGGAGATTTACTGGATGAAGACACGAAGAATAGCAAAAAAAAAATTTCCTAGTTCATTGATGTGACAAATTTATTACACGCGCTATATACATAACAATATAGAAAGTGGGGACAAATCCCGATCCATGATGATAATCCTGAATTTTATATGAAAACATGATAATATCATGTAAATTGTATGTAAAGCTCTTTACTTGTCATCGAATAAGGGATTTTTGTTTTGTTTTGTCTCGAAAAAATTTAAGATATTTTATTGGTTAATTCATTAATCAATCGGTACATGGATGTGTTCGAAGGTATCGGACGTACAAATTTGGTAGAGCATTCTATCGAATTGAAAACAAATAAGGTGATCAATGTCAAACCTTATCCTGGGCCATATGCATATCGTGATGAAGTCCGTCGAATGTTGGTTGAAATGGAGCAAAATAACATTATTGTTAAATCTCATTCCGAGTTTTGTAGTCCATTGTTGGTGGTTAAAAAGAAAGATGGTTCGTTACGGTTGGCAATTGATTATAGAAAGCTGAATGCTATCTCGAAATTTGACGCACAACCAACACCAAAAGTTCAAGAAATTCTGTTTGGTCTCGATAAAGCGAAAATATTTTCAAAATTGGATTTCAAATCTGGGTATTATCAGGTACCGCTTCGCAGATCAGATCAAGAAAAAACAGCGTTTCGTTTTGAAAACACATTATATCATTTTTTGGTTATGCCATTTGGGCTATCAACTGCTGCACAAACTTTTTCTCGTCTTGGAAATATATTGTTTCAACTACCGTTCGTCAAAATTTACATTGATATGTAAAGAATTGTGATGATGCAATATCATGTAAATTGTATCTGAACAAGAATCTGATCAACTATTGTGGCTCGTAACAAGGAGAATTCATTTATTCAAATTAATCATTTGTACTTGTCGCGTGTAAAAGAAATCGAATTACTGGGGACGTGAAACAATGGATTCGAAAATGTGTCTGTAATTTTGTTTTGTTTTGTCTCGAAAATTTGTTCACACTTTAATCTAATAGCTTTTGATTCAACAACCGAAAGAATAATTGATTGGCTCGAAGAAATATGGAATAGGTTTGGCAAAAAAAATACTTTTCAACATAAAAAATACAAACCTTTATATTTTCATCATTAAACAAGAAATACAAATCACAATTATTATATGTCATAATATACTGTACATTCTTATTCATTTTATATTAAGCTGTTGCTTAATTCCTGTGTGTCAAAAAAAAGGAATCAAGTAATTCTATGTATTTTAAATGCGCATGTCCAAATGATAATATCATGTAAATTGTATGTAAAGCTCTTTACTTGTCATCGAATAAGGGATTTTTGTTTTGTTTTGTCTCGAAAAAATTTAAGATATTTTATTTAAAAAATACTTTTCAACATAAAAATACAAACCTTTATATTTTCATCATTTATTTTGTCATAATATGTGTGTGTTGTACTTTTCTCAAATTCATTGTGCGTTGTTTGATGATTCGATCTTGTTCATTCATCGTTTAACCACCAACCAAAACAGAATCCAGATCGCGTGAAACGTAATTCTTGAATACTGCTAATTTTTTTTTTTTTTGTGCGCGCAAAACAAAACAAAACAAAAAAAATCAACAGCCTGTTTCTTCTCATCGACCTGTGTGTGTGTTCCATATAATTGTGAAAAAATTATCGCTCATTTCCTAATAACATTCATTCCTTGTTTTCAATATTTCCCATCTGTCCATTACACTTGAATGCATTTCACTACTTGTTCTTTAATTAAATTAACCGGAAGAAAAGGGTCCGTATTCAATTTGTTGTTTAAATCAAATGTTAATTGAATCTATTGTTTTGTTTCCCATTTCGCCAACTATTGTATACGTGTGTAGATGATTTATACCGGCGAGCAACGACGAGTCGATCCGGACACTCTCGGGAATTGAATTCGGTTAAACTTTACCGTTTTGATGATATAAAATTTTTTTCTTTCACCAATTAGTAATTATCGATTTTTTTTCATCAGTATTTGTTTGGCTGAACCGTTTCGTCCATTTCATTTGTTTTTTTCCGTGTATTTTTGTTCCAAATGATTGGTCAAGTGAACAATATTTATATTTTTCTCCTTTGTGTACACTATCGATAAACTTGATCAATTTACCAGGATGAATTTCAATCTAATTTTCTGACATTTCAGCCACAACAACAATAACAACAGTCTTCAAATCCGATTTTTTCAAATACAAATTATCCGTAACGGTCATCATCGTTAACATGATGTTCATATCGGATTGCATTCCATCAATGACCAAAAGGATTGAATCAATACAATCTTTTGTGTTTGGCATCGTTCCATTGTTGATTGTTCACTCATTTCTGTTGGGTACAGTATCTTTTTCCGTTTTTTTTTACTATTAATTAACAATATCTAGATTGATTAGCATATGATTTTACTTAAAATTCTGTTTATTGATCTTGATTGATGTTCATGTTGAATTTTTCATGTTTTAATTTTCAATTTTTTTTATATACAGCTGTCTATTCGATAATCATCATCATTATTATAAAGCATTTCATTTGATTTTTTTTTGTTCATCATTAATTTTGTATACTTTTGAACGTCATGAGATCATATTTCATATTTTTTTTAACGTTGTTTGTTCATTTGTTTTTTACACAATTAATTAACAGAATGAAAGGACATATACATGCGAGCTTTTCTTGTTTTTTGTTGGATCGTTAAACAGCGATTATAATGATACGATGTTCTCACCATCATGATAATCATCGCCCATTATTCTGAAAATTCAAGTTACACACACGTGTTTTTTTTACCTTGCCCTTTTTAAAAAAGCTGTCAAATGCGTGTTTTGTGTTTGTGTGTGTGTGTGTGTTCATAAATCATCCATGATGATGATACTAAAATCTTAAATGTATACAGTATACTAGTAGAGAATTATTCGTTGTTCTAGTTTATTTCATTTCTCATTCTTGTTCTATGCAATCTTAATTAAGCTCATTGAATATAAAAGAAGAAACATAAATAAACACAAGAAAAAAAAACTTTACATTGGATTCCATTAAAATTTTTTTTTTTTGTTGTTCGGTCGTCATTATCATCATCGTCGTCGTATGAAAATGACATCATTTTCTTTGTTTCTAAATTAACATGTTGACTGTCAGCATTTAAAATGAAAAACCAAAAACAAATAAGAGAAAATTTTCTCATTTGAATACTAGAGACTTTGATACTTTGATACTTTCAATTTTATCCATTTATTCAGTATAGTAGCCATTCAACTTACAGATTGTCTTGGTCTTTGATGAGATAAAAATGACAAATAGAATCTTCTGTAGTTATATAATAATAATATACGGAACAATTTAATCCATTAATCAATAATGTGTACTTGTTTTTGTATTTTTGTTAAGGAAACTATTTCCTATTCATTATGTTTTGAGTATTCATTTAATCATCGTACTCCGATACACACACACTGGGTATTTGAAATCGACTAATACCTTGATAAGATCTTAGAATTCATGTTGTTGTTATTGTTGTTTGTCATGGCTTATAACTATAACTTTATTCAATTGTTATGAATGAAAAAAAACATAGGCTGAAATACATACAAACAAAAACTACAACAACAAGAAAAGAAAGCGAATTATTATTATTACTTAATTCTGTAAAAAATAAAAACCTTAACATCAACCTTGTGTATGTGTATACAAAGGGCACACTGATTTGTTTATATAAAAGATATAAAAAAAAATTCTATAACCAACCAAATAAACGACCAATAAACCGGCTATAAAAAAAATATACAAGAATAAAAAAAAAGAGGAAAAAATTGATCCCATTTATTCTTTATCGTAAGCCAAACAACAAGAGAAAAACTTTTCATGTTTTTTTTTAGCTGTTGATGATGATATATCATAATTTATGATATGCAATAAACAATACACACACATACACACACATTGGATAAATTGCCGGTGAGGTATGCATCGTTTTTTGTTCTCTGTTTATTTGTTTGTAACGGTTGATACGGTTATGATCCTTATGGAATATATTTTAGATTTCACTTGCCATTGTCTAGTCATAGTTTTTCTCGATGACTTGTATACATGCCGAATAAAAAAAAGAAGAATCTTTAGTTATATTATTCTTGTGAATGATCATGATGATGATGATGATGATGTCGATGATTGTTATGTTGTCGATAGATATATTGGCTGTCGTTCATTTGAATTGTGCCTAAAATGTGTCAACTTAATAACTAATCGCATCGTTTTTTTCCGTTTTTTTTTTTTTCGTTATTGTTGTTGATGACACTTTTATTCTCTCTTTCCCTCTCTTTTTTTTTGGTGAACATTTCAAACGCAAAAAGAAATGGCCAAATCTTTGAAAGAAACATTGGGATATAATACAAAAACTATAACATCATTATTTGACAACAACGCGGCAATACGGCGGCAGCAACAAAAATTTGTTTGTTTTGTGACTTGTCGTAGTCAACATTCAAAATGTCTGTCGATTATATTCTTGCTTTCTGTTTTTTTTCCTGTATCTATCAAGTTGAATCACTATTTAAAAATGATTGATTCGAACCTATTAGTTTATTCGACTAGCACGATCGTTTTTTTCATTCACTATTTTCATAACTCTCTCAATAAGACAGCTTTTTTTTCGTTACTTGTCGATTCTTTGATACACTTTCATTTCAATGCGTTCACTTGATCTTTTTTTTCTATTTATTATCATTATGGATATATTACTTTTTTACATATTCAACATTGAATATGACGATCAAAACATTGGAAAAAAACGTCTTTTTTCCACTAAAATGGAAGGTATGATTACTAAGACAGACAAGAGAGGGAATATTTTGGCTTAATTATCGAGCCTAGTCGATAAAACTTTGATAGCAACTAAAGGTTTTCTTCAATTTAATGAGTCAGTCTAAATGTATGGTATTTGTTTTTTTTTTTTTTAGTTCATCAACAAACATTGCTTCTAACGATTTTTTGTTTCAAACAGCCAATAATAATAAAAATAATAAAACTCGATTATTTACCCCAAATCGATTCTCAATGAGCAATAGATGATGACGATGATGATCTAGCTTTTTTTTTGTTAGGGTACAAATTTTTTTTTCTTTTGAAAACAGAAAAAACGGATAAATCAAATGTGAAACGAAAAAAAAACATTAGACAGGAAGTACACATACACATAAGTGTGTCTGTCATGTCAGTTAATTTTGTGTGATTAGATAATGGAATCTATTCCTTTATCAATAATGGTCTGTTTTATGTTATTTCATCTATATAAAAAAAAAAAAAGTTTTCTTCTTTTTCTGTTTTCGTTTCGTCCATATTTTCTGTTGTTTGTTATCATCATAATCATTTTGATGATACTAATCGAATAGAACTTTTATTCTATTGTTGTCTTTATTCATGAACTGTTTACCTTTTTTTTTCTCTCTCGAATGACCAATGAACTATGATCGACCAAGTCAAACCATTTAACACTCGACAATGTTTAATTAACAAAAAAAAAGTTATGTAAATCTTATATATGAAGAAATGATTGATTGAAAGATTTGATGGATGATATGAATTGAAATATGACCATAATGAATGAAAATATGTCAATTTTTTTCACATAGAAATTCAAACTGAATTGATTTCTGGCTTTCATTTATTTTTTATTTACAAAAATTGTGTCACACATATATGGATAGAATCACCTTTTGTCTACTGTTATGGATTGGTTTGTTATACTATAGACATGATGGGAAAAATTCGTTTTCATTTGATTGGTGTTATTGTTGTTGTTGTTGTCATTTTGTTCATCCTCTTTGCACTTTTTGTCCATAGTCATCATCATCATCATCATTATTATTAAGATGTATAATGCATGTTTTTTTTTCACTAAAACTATATTGTGTTTGTGTCTGTGTATTTAGTATAGTGTTTCGTTCCAAACGATTTGCTATGAATGAATGAAATGAAATGAATTGAATGGACCATTTTTGCTTGTTGACGATGAAAACAACAAACGACACATTAACGATCATGTTTATTGTCTTCATTCTTTTCTTCATTCTCTGCTTTCTGTTGTTTCTCTCTCTCTCTCTCTCTTTTTTGTTTTTGCAGATAGATCTCTGGATTCTATCCATGTCCATGTGACCATTTCTTTAGGAGGGGTGAAATGAAATATTTTTTCCACCCTTGGCTTTTTTTTGTTATTGCAGATTTTGTTTTTGAAACACGTGCCGAAACTGAATGAAACATTTTTCATTGTGATTCTTTTTTCGGGTCATTGTTATTGTTGTCGATGGTGATGGTGATTTTATATTTTTTTTTTTGGGCCTGGGGGACATTTTTCACTTTCACTTGTATTGCATGAATGATTCTAACCAAAAAATAATGTGCATAACATTTCCGTATGTCTAGGGTATTAGTTTTCAAGGCACGAATCTTTGGAAACAAAAACTAAATATAACAACAGATTTTTTTTCTCTGTTGGTTTGTTGGAACCATTTTGTTTTGTTGTTGTTGTTGTTTTACACACACACACACATACACAAACACATAAGGACAAACAAACAAACAAAAATTTTTTCACTTTATCCACTTGTCGTCGTCATCGTTTTCATTGTCGTAATAATATTGACATTCTATTATTTCAGCCTATACCCGATACAAGTTTAGATTTGAAATACACTTGTCCATTTTTTTCAGCCAGTTTCATTAAAGTTAATTTAGTGAGATTCCAAACAAAATGGATGAATGTATGAATGATCCAATTGTGGTGATGGTAAACGTACTGAACGCGGTAATGTCTTGCCCTATGAAGCCCAAATCCTGTCATCATCATCATCATCATCATTGTGATTGTCTCGTCATTTGTTAAATCCTCCCCATACAAAAAAGCTTTTTGACTTGTTTAGTTCATTTTTTTAGTGTTTCTTTTCGTTGGTTCAAATTAGCTGCTTCATTTAGCTGTTATGGGCCTTTTGTTTTTTCCAGTTTCTGGATCTCTTCAGAATTTGTCGATGAAGTTGTATATGTGTGTGTGTGTGTGTGTGGTGTAGTATGGTAGATTTGTCAATAAATTATTTATTTTAAGTTTCATGGATGATGAGTCTTTTTTTGATTCATTTGACCCATCTGAAAATCCTGAAATGTTTTGTTTTTTTTCGTGTTTTGATACCGTTCGAATTATTTTTTTTTAATCTATTCGAATCAATCCATGTTCTAAATACAATCTATCGATCTATTATTTTTTTTGATTAGATTTAGCTGATTCTTGATCATCATCATCATCATCATCATAATCAATGTTTGGAGAGGTAAAAATAAAAATTTTAAAAA